GATCAAGGTCAAAGGGAAAGTGAATTGAGTGCAAAGGGGCATTAATTCTCAATCTTTATCAAGAAGTACTCTCATATCTATTGCTGTCCGCCATGTTTGAAACACCTGACTCGAGCCACAACATCGAAAATAGTTTAAAGAAGTATAGAAGCTGATAATTAGTACTTTTTATCTGTGGGGTGCGCTTGGGTAGACAGAACGATACTAGGCGATTACACAGGTGCCCGGGATACTACTCCGAACATGCACTCACTGTACGTGCATACTGCTGCTAGCTTCCTAATAATAAAGCTCAAAGCAATTAGATCACAAAGGTAAGTCCGCGTTACTATTGTCTTCGATTGAGATTATCCCTCTGGCAACTTTCCGAAATCCAACGTGTCCAACGTCACCGATTCTTACTTCAACACAAGGTCTCCGATACAACACCTGTCTTGTCCCGTCCCGTCCCCTGACCCCATTCTCCGGACCGGCTCCTGGTTCCGTGGAAGATCCTGAATCCAGCACCTGCCACTATTCGAAGACGAGCTTTCTTGCTGTCAATATTATTGACAGAGCCAAGCAGATAAACTCAGTGAAGTGAAGCTTTGGTTCCAGTCAATACCAAATTGTCGAGAAACCATAAGCGGGACCGGAAGGGATAGGAGAAAAGAGAGGGGGCACGCAAGACCAACAGAGGGAGAGGGGAGAATAACGTCAGACCCAACTAAGACGATTATCGAGCAGGGGCCAGCACAACGCAGAACTTGAGTCACTATCACGGCTATTATCCCTCGCCCTCTGTTTACCTCGAGTCTGCAACAACAAAGATGGCTGGTACAAGGAACTACGACTTTCTGGTAAGTATTGACTAAACTCCCAAGAAACCATAAGCTAAATGTCGGTCTTTGTAGATCAAGTTACTACTTATTGGGGACTCTGGGGTGGGAAAGTCATGCTGTCTATTGCGATTCAGTGAAGACTCGTTCACTCCGTCGTTCATTACTACCATCGGAATCGACTTCAAAATACGTACCATCGAATTGGACGGTAAAAGAGTAAAGCTCCAGATATGGGATACAGCTGGGCAAGAGCGATTTAGAACTATCACTACTGCTTACTACAGAGGAGCCATGGGCATTCTTCTTGTATACGATGTCACTGATGAAAGATCATTCCAAAGTGAGAAACGCCTTCCTTAAACCCGAGGTGGGTCATAAGATAATTTGATGCTAATGCCCAATCACCTTAGACATTCGCACCTGGTTCTCAAATGTCGAACAACATGCGAGCGAAGGCGTTCACAAGATCCTTATTGGCAACAAATGTGATTGGGAAGAGAAGAGGGCTGTGTCAACCGAGCAAGGGCAGCAATTGGCTAATGAGCTGGGAATACCATTCCTTGAAGTATCGGCTAAGAACAACATCAACATCGAGAAAGCGTTTTATGATCTCGCATCCGACATCAAAAAAGGAATGGATACGTCGAAGTCTGAACAGGTCGGCTCTCAGGGCGTGAGCATAGACCAGCAAGGTTCCGGGTTGAATGGCAGCGCAGGTGGGAAGTGCTGTTGAATAGATAGTGCACCCTCATTTGGTCTTCGGGTTATATCTTTCCATCATGACTCTATGTCTTTGCGCGTTACAGGTTTGTGTCATGGCTTCAGTACATCATTACGTTCACGGTTCGAATAGATGCTGGGAAGCTAATTGGCTGATTCTGCTCCTATCCTATGTATGTTGATAATGATGGCAGGGGCTTATGGTTTTCGTGATTGCCTTTATCCTTCTTTCTGTTCTGTCTTGGGTTCTCATCCATTTACTGCGATCGAACTTTCCCAGGTGGCGTTATTCTGTTATATTCATAACTGTGCAAATGATATTCGGTATGGCCATAAACAGTCTTCTGGAAGTGCGGTATACATCACCCTCCAGAATCCCCTTATAAACATGAGGAAACATGGGGCATGTCCGTTTTTAAATGATCTTGGCAAGAGTTGAAGGCAGCCGGAGAGTCAACCCTGATGGTGATTGTATTACAAATCGAATATGTTGAGTAAGAAGAGCACCAAGGTATTTGAGCATCACCACACTAGGAGCGTTACCAAAAGCACTGGCAAATATAAAAAAATGGAGGAGGATCATACACTAACTTAGTCAAAGATAATTGTGCAACAAGCGACTTGGACAGGTAGAAGGAAGAACGCTTGGGAAATGTGTTAGTAACGTGCACTTTTTTGTGAGCTAGTCTGCTCTGTACGGTTCAAGCACATCTCACTCAGTAACTTGATATAGCACTGACATTGCCATTCTGCCATTGCACAGGAAAGAATTTACTATCTTGTGGTTGGAGACATGTGCGGCCGGTATAGTAGACCACGATCTATCTATTGTATCTTCTGCTCCTCTCCAAGTGGGGCTGTGTGGATATCCATCTGAGATGGCCCAATATTTGCAAACACATTATGGCGTACAGATTTTTGTCGTAACTCTGAATTCCCATCCTTTTCCTTTCCGCTTCGTATTGATCAGTAAAGTTGATATCAGCAACTTGCATGAAAGAGCCTTCCACATCCTTGTATTGGTTTCCCGTTTTCAGATCTTCACATCTTTTTCAAACCGCTCTTCTCCAGTATTCGCGCTTAGCAGCCAGCTTCTTACTAACGCCTTTCTCAGACTACCAAATTGTAAGTCAAGACAGTCAAGATCCTCAAACAGGTCAAATTTTATCGCTTCTGGTGTCTAGAATTTGCTTATAAATGGATCATTACACAGGTCATGGTACTGTGAATAGCAGGCGTGCGCTGCTGCAGTAGTGGAAACGCGGGACATTAGGCGTCACTTTGGAGGGGCATTCAGCTACCGCTAAAAAATATGTCCGAGCCTCGAGCCTTCACAGTTCGACCGCTGTCAAAGCAAACCAGAAGTGATCATAGAGATGCCTTTCGTGTTTATCTCTCGTCCTCGTCCTTGGCATTTTTAAAACTCAGAGCTGGAGACGTGTGCAATATTAGTCTCGCCGGCGGACCATCGAAAACAGCAATAGCTTGGAACGCGACCGAGAATATCCAAAATACGGTTGTACAGACCTCGAGAACTCTTCAGGAATGCTATGGAATCAAAATTGGGGAGAAGATTACAATATGCAGGGTCGACGGACCCCTGAATAAGATCGACACAGTCTCCATTATAGAGTGTTCAGATAGTGATAGGATTGCAAAATACGGCGCGATTCCACCCTCTGACTTAATCCACTGGTCATGGTCTTTGGAGCTGCCTCTTCTGAAATGCGATGGCATTGCTGTTGGCCTAGTATTTGAGCTAGAGCTTAGGAGCCAACGCCGAAGCTTCAGAGTGGCAGATATCTCAAGTCAAGATGGAAGTACTACGTGTACTCTTTTCAGATTTGCTGAATCCAGTGAGATCATAATGGGCGAAGATCTTAAAAAACCTCTAGAGCGTGGAACTTCCAATATTCAAGTGCGACCTACTGGGCTCGGAGGGATGGACCGGCAAATTGAAAGTATCAATGAAAGTCTCGCTGACTTTAACCCTTGTCTGGTCAATCTAGTAATGCCTTCATTCTATGAACATAGTCGAGGCATTCTTCTTTACGGTCCCAAGGGAACAGGTAAGACAGCGCTTCTGGAACAGATTAAAGCAGCAGGATGGAGGCAAACATTCCATATTGGATCCTCAGCCTTTGGCCGCAATATCGGGGACGCCGAATCCAAGCTGCGCAACGTATTCCAAGAAGCGATGCGCTGTCAGCCCAGTGCAATCCTAATTGACCAGGTGGAGTTTATTGCGCCTAGACGGACATCGCTCGATAGCCAGTCGTTGGCATCGGTTCTATGCGAATGCATTGACGCTACAAAGAATGCATTCATTCTAATAGTCGCCGCAACCCGTCATCCGAATGATGTCGATGATGCCCTGAGGACCCCGCATCGACTGGCAACCGAAATTGAACTGCATATTCCGACAGCACATGATCGAGCCCAAATATTACGTGCCATATGTGGAGGCCCATCCCCGGCATTGAGTGATACCCTCATAGACATGATAGCGGAGAAAACACACGGTTACGTTGGTGCCGATCTTTTCGCTTTGCTTCAGTTAATTAGTCGCAAGGCACGGCAAAGACAGATGTCGGAATTTGAGCTTCGTGTTAGCGACGAACGCACACCTTCCGATAATGCTGTTGAAGGTCCGATTACTCAGGAACCAGGTACAGCTATACATATCAAGGACGTTGATGTCTTATCAGCTTTACAGGAAACTCGGCCTACTGCTATGCGGGAAGTGTTTCTGGAGACGCCCAAGGTCAGGTGGTCGGACATTGGTGGACAGCACGAAATTAAGAGACGTCTACAGAAAGCAGTGGAGCGTCCATTGAAGGTAAGCGCGCACCTTCGGACTATGTTATTTCGGTTCTGACAAGACCAAGCATCCTGAGCGAATGAGGAGGCTTAATTTGACCAGCAAGAAAGGTGTACTTCTTTACGGGCCACCTGGGTGCTCTAAGACGCTGACGGTGAAAGCACTGGCCACGGAGGCAGGGCTTAACTTCCTGGCAGTCAAGGGAGCCGAGATTCTGAGCATGTACGTCGGAGAATCTGAGCGAGCATTACGAGAAATCTTTCGAAAAGCTCGCTCTGCAAGGCCCAGCATCATATTCTTCGATGAAATAGATGCTATCGCCTCTAAACGTGGCACTTCATCACAAGGCGGAGTCAATGTTCTTACAACCCTTCTCAATGAAATGGACGGCATCGAGGAGCTTAAAAGTGTCCTAGTTATCGCCGCCACGAACAAGCCTGAAGTGATAGACCCGGCGTTGATGCGCCCCGGTCGACTGGACAATATACTTTACATAGGACCTCCCGACTACGAGGCGCGGAAGGAGATTTTGGACATATGGTTCCGCAAATCTGTCATTAACCCGGAAGTTGAGGTGGATGTGTTGGCCATGAAGACTGACGGGTATTCGGGGGCTGAGATCGTGAGCATATGTGAGACAGCCGGTGATGCTGCTTTGGATGCGGAAGAGGAGACTGGCCAAGCACAAGATATCCGATGGGAGCATTTCGAGTATGCGCTCAAGCAGGTGAAAAGACAGATAACGGCTGCTGTTGTTGAGGCGTACGAACAGTGGGGTGACTCTGTTGACATATGAGCACAGCTTTTTTTATGTAGATACTATATAGCGATGCGATCATTCCGATTCGGAAGTACTAGACCACTTTTCACGGAGCCGCTGTTGTTCAACCGGCTACTTTGAAGGTTGCTTCCGCAGAGTTTTGTTCACTATGTGGGGCCTCTTTTGCTTGAACAAAAGAAAAGCAAATAAGAAGAAATGAAAAAGAAAGCAAAGAAAAAGGAGAATAATGTTTCAGCTTTGGTTCTTGATGTGCAGGGGGCTAGGATAACAAACATTGGACCCGCCAGCGTATTGGAGGAGGCACCCTACCTGGCGCTGACCTTCATACATGACACAAAAGGCTGTCAATACCATCTACTCTGCAGCTTTTGATCCGTCTTGGGCAACCCCACTCATTATCAGACCTCCCATGCGTCTCGCTCCCTTGGGATTTCGCTTATCCAGTCTTAATTCTTGCTACAATCAATTCAGCTTGCCCCTGGTTGATTTATAGGAAGCTTCCTCCACCAAGTGGATCTTGTAGGATGCCAGAAAGATACACTCGGGGTCGCTCTCGTGCCCGTTTGCCATCCTATTCGGAATTTGATCGGGCCCCGTCCTTGCAGCGTTCTTTGTCTCCTCACTCAGAATCAAGATTCAACACTACACCTCGAACTCGTTCTGTGGAGCGTGGCGCTGTCCGTCGCAATGCTCACCGTTCCAGAAGCTGGTCGCGATCATCGTCGCACAACCAAGCACCATCCCGTAGTCGAAGCCGAAGTGAAACTCCCAGACGTTACAGGAAAAAAGACTACAGCCGGACTCCGAGTCCCTCTGCCGATGCTTCAAGAAGCTCAAAGGTCGGTTGAGCTCCCATTGAACCAGGTTTTAATGCTGAAACTAATGGAAATCAAAGATAGTTATCGAAAAGTTGACTAAAAATGTCACCGAATCACATCTCCGGGAGATATTCGGTGGTTTTGGCGACATACAAAGTCTTGATCTCCCTATGAATAAAGCTTGTAAACTCTCTAGACTTATGCTCTCCTAGGTGCCTAGGCTGACGCCTCACTAGTCATGACAAACAGGGGCACCGCATACATACTTTACCACGATCCTGCGGATGCAGAGGCGGCCATCGCGCATATGCACGAGGCTCAGCTAGATGGTGCCATGCTGAACGTGTCGATTGTTCTTCCTAGGAGAGCCTTCTCTCGCTCACCACCACCAGTTCAACATAGCAGAGGAAGCTTTGGCCGTCCAGGACACGGCCGCGGACCTCCGTCGGATAGTCGCGCTCCAAGGTCGCCGCCACCCGCTAGGAGGTATCGCCGTTCTCGGCATATGGAAAGGCATGACATCTATAGGCCTCGCTCTCTGTCGCGCTCCAGGTCGCCACGCCGTTCTCGATCCCTTTCTTCCAAGTCTCTCTCAAACTCCCCACCGCCAAGACGGACACATTCGCGTATGGACAGCTCTCAGCGTCGCCGTCGCCGTAGCCCGAGCTACAGCAGCTATGGCTATAGCAGTCGCAGTGATAGGGACCGGAGTATGAGTCCAAGAAGAGACCATCATTGACCCAGTCTTCCTGCAAAGATATTGTCTTTGTGTCATTTGAAAGTCTCGAGAAGATATCGCATCAAAGCTACTGTTCTTGGCGCTGCTCAACTACCTGGGACTGGTATGAGTGATTCTGGGATGCAGGCCAATGGGCTTCTACACATGAATCAAATTGAAGTATTTCCGTATAACTATTAATGCAAAGATACGTAATCACGGGAGGAACTTAGGCAACCCAAGTCGTCCCCATCCCAGGTCCAGCAATCATGGACCACCCAGAACCAGGGCCAGTGTCTTAAAGGACCTCTAGAAAAAGGCGCACCAGCCAATATACATAGCAGCTAGATTCCTTACATCCGTTGCTTGTACAATTAGTTCATCTACGTGACCGTCCACCGAAAGTGGGACGGATTCACCGGGTAGAAGGCCGCGAAGTTTGTTGCGGACATTCTCTAGAACACCGGCAGGTGTCTCTGGTGCATTGACATGTGTACGACGCTTCTGTCTATCAGCAACGCGGGTCTTCTACCTTCTGGGTGGTGGTGCCTACCTTCTTCCCAATGAAATCCGTGGTAGGGTCATGCAGAAACGTCTCCAGAACTGTCATGAGTGCGTCTTCGTTATGGCGAAGTAGTCCAAGACTTATTTCACATGTCTTGCGGAACGGGCCTATCAATGGAAATTAGCTAATGGACATTTCATAGGTTGATTAGATCGAACCATTGTATCCATAGACACCGAACGCATCAACCATGTTTTGGGTCAGACGAAATGGGACCAGTTCAGGTATATCAAATGTTAATCCCTACTTATGTCAGCCTAGAAGATGATGAAAGGCAGGCTAGTTCTGGGCCTTGGGTGCCTAACCTTGTCAAAAAGACAATTGAAATCAACATGTAAAACACCCCCTGTACCTTCCTCGAACAATATGTTTTCACCATGTCGATCACCTAACCTGCAGAAAATGAGATGAAAGGAAAACAGTAAAGGGTGAACTAACGAACCCTAGGACATGTCCAACCATGGACATAACAGCACAGGATCGAGTATAACGAATTCTGGCGGCGAACCACGATCCTGCTTCAGGAAACATTTCAATGAACCATTCGTACAGAACTGGAGGAAACCTGCGACGAGGTCAGTTCTGGATTGGAGCTCACGAGAATGTGTTTGAAAAACTTACTTTGCCAAGATTCTGGTTGTAAAAAGATGGAGTTTTGAGTTATCGGAGCATGCTTCGTTGAGGTCGTGTCTGATCTCATTATACTGTAGTAGAATTAGTTCAGTAGCTGTATGGCTATCCTTAAGTTGAAAAGCTTACGTTTGGTGCGATGCCCCTCTCTCTTAAGAGCTTGATAACAATGTCCCTCAAAGCCCGAAGGTTGTCAACCCATTCGATTAGCCCGCATTCTTCGTTCAGCGGTGTCACAGCGTATGTTTTGATATCTACCACAGTGATCTCTTGGTCAGAAGGTAGCGGAACAAAGAGCAAATGACAGACGTTTGACAACTTACACATCCGGCGTTTGCTCGATTCCACATCCTTCTTGAAGAGCCGATTGATCATATTATTGAATTCCATGAGCCGTTGATCTTTGCGCAGGTCATCCTTGGGTTTGCACAGAATATTGTACATCTTTCCATCTGAGCCCCGAATTCCTATTCTTCGTGGCTTCTGGAGAGAATTCAAAACCTGCACATCGTCCATTATGGCTAATACGAGTCAGTGAGGTTTCTGTAGAAGCCAATTCAAGGAGCGTTACCTTCTATGGTCGTCGGATCTCTAGGGAAGGCCCTGAAACCTTTCAAATATTCAGGTTTATGGCTTGCTGGTAGCGTCGGTGTTAACATTGCCTGGAACGGCACCACAAGCCTACAAGGCGCTACTTTGTGACTAAATTTCAAATCACGAAGACTGACTCTAGCGACTTTGTCTTCGATGCGAGCTATACACAGCCTTAGCATTTCCTCTGAAAACTTTTGTCCTTGATTTATCATGCCACGCATATCCGACAATGGCTGATTCTTCAGTTTCTTGTTTACTTCCTGCTGTGGATTAGAGCTTGAACCATGATATGATGCAGATTTCTTTCCTTGACCTACCGTAATTTTCTGCAGGCAGCTTATTCCTCTGGATGCCCGGTCTTTGGAAGAGGACTTCACCACTGCGAGGACAGTCCATAGCCCTTGCTGGGGAAATGAGTTAACCGCCCGGGCTACGATCTTGGTTAATAAGTCGTATACCGTCGTATTCGGGTGACATATCCTAGCAACGACTTGAGGGAGAATCGTGAAGAGCTGTCTCTAGTTAGCAAGTTTTATATGATATCTGAACTTCTAACCAACCAGCGCAGCCGGAATTCTGTTCACGTATTTCCTGAGTTGTGTATGCATATCATCAAGGCTTTTTTTTCGCTGATTCAGAGTGTGCTTTTGAAAATCTCTTTAAAAACGCCCGGATTATCACGGTTAGTACGTAAATCGAATCGAAAGGGAACGGGAGCTAGAATGTTTAGAGCTCGAAGAAAACCAATCCTTACTCACTCGTTGTCTCCTCTCTTTGGATCAAACGGCTGGTCGACAGTAGATGCATGTTCTAGCCAGAGTGTCAAGATTTTGGGCAAGGACTGAAATACGTATTTGTTTCCATGGGCCAATGATCGGAGGTAGTTGTCAACGACTAGTTTTGAGGCCTCGCCACTCAAGCTGTATAAATATGAGCCATTGAAAATTCTGTTTGTTATGGATAGGAAGACCGACTAAATCTGTGCTTCTCTCCCCAGTGGCTTTGCTTTCTCCAAATCCAGAATTTTGTTGTAGTGCTTGCCTAGGTAGTAATGGGCCTTTTCCCACCTAAGAACCAGTTAGCTTCGACTTCAAAACACTTGCCGTACCTTTCTGGGACACGGAGGCTACCTAGGGTGAAGCTTTATAGCTTCCCTGTATCTCTGGACAATAGCATCTGACTGTGTTTGCCCTGCCCTGTCTGTCCATTTGGCCAGGAGCAGATGTGCCTATATTTTATGATTGAGTTAGAGCATGTCAGTAGCCTATGGATGGTGACGTACTCGAGCCAAGAGCAAGTTTTCATGTTCACCATTGTTTGTAATTAGTGATGAGGTGCGTTCTTGAGATGAGGTTGTCTCTGATGAAAACTCATTAGCAGCGATTGCGCCTTCCAGTGTTTGTATTGCCTTTCGGTGATGACCATCTTTCCAGAGCAGTCGTGCATGCTCAATAGTGGCAGATCTATCATTCAAACGAGCCGCATGGAGCATCGATTGGTATGCTTGATTGGTAAAGTTGCTTTTGCGCGACAAACGTGCACTGGTTAGCCAAGCAGCGGCTATGTCAGAATCGGTAAATTCGTTTCTTACGGCTTTATCAGCATATAAATTCAATAGGTTTATAGAAAAAGAAGAAGAAGAAAAAAAAAAAAAAAGGAGGAGCGACATACGTTAGCTCCATGGTGGCCCTTCTAAGACCTAGGAGGTATTGCTTATCAGAGATGTAGCCCCCAAGGATATCCAAACGTCGATCCAGTATATCAGGTAGCTTTGAACGTGAGTCACTGCTTCCACAGTCCTTAATTTTAGCGCGAGCTATGGACTCCACCTCGTGTAGAGTGTGTAGCTTGAGAATGCTATCATGGCATGACTGCAATGATACCACGGAGTTAGCTGTTAGGGACTTGGCCACACTCAGTCGTAAGGCCTCCATATGTTCCCAAAATTCCGTATACTTGCCGTGCCGGAAAGCATTGAGAGCCAATCCGATCTCAATATTGAATTCGCCTCTACCCAACTGCGAGAGCTGCTGGAGATACTCATTTAGCTTTCCCCAATTACTTGTGATCCAGGTCGCTTCTACTGCGAAAGGTAGAAACTTTCTAGATGAACTATTTGCTTTCAAGATCTCGAACCGCGTGAGAATGGCATCTGAGAATATGTCAGCAGGCCGGCTAGACTGGTCTTGATTAGGGCGATACCTTGTTGTCCAGATTCCTTAAGACATGCGAGTAAATTCCATTGCGCCTCGCTATTATTTGGTTCTTTCTCAAGTTGCAACTCATACCAGCTTTGCGCGGTAGCCCACCTACCCGCCTTTCGATGCTCAAGTACCTGCTGATCGATGTTTAACACGTGCAGATGGCTTGAGATTCCCTCGATACCGTCTGGTTCATCTATTCGACTGTAGATATCTTGTAATCGCTGGTATAGAGGTTCGACGACGGCGCCTCCTTGCTTAGAATGCTGGTTTTTCCACTGTCTGATGTACTGCTCCCAATGGAACAGAGCCCGTGAGAACGATTTGCACTCAACAGCCCTCTTGGAGATGACTTCCGGAGGTATTGAGCTCAGAAGTATCTCCACAGCCTTGGCTTGCGAATAGTAGGTGTCTAACAGAGCATCGCGAGATGCTCCCTTGTGGGCACGATTTGAAGGATGGCTGTGGTTTCTGAGGCCATTGATCTGTTTCTTTTTGCCCTGTAGCCACCTTGAAAGGTAGTCGAGGACCTCGAAAATGCTCTAAGTCGAACAGTGAGAGAAAATTCAATGAGCCCGTGTGAACAAATAGAGAGACGATACTCACCTGACTACACAATATGATGTTTTCATATACATAGTCGTGTGTGTCTGGTAATGGGTGTGACAGGACATTCACTAGTTCGCAGCGTAGATCTTCTTTCTCTTTTGCACTCCCAGAAACCGTTCGATTAAGCACCGCGAATGGCAACAAAAAAGATGCTATTGAGATGTCTTGGCCTTTCACAATGCGGCTGCAAACACTAAATACTAATTTCGCATTGTCACCGTTTCCGGCTTGCAATAGATCTTGCACAAAGCTTCGTAGCCAGTTGCCATGTGTCAGCCCAGCTGTGAACAAGGGATAGCTGCAGTTAGTGTTGAGGGTCCCAATGGTAACTGTATACTTTGAGGTAAGAAAAGGAGCTAGAATGTTGCGAACAGTTTCAGGTAGCTCTAGCCAGCGTTGATATTTCTCATCGGCTCGGAAGTCGCGCGATCGATTGGCCACAGCTGAATCGAGACCGCAGAACCTGAGTAAATTCTGCATCGCATATGCAAGGAATCCTTGAGCCCTAGTATTTGAAGCTGACAGGAACGTCTCGACTAGAACGTTTTGAAGGAAGAAAAGTATGAAGTCAAATGTCTCTTCCATGCTGTCGAAGTTGGACAAAACCAGAATCCCTTTCTTTTCTTTGACCGTGTCCACTCGGTTAGGGTCAAGACAGCCGATCAAGCCTAGGCATTCAGCCGATAGCTTGGTTATAACATCCGAGCTAGTGTTGAATTTCACACAACAATCAAGCAATGACCGTGCTAACTGTGCAACAACTGGATCTGGAATCTCACTGAGAACAGATCTATGAATGAACTCTTCATTCTGGGAGAGATAAGGAACTAGCTCACGCAAGGATTGCTCAACAACTGTTGCAGTATCGCTTTGACAACGACGAATGAATGCGAGGAAATGGCTTCGTACATCCATCGTCTCTTTCATGCTATTCAGCGTGGCTTCATGCTTGTAAAGTATCGGAATTGAAGCCAGTGAGGGCATGGTGTTGAAAATATCGCGTACCAACTCATAGTGTGACTGCATGATGTATTCAACGAGTTCGCACGCTTGTTTCCTTGTATCTTCGTGGAACATGTCCCAGTATCTGATTACAATTGATAGTGTCTGATCGATGAGAGGCTCAACTTCCTCTTCTTGTAGGGAACTGATCAGTACTCTCCAGACGATAAAAGCGTTGTTACAGAGCTCCTGAATCTCAAGAGCGGCTCGTAAACATGCGCATATCTATCTCACTTTAGCCTACTTTTGGATCAGAACATATGAGCTTAGTTATGCACGAACCTGTGGTAAGGCGCTACTGATATGACCGCGAGCAACCTTTATCATCTCTCCAATCGCTGCAATGTTCCTTTTCTTCTCAATCAGAGGTTGTCTGATTTGGAAGTCATTCACAGCATGTGCGAATTGTGTGATTATTCCGAGAACATGCTCCTCAACGAAGTATCCTATCAAATTCGCTCGTCTTGGTGTGGGACCTGACTTTCGTGGAACAAGGATGGCTAAATGGTGAAGTGCCCGGAGAAACTACAATTGCTTCATGTCAGCATCGATCGCCCTGTGGCATTGCTAATGACTTACCCTCTTGCCTTTATCCTCCCCTAAGTCGCCAAGGCCTTTGAGTAAGTCACAGGCAATCAATATTGGCTCAATCCTCAAAAGCTCAGCCAAAGTACGGCCCCTAAAGGCAGAATCAACCTCCGATAAAGCGGACATGACAGATTCTTCCAGATTCGGCGATGGTTGGCTCAGCAGAAAAGCGAGTATGGATGCGAGATTGTTCTTCTCTGAGCAGATATCGAATGGTGTCTTGGCGTCCTTGTACGTTGCCCCGACTCTAATGATCACATCGCGCTTCCGGGCAAGCACTAGATATGGAAGGACATAGGTCTCAGTCAATCTAAGAAAGTCATCCACTTTCATACCCAGGAGGTCGCAGAGCTGTTCTGCCATGTAGGGACGAGACTGAAAATTTCTCACGACGGTTACCGACAAGGTCCTCCAAAAAGGCCGAAACAAGGCGGCCGGAGTGACAGAAAGATGCTGTGCAAGCCCTGCAAGCTAAGTTCTGTCAGATAATGATCTAATGTAGTCACATGCGGAAGACAGCATATGATCACAATGTCAGGCTTCACACATACTTCGGTATAAGCCACCGCGCCTATAAACGGGTTCGAGTGTCCAAGGTACTCTACCAGACGAAGGAGTATGATATTCATCTCTTCGTCATTGGAGAATCTATAGATATGAGATATCTCAGCCAATACACACAACTACTTGGAGTAGGATCAAACTCACTGCGCCAAATGACATAGAGTAAGGATGCAGGTCTCATGTAATGGCGTCTCCTGTTTCTGAGAGAGATTCTGCAACCAGTCCAGAATGACAATGAAATTACTTCGTCGAGTTTCGTGGTCAAGATTTCTACGAACGAAGGAGGTTATTGAATGTCTGATGGTTGTCAGCACTTCGAAGTTACAACAGATCCCTGATGAAAGATACCCTGTAGTAAGACGTAGCTCTCGGACAGAACTTCTGAGAGAATTCAAGCAAAATTCGCCGAAAACAGAAGATGTTAGCTGCATATGAGCTGACTCGGAAGTATGCATCAACGTTCTTCTTAATGCAACTGTCGCAGCTATTCTCAGGTTCGCAGTCCGTGAAAGATTCGAAATGATGTGATCCAGGATCTGGCATAGTTCATCGCTCTTGACAGTTTGCGAGTTGCTTTCTGATTTGAGGTCACGACATTTGGGGTCACAGATCCTACAGGTGAAACTGTCCTCTGAATCAACATTTTTGATATCCGTCAGGTTTCCGGACAATGCACAGGGTATAGTGCACAAAACACATAAGAGACTTAGTTTGTCCTGCTCAGATAGACCAATGTATGACGTTCTTTGCGTTATCAGTCAACAATTGAATTCATGGGGACAATGCATGTCAACTTACGCAACCGCACAGCTCAGATCTCCCAGGGTCCCACTCTGGTCACAGCGGAGTAGCTTAAGTGACTTGGCTATAAGCCTCTGTGCCACGTTTCGGCTTTCTCTGTCAGCATCCAGACGCGGGAGACAGCGGCGTTTGGCCATCTGGACGGCTCCAACACGACTACTGGAAGAGTGGCCAGAACCCGGGAATCCGTGAACAGCTGCCATTTCCGGTATGTTCCCACTGCAGAAAGCTGCCTCTGCATCTTTTGCATCGAGAGAATTGTAAACTATGGGACAATGTACGAGGGAACTCTCGATCGCAGCCTAGTTTTGAGGTTAACTAGACGATGGTTATAGTGAGGTCCATATAGATTGATATACCTGAAGACAAGTATCAAATGAATTGAACAATGCGAGCTTACTCTTAACAGGCAATATAGTAGCCCTCATTGATCGCATTATGTCCTTTTCGGATGTGAAAGCATTAGTGAAGCTGTCAATGGCCTGGCTTAGGCTTAGTTGGAGATCAGAAGCCTGATTCAAGATTTCTAGGGCCAATGTCTCTGCGAATATATGGAGGAAAATGCATGCTAGCCTTTGTTTCGGTGACGTATATGGGACATGGTCGCAGAATCTCTTTATGAACCTCAGAAACCGTGAAAAGGTCGGGATTTGGCTTGTAACGTCCTTAACATCTGACTTGCAGTGCCAAAGCACGGTGAGCTTCCACAAACGCCGATATCCATTAGAGAGCCACGCCAAATTCTGTCGTTTGGATGGGATATTGTAAGAAACGTAAGCATTGATTGCAGAGATGAGCAAATTAAGGCATAAACGGACTGCTTGAGCACAGCTCTCAAGTCTGATCAATTTCTTGAAAGATGCACAGCGCAGGCCAAGTCTGTCCAGATCCAAAGTACAGAGCTGCTTCGGATTTACTACAGAGGAGCTGGCCACATGGGTAAGCTGAGCTCGAGACTGATAGGCCTCAAGAGCACTGAGGAGTTCTGGAGAGATCAGTACAGGACTCAGTTGTAGCCGAGAGATTTCACAAACCAGTAGTGCAAGCCTGAATCAAAGCAGTTATACCAACAAACGAAGACCATAGCCTCGTATTATTATGTGGGGCATTGAATATACTTGCGAGGATGCCACCGATTCTATCTTCAACAGGCTCACTGTCCCAGGTAGAGAATAAATGGACTAGCCAGACGACTAAACACGAGTACAAGGGCGCCGCTGCATCCTTTCCCAGAAGTTCTGGCTCCGGCATCTCCAAAAGCGCTAATGGGGCTTTGTCAACAGCATTTTGGACGATGTCCAAGCAGTCCAGGAGTTGACCTTGCAATTCCGACCTATCGTCTCTGATACAAGGCTCTAAACCTGCTTTCAACACGATGCAAATCAGTTTCTTAACGTCAGTGATACTATCATTAAGCTGGAGATGACTATATTTCCCCTCGAGCAACTCATGGCGGAGCTGCGAAAATGCCTCTTTAGTCAGACCAGGCGTTCCATCACCCTGTGATGAAAGGTGTGGTACAAGGTTGGCTGCGAGTGTAGAGGAGACTGGCTCCGCAGGATTCCAATCTGCAATCCCAGGTATTGGTAGACGAGACTCCTTGCGCTTATTAGTTGCCATTGGCGATGCCTTTATACATGGTCCTTATTTTGTCCCAGGCCTCGTCGCGCGAAGGTGGTGATCAGACCGGCTTAAGGTCTTCGGAAAGTAATACTCATGTATAATTCAGTGACGCGTAGTACGGTGTAAGTACATGTATGTCTTCCCCACAGCGCAGCCACTCAGGTGTTAAGGTTTCCTAAAAGTACGAGACAATGTGGGTCAAAACATGAAACGTGCTTATCAAATTGGTTATCAAAGTGAATACCCTCAAGTACTAAGTGGCATGTTATGTGCACGGTTGCAGAATAGTAATCGTATATGGAGTACTTAGGAAGCGGTCGGGTGGTATCATTACCACATAAGCGGACTTCCGGGCGGTGGGTAAAAAAATGGGGCTTATGAGGCAAAATCCTGGTATCTCTGGACTCGCGGAGGTCAACGTACAAGGAAAGTTTCCTCTTCCGCTTACTGTGTAGAAACAGGTGGGGTGAAAGGAAAGAAAGGGCCAGGAACATAGTAAATTTTGTTTTCAATTTTAGTTATTTTGTACATGCAAAGTGGGAGACACCCCTCGGATGACTTATACGTGTTATCAAGCCTACTCTTGGTGTGCTCGGTGTCAACTATTACACTCAGCTAACCAACCTTTCAGCAACAGTCTTACTACAAGGCCCTTCTCCAATTGACGAATGATAAGCGGAGATGTCTGGTGACATGCCATCTGAGTCGCTGGAGAGCAACTCTGAACATGCTTATTTCATGAAGCAGGCGTTATTGATGGTAATTGTATCTTGCCCGAGTGACACTGGAGGTTGGAATTCTTATACTTGCTCTAGGGAGAAAAAGCCCTTGAGACCGGTGAAACCCCGGTTGGCTGTGTTCTGGTGTATGACAAAAAGATTGTTGGTTTTGGGATGAATGATACAAACAAATCCATGAATGTAGGTGAGCCAACTGCCTGAACAGTCAATCCCCGTGAACACCTTCTCGGAAGTGTCTATGAAATCTGAAATTCTCCTTCCTTGTCTCTTGTGAGAGTCCCCTTCAAAGCAGATCAGACAGTGTTTGTGAAATCTGAACCTATAGCCGGTCTTCTCAGGGTACAAGACATGCCGAGTTTATTGCCATCGAAGAAATGCTTGAGACTTATCCTAGGTCAGCGTTGCGTTCGACAGACCTCTATGTAACTGTTGAACCGTGTGTCATGTGTGCATCTGCCTTGAGACAGTATCAGATACGGAAAGTATACTTCGGTTGTGGAAATGACAGGTTCGGAGGAACAGGTAGCATTTTATCACTACATGCCGAGTTCGTTCTTGCCTTCCCTTGGACATACACCCCTGACGCAAAACTAATTTATGCTAGTCGCTCAATAGATCCATCATACCCTGTGCAAGGCGGGTTGTTCCACAAGGAAGCTATCATGTTACTCCGGCGCTTCTACATACAAGAAAATGAGAAGGGTAGGTGGCTGGCTTCTGACAGCTGTGACAAAGAAGTCTTTTTAACATATCATTTCGAATAGCGCCCAAGCCCCGCCCTAAAAAGCACCGTGAATTAAAAACCGATTTCAACCAGGAAGTCCTCGTTGCATCCCCTACACCCTGAGCAGGGACAATTGGTCCTTGGTCGAACGGCCACACAATCAAGGAAGCTGAAGGCCGCTAAACACCTTCGATCTCGTGTTGAGGCGATTGAAGTGAAGTCTAGTGGCGGTGAATTGAAGAACATGTTCCATCTAAATTTTGCGTTGCTTCAGGAACTAAATGTACAATATCGCGCAAGAGCCAATGAAACGTCAACGAGGCGATCCTTTTACCACCACTGATATCAGAAAATTCAGGAGCTCGCTTGCTTCAACCGCTCGGCTTCCAGCTCCCGCTCGGCTTGCTGATAGTATTTGGCCGTGTCGACGCCATGCTTGTATTGCAGTTAGTAACCAATTTGGTATTCAGCGCTGATGATTACGTATGAAAGGCGGTCGCTCCTCCATTGCACTTACCTGGTCATGGTTGACTAGGTTGAACCATGGAAGAACATGGATAAATAGCTCAGAGTATCTAGAGTTTCGAGCAGCAACTCCTTGCAGGTATGAGGAGACTTTGGATGTGCCATATAGGGACTCCCCTTTCTTGACTTTGTCCACCATCTCCTTCATATCCATATCAGCTTCCCTCGAATTCTCTGTGAAGCCATAGAAGCGGTCTGTACAAGAGCGTTAGTGTTAAAAAAGATGTAGACCAAAACCATGGTTGCACTGACTGCAGGATCTCTGATAGACCACGTGAAGACCTCCAATAAGGCCAATGGCTGTTGCTAGGCGCATCACAGGAGCGAACCCTCCCCTGCCCACATGGGATGGGCTCACTCTTTCCATAATCCAGAACGCAAGAGGAGACGCAGCGGCCATTCCGCCGCCCACTGCGTAGTCAGAGGGTCGTGCATATCCGAAAACTCGTCTCAGGTGCCTGGTTTGAAAAGTGAGTCAATTGCAATATGGTAACGTCAAGCTAGTCCATACGGGTCGGAGTCAATTAGCTACAAAAGCTCAAGTTAGCCGCAAGATCCGTAAGTCCAAGTCGAATAAAGAACATCGACCCTACCGGGTAGTCCGTATTGGCCCGCTTCGGGGGGACAAGAATTGATTTGTGATCAGTCGCCATTGTGACCGGGCTGGGACGGTGGAGGATGAATTATAATGGACGTTTCTGGATTGGCTTCCACTTCAATGGAGATGGAAGTCGGACGGAGTTGTGCCAAGCACAATGCTATACCGGTTGTAGACTAGCAAACTGTTCATAATTACAAAGCAAAAATAATGCACATATACAGTTATGCCGAAATGGCTGTTATGACCCGTTGTCACGCTAATCCGACCGCCTACCATACTCTGATACTATGATGCTACTGGTCTTACCTTTCCTGGCAAATTAGCTGAGAGCCTGGCACGCGTCTCGAGTGACGCGTAACTTTATCCGTTCACAGCTGTTCGCGATGGTCATATTTGCGAGTTCCTATCGAAGTATGCGTACTGCTTGCTCGGTCAACAAGAATAAAATCATCTGAGAAGGCTGTAATTTTCACCATCTTTAAGACATCAGGAGGTTCATCGGAAAATGGAAAAAGATGTGGGCTACTCAAACCCATCAATGGATCAGGATGATACATTGTTCGATTATGATGCCGGCTTAGAGGGCACATTGCAAGATATAGCTGTGGATCCCAAGAGGGATGAACCTATTGCTGCACCAGTATTAGGTCTGGATGAAAAGGTCACAATCACTAAGCAGCGACGATTTACAGTCAAGTTGGATGAGAGCCGGTGAGACTGACATCCGGCGTAGCGCTCTGAATACAGGCTTATTGCTTCCTAGGTTACTGTCACACGCCGGAATACCAAAACTGCGTTCTACAGCGAAGTCGAAACTGAAATTCAAAGGCAAAGGGCATGAGGTCTGCTAGAACCGATTTGTATAGTCGCCGAGGGACCACTGCGTGGCTAACTGTTTTTCAAAGTTTTCGGATGCCGCTCGACTCTTAAATTTTTATCAACTATGGCTCGATGATTTGTTCCCTCGTGCGAAGTTCGCCGATGGATTGGCTATGATAGAGAAACTGGGTCACTCGAAACGCTTGCAGACGATGCGAAGAGAATGGATAGACGAGGAAAAGCCGAGACTTTCCGCAGCTGACTCTGAAGATGCGCAACAAGCGAAATCTTCGAGCCCACATACCCGTGACAATAGTATGCCTATTGGGCATCTTGAAAAAGCCAACGCTATCATAGGCCGAGGAGATAACGTGGCACAGGCGCCCCCAACACAGGGCCTTGGAGAGCCATCTTCACTTCTGCTAGGAGGCATTCTACAACAGGAGGATTTGTTTGTGTCTGATGATGAAAGTGTTCCAAGGGAAATCATAGAAGAAGGTGCTCATGAAAATAATGATGATGATGATGATGATGAGCTGGAAGCACTTCTTCGGGAGCACGAGGATGGTTTTATTGGTAACAATAATCTGGCAGGATCAGATATAAGGGCTTGACTCAGTAGGCCTATAGGTAACCTGGGTCCTTTAAATGACATCGATATTTTGAGGATTACAACTACTCAATGCACTAATACATGATTCATACAGTGGGCGAATTGTTTATACATAGCGTAAATTCCACAAGAACGGTCTACGAACCAGCTCGGTCTTTTTTTACTTGTCCTTGCTCCTTTTCTCTAGTTTACGAATGACTTATAAAACATAAAGTACATGTATTATCGGAAATGCCGAGATGCGGCAGATACCAGCATAATGTGCCCTTTCTCTCTCTTTTTCTATTTTCCTTTTTATTCTATTTTCCTCTTCTTCCGTGTCTGCAATGTATTTATTGACTGGTCTAAGCGTAATCAACAATACTGCTAAGACAATTGAAACACGCCCTTGCAATGGACCCATTGGAGACGAATTTGAAGTGCCGGTGTGCCTCCCTTTTCTTCCCTGGCATTAGCTTATAAATTATGCTAATGCTGCAGGCTCTGTGAACACAGAGAATTGACCACCACCACCTGCCCAGTTTAACTTCTTACCACGAACGGCAGTATTCTCGATGACAGTCGCTACTTCGATGTCATCAGGTGTACCTTGGCCCGTTTGATAGGTGGCGGAAAAGCCCCACGACCAAGGACGACCCTCTACATCAATGACGAGTGAATGGTCTGAACCGGCTGCAACAGCAATGGCCTTGACTCCAGGAACAGCTTTGGGATCTATCAAGATACGAGGCCGCCCACGCTCGTCCTTGATGACCGCATCCTCGGCTAGACTATCGATTTTCAGACCTGTCTGGTAGCCATCCAATCGTCCCCATACAAGGCACTCGCCATCATTAGCGATAGCAAGCGAATGATGGGCGCCGCCGCAGATTTGTGTGACTGCTTTTCCAGATAGCGAATCCACGACGGTGGGGTGCACAATCGCAGCTTCGTCATCACCGGCACCAGCCCTGATACCCGTTTCGCCGAAACTGTTCAGACCCCATGCGTAAACCTTTCCAGACTGATGAACAGCGAATGAATGGAAAGCACCACAGCCAATATGCACAATATTCTTCGGCAGGCCAAACTCGCGCGGCTGCAGACCGTTCAGCCTGTTTCGCTCAATGATACGACGGCCCAGTTGGTTTTGCTGACCCGAACCCCATGATAACACAGCACCTTTATCATTCAGTGCTAAGACGTGATTATCGCCACATGCCAGGTGTTTGATTTTCTTCAAAGACGGTATCAGACTAGGCGTATGTTGGACTTTATTGGCGGCATCAAAACCTAAGATACCATCATTGCTCTAAATCGCCTCTTAGCTCAAGCAGCTCTGTATACAAGGGCGTGCAAAGCTTGACTTACTCTGAATGTTCCCCAACCATAAACTTGACCATCATCTGTAAGGGCAAAGCTTGAGCTGTCGCCAGCAGCGACTTGAACGAAGACGGTGTCTTTCGGGAAAGCCTCTGACGGAATAGCGGTGGGAGTTGATTCGTAGGGGTTTAGAGCAATGTCATCATCGGATTCCGAGTCTGACCCATTGTTGGCTTCGTCGATATCTTTGTACCCACCATCCCAAGCAGTATCTCTGCCAAGGGCTCCTTGATCGTTGACGCCCCATGTAAGGATCCTGTTGTCATACGTAAGCGCAACGCAATGCATGCCACCAACAGCGACCTGGACAGCACCGACACGGTCCGCTGGCAAGTTGGCATTCAACCGAGGCCGCTTCACATCAACTGCATTCTTAGCAGATCCTAGCCCCAACTCGCCTGAGCTGCCTTCACCGCACACATAGACATTTAATCGAGTGGTTGGCGCATGGTTGATGACCACCTTCGGCTTCAGTTTAGTAACCCGGGGTTTAGCAACACGAGCTTTCTTCAAATCGCGAGCAGGAGCTTCATCGATAACTTCTGCTTTCCGCTTCTCACGTCTCGCAGGCTCAGCTTCATGCTTCTTGCTTGCAAGGTTGTCGACTGTTCCACCTTTGGTAGCTGTGGTGGATTTCACGGGTTGTCTCTTGGTGGTCTTCTTGGGCTTCGAAGGGGTCTCTCGCTTGTCAATTGGAACTTTGCGAGCAGTAGTGGTCGTGGCGGTTGTCTTATTCGCTTTCGTTGTTGTTCTGGTGGTTGCCTTTGTAGTTGCTTTCGTAGCTGCCTTCGTCGTAGTAGTTGTAGTAGATGTGGCCCGTTTACCCTTTGCCGTCGCAGCTGATGCCGCAGCCGGCTTGGGTGCGCTTTTCTTGGGTGGCATAGTCACAATCGAACTAACAGCTAGGTCTTGGCAGATAGGCGGTTGCAGTGGGCCACAGGAATACACGGGATCGTATCAGGGATGGAAGGGTTGGAAAGAGGTAGGAGTTACACCAGCGAACCGGGTATTAAGCTGCTAAGAACGAATGGAAAAGGAGGAGGGGGTGGGGGGAGAGCAAACCACCGAAGAGGCGTTGGACGATTGAAAAGCAAAAGGAGCAAGGAAGAAAGGGTGGGGAATGTCGCCCATGCGATACGAGGTCCGGTGTTGTTGTTTTGTTGTTGTTTTCTATCTGATTTTTAGAGCAACACTAAGGAACAATGGCGGCCGTGAAACAGAGAACGCCGCTGTTTCAACACCAATCCAGAAGACGCCCAGAAGTAGTTATATGTTTGGCTAGAAGATTGTCTGGTTATTCACCCCCATGGAGGTTCTTTGTTCCCATTTTTATTCCTTTATATTTTATTATATTATTTTAGTTTTCGTCTATCTTTGTGCCCTGAAGTATGTAATAGACTGTAGTACCGGCCTAGAAACGCCTGCATGAAGTTGGTTCTCTCCGGGAGCTCAACCCCTTCCATTGCTCGGACATTCTTGACTACTACTAGTAGGGACTGCTATCTCTCGCCAAGCTGCCATGTGTTGCAGAAGGCAATCCTCGCGACTGTTACTGTAGAACATTCATCGTGACTCCGCTGACAGCCACCTTGGGTTTTGGGCATACCTTCTGTTCTCAACAACAATGGTATGTTTTACGACTCGACATTGGTAGCAGGGGACTCTGCAGGGGGCGCAACCCGTATTCTCCCACACATTATAACGTTCTGACCCAGGGGCGTCCATTTCACATCCCTAGGGTTCAGAGCAGCGTTTGGCTTGCCTTCTTGATCCCGCTTGGAATCTGGGCTCACACTTACTCCACCAGAACCAAGATAGGTTGGGGCGACAGTAACAATGATAGAATCAATGAATTCGGTGTATTCGGGGTTCAAAAGCTCACTCAAAACGGTCCCGCCGCCTTCGATCATGACGCTTTTGATCCCCTCAGATGCCAGCGCACGTAGTATGGCTTCCCAGCGCAGCCGCCAGTTTTGATTGTACTCCATGATACGGAGGTAATCACCCCCGTAGCCTTTCAGCATCATCAACTTCTGCGGGTCAATCCTGGCCCCCGGAGATACCACTACCCACGGCGCCTTGCCTTTCCCTTCTACTGCAGTCCTTAGCATTCGGCAGTCTGGATGTACGGGCCATCGTCCTGTGGGATCGACTACCACTGGCCGCGGTTGCCACATCCTTCCAAGGCCACCGAACCCGCCTGCACCTTCCAGCCTACAGTTTAGCCCGGGGTTGTCTGCAAGCACTGTTCCAACTCCAATGAGGATCGCGTCATGGCGTGACCTGAGATAGTGGGTCATCAGTTTGGCCTCTGGTCCAGATAGAACAGTCTGCATGCCTGGAAGGAGTGATATCTTAGAGTCCATCGACGATGCATAGGATAGGGTGACATGAGGGAACTGGCGTCGATCATTGTGCTTTGGAAGATAAGGCTCAAGAAATTCTAAAGGAAACTGAGGGAAGGAGAGCGTATCCGGGGGTAAGGATGAGTGTATGGCTGCATTCGATAGTAACTTGTCGCCCGGGGTATTGCTGATACCATCAGCCGCTCGCATCCTCACAATGCCATGACCCTTGTGATATTCATAGCCTTCATGCGCCACAAGTTTAACGTCGGGGTTCTGTATCCTCCACTTCGCCGAGACGTTGCGCACGTCCGTCACTGTACAAAATTTCCCCCCAGCTTCAATTAGCTTTTCAGGTTCTTCCTGGAACTTCGTGAAGATCGAGGAAGGCAAATAGCCCTTGATTGCTTCCCTCCGCGCAAACTCCATTAGTCCAGAATTTCGCTTCACTCGGTCAATATAATCGAGATCATGCGAATGTACCTGACTGCTCCCTGGAGTCCTCGCAATTGTCACCGTCGAATATGCTCCTTCAAATTTGACAACTTTGATTTGGAAGTTGCAGATACCACCCTCCCGCACCCTCTTCTTTCGAGGGCGTTTGCCTTCAGGAAGAGGCCGAGTTTCTGACGTACGATGAGTGGGGCGTCGCAGTCGACACATATAATAGTCCGTAGTGCAATGCCCTTCTTTGCTGGAATTAGACCTCTGTTTGACCCATACATTGTCGATGAACGGCCAATAAGTCTCAAATTCCTCCAGGCTGATCTCTATGGGATCCTTGCACTCGAACATTACTTGGCGTATCCGTGCAAGATTTGGGGGATTGTTGATGAGATTGTGGTTCGTGGCCGAGCTTGAGTCCCTTGACCGGGAGTCACGGCCGGGATCATCGGCATCTGGCTCTCTAGGGATATGGTCGCTCGCGGAGTTGTGGTCGCTTCCTAGCTGTATGGGTCCTTGTACATCCGATTCCTCTGGTCTTGCAGACCCCGCCGCAGTCCCAGAGAAGTGGTCGGTTTCGAGAACCGCATCGCGGAGTATGGGTTCGGTGGGCGTTGTATTATCATTGTGGTTGCGGTTGTTGTCATTCTCGTAAAAAGTCACCATGCGTCCGTTCAATGTAGCTTCTTCTAATCCACCTTTTGCACGGTTCGAAGCATCAGCGTGCGATGACCCTGACCCAGAATCAGGTGATAATGATTTCGTACTCGTATAAGACGCGTCTGAGTGGTCATGTTCCATGTCGAACATTGGAGATTCTGAGGCTTGACCAAGGGCAGCTTAAGACACGTACAGTGTGGTCCAATATCGGGTCGAAAGGGCCCCGCAGCTAGCCTGCTCAATTCATGGCTCAAGAACGATGTGCCTGTTGTACTGCTGTCATGAAAAACGTGATGCCTGCTGTCTATTAATGCAAACCATTCACTTATAGGCGTTCTTCCTCAGCCGAAAGAGTTCGGGGTCAGATTAGACCTTGTGCTGGGACCAAGCAGCCATTCAATTCCCTCCGTCATTCAGCCGATGTTCTTGGCGCCCTATCTTGCGGAAAGCACCCGCGCTTGCCGGAAACCAAGCGCCTTCTAGATAACTATTCAGGCTTCGTACTCTTTAATCTCTACGAGCTTGTGGATACTTAAAAACTATTTGGGTACACATTTAAATGTTACAGGGTAATAAGTATGTGGTGTTATTTTAGCAGCTACCTCGGTTACGACATTGCAGGTGGAATCTAGTCGCGTACAAAGCAATATAGCAGTCAAGAACGTGCTAAAGCCCGTTGCGATCTCTTATCGGGCTGCTTTGTCAATAAGCTCCGATCTCTGCTCCAGCTCGCGCCAGCGTCTCATACACTTTCGGCGGCAGCTTGTATTTGACCATCCCAGAGAATATCATCAGATCCTTGGCCATGACGAGCAACTCATCCGCCAGTCCCTGTCTTATTTCGTTCTCATATGTACCAGAATTTAATCGTTCCCTTTCATGACCGATACATGTGATACACCACATGATCACATGGCCGACATTATGGGAAATAATCGGCGGGAAGGACGAAAAGGCTTGGGCAGCGCTCCTAATGTAGGGAACGGCGCCTCGGGCTCGCAACGGCAGAATGCTCAGATCATTGATAGCCTAGAGGAAGTCCGTTAGTTTGGTCGCTGCCAGTTAACACAAGTATAAGATCAACCTACATCCAGAGCCGGCGTCCATTTTGCTGCCTCAACTTCCAACTTGGCCTCCATCATCCTAAGTAGCAATCCGCACGCATCGCGATTGACTTGACGGATTCGTTGGTAATACATCGCGTTTGCATTATACAACCCAATCATATTCCTTGCCAGAACAACTGGATTATCCACGGTTGTTAAGCTGAGACTGCCACCGGCTTCCAGCTCATGATCATCGGTCCGAGGCCTCAAAGGCTGCAATTTCAGGGCGGGTCCGCCCAGTTCTACAGCAACGGCGTCAGACAGCGCTCGATTGATGATATCAATGACGCGGTCGTAATCCTCAGCGAGGTGATATAATAGGACCGCATCCGTAATAAGACCCTTGTCATCGGCGATAGCTGCTGCTTGCAGAGTGATCGTCTTGAGGAACTCATCTTGATCGACTAGCTTGATCAGGCTAATACGTTGTTCAATCAGCCCCTTGATTCTGCTTCCGTCTGATCTGATGTCGCCCAGCAACTTAGCAAAGTCCCTAGTCTCAAGAATAAATTCCCGCAATGCTTCATGGCACACAGAAGCTTGAGATTTACCCAGAGCTCCGGGGAGGTCGGCGTTAAGGCATAACAACGTAAAGTAATCAATTGCGGCTTCCACATATCCCGTCCGAAATTCTCTGGTGTATTGTGTGATTAGATAGCCGAAATTGATCTGTGGGTATTGCTTTACAGTAAAGGACACTGCGGCTGTTAGGTTTTCCTATAGGATTCATCACGGTATATCGGGTTTCCAACTCACATATCTCTTCACCTGACGTGTAAAAATCAGAGACGCGCAAGATACCATAATAAGCCAAGGCAATGGCAAAGTGCACAGCTGTGATCGGAGCATAAGAACCGAGGTATGAAACAGCCTGTTCGAACATTCCTCCCAATATTTGCAGGAAGAAAAAGGTTCCATAGCCTCCAGGTCCCTCTTGGCCTTTCCCGAATACTCTCTGACCGATTTCTGTGATGTCAGCTTGAATGTCTTCGAGCCCGAAAACATCGCCAGCAATTTCCTCCGCTCTATCATCTTCCCTAGCCATACTAAACTGTAACCACATCCAGTCTTCAACACTTTGATTTATACCGTCTAAGCGTCTGCGGCCAAGTTCACAACGCCCAATAATTTTGTAGCAAGCCATACGGTAAGGATCAACCGTGTTATCAGGCGCGTTGCGAGACCGTTGTTGATATTCGCCGTTGATCTTTTGTTGCAGGTCCCTAGGCAACCGTCGGTTTTGCGCATATGTAGTCATGTATGTGACAAATTTGTGATCCAATGACCGAAAGCCGGGATCCTGGCTCACATATTCTGCAGCTTCGGTAACGAAACCACAGCGGAGGAGGTAGAAAATAAGAATCCAGCAATAATCCTGGCCAACCATCTGCAACTCCGTACCATCTGGAGCAAGGTCTTTCCGTGCTGCTCTGAGCCGAATATAGGCACGGATTTTATTGGTCACAGTTGGTATGCCACCGAGTTGCGCCTCCCGAGGGTTTTTGGTAATCACATTCTCGACATCATCGTAGAAGAGCTTCTCCAGGAAAGACCTGGAGCCTTCAACAATCCGTTTCCGCAGACTTACTGCTCTGCGCGAATTTGGGCTGTCATCCAAGTAATCTTGGGCGAAATGACGTTCCACGAGAGCTGAGGGATCAGTCATGTTAATAGCGTCTGGAGACTCTCCAACAATGCTTATCAAAGCTCTATAAGCATCGTACAGCTGTCGAGGTACCTGGAAAAGTCAGTCAACCGCGCACGGGGCTTTGTTTAGGAAACTTACATCGCCGCCAGCATGCCCTTCAACATCAGAAAACTCATGAAGGACCGGAAATGCTCTAGTCTGTAGCCTGGCAGAGTTTAGCAGCCGAACCTTGTCTGCATAATAGCCCATTTTTTCTCGCAAGAAGCGAAGATCAGAGTGACCACTCGCGCCCTCATTGCGTTCTATAGAATCTTCGAAGAGCCGGATGCTTGCTGTTCCTGTTCCTGGGATCCCGATGACGGATTTCTCTAGAGCGGAGCGTCCGAATACACTTCGCCGACCTGTAGATGTAGGGCCACTTGTGGATGCAGGGCCGAGCTGTTTGGATCGCCGCACCGAGCGTCCGAAGCCACCTCTCACATCGCCAGCGCCATCGTCCTTTTGCGCCAGCCCGAAGTGCTGAAATATCTTGCGGCGTTGTTCCTCCCAATCCATGTCAACCTTCTCTTCCAAGAACGAGTCAAAGTCTCTCTGGGTCCGAGCAAGGCTCTCATTGATCATCACCTGACGGCCACGCTGCTGTATGTTTTTCAAGAATTTTTGATTGTCTGGGTCAAAGGAATCTTGTTCTCTCAGCGGTGTCGCTACAGATGCCTGAGGGTCCAAAGCCTTCAGATCCCGTAAGGCGTGGCCAGGAGATACACCTGAAGCCGCAAGCAAGTAATGGCTGGATTATATATTAGAATATCAGCTGACCAAGATCGGAAGCAGAAGCATCGGGCGTAAGGAGGTTGAACTTACGCTTTGCTGTGTGGTACATGAGGTTGGAATTCCTTTGATCCACCAGCACCAAGCTCCCTGGCCTTTCTGCGAATGTCGTCCAGACCTAATTGAAGACTCGGTAGCTCCTCGAAGTTGCCGTTTTGTGCAATTGCAGAAATTGGTCTCTTTTTACCGCGTTCTAGTAAACTGTTAAAAAAGGCAGGTTGAGTCGCCTGACTGGATGATTGCGGTGCATTCGTCTGTGTTTGATCTTGTCCAAAGACCGAGCTCGAAGTAGGCTGCTGCTGCGCTTGCGACTGCTTTGCGAAACTTGTTCCACCTGCAAGGCCCGGCGTCCCAGATGGGTTCCCAAAGAGACTCGATGATTGCGTAGCAGCTCCTAAGCCACCCCCGCCAAAGAGGGAGCCGGTGTTCGTGGAGGTCATTAGAGGATTTAGGGGCTGATGCCGTTTGTGTTTATCCAGCAGTCTCCGAACGTCCACTGTAGATGCTATCCAAATTAACACTATAAGCATCAATTTCTTCAAAGCAAGTTTGAAAACATTGCGGCTCACCGTCAGAAAGTAAAAGGAAATGAGTATAAGACCTTTTTTAGATCGACCCTGATTCCGTCTTCGCTCGGTTTGCGATCCGACAAGTCAGTTGATAAACTGTTTTGGCGTGCAGTCCCAGATTCCGTAGGTATGTCGGACTTACTTTTTTGCCGAGCTTTGTCGGGCTTACCAGAGATTCATCTCTGCATTGTTCCAGTGATCGGACCGGCTTTCCCTCACTTCAATCTGCTAATTACCTCCCCACTCCGGGTAGTCGATCTCAACTATCGGCGCAAGTTTGGCCCAGCTCATTAATATAGCATAGTTAATTTTCATCCCAGGGGCTCGGCTTGACGTGCCGCTACACAATGCCGGTATTTCAGGCCAAGACGTTTCGACGCGCAACAACAGCATCGTCTACTCTCGGCGAACGAATTGGTGCAGCTTACCGGGCTCATCTAACCAAGCGCCCATTTCTACTCTTCGGCCTTCCTTTTATTATGATAATAGTTGCCGGGTCTTTTGCTTTAACACCCGCTGCCGCTCTGAGGTACGAGCGGTACGATCGCAAAGTTAAACAATTAAGTCAAGAGGAAGCAATCAACCTAGGCCTCAAAGGGCCCGATGGCGACGAGGGTATTAAGCGAAATCCACGGCGACGAATCATTGGTGATGAAAGGGAGGAGTACTATGTCAGTATACACCCTAATCGGTCAAGCGAGGATTTGCGGAATACGGCTGGGATGTGGGATAGCAGCTAATCCAGTACCACTGCTACAGCGGCTCATGGCCAAAGATCTTGATGATTGGGAGCAAAAGAGAGTACAACGCTTCAAAGGCGAACCCGATGGGAAACTCTGAGATGCGCCACGCTTGCTTCAATAATAACCCCGACATGGTTCACTATTTGGTGGTAGCCACATAAATGCGACGTCTTTTCCCTTTCAACCCTCTAATGCCTGATGTAACTCAGTCTTGGCTATGGTCGCATAGTGGTATGTGATGATAACAGCATCGCGCATTTGCGACCTAAGTGGTTGAACGTCACTAATATTATAGATCTTCTATAGAGTCGATAAGCATTTCTTCTAAGAGTCAAACTATGGAGATTCTATGCCATGCTGCCTTCTTGGTGCTATCTGCTGTTTCACCTCGTTGCAGCAGCTGATACGAATGCTGTATGTTAGTAAGTATCTTAGTCTTAGTTGTACACCACAAGGACCTACTTAGTTTTCTACTAATGTCTCACTTGTCACGTACCAAACGAAGCGTATCCAACCAGCCAATATTCATGGTTGACAAGAAGCAATTCCAACGTGGTGAATCATGTATATATCATAAATACTCCTCGGGATAAGTATGAGAGAGGGGCCCAGGCTGAGCCACTGGCTTATCTGCCTTGATCTTGGGTCAATATCGTGCACAGCATTAAGGGCACCATAGTTGCGCATACACACTCCTACAGAGATCACGCGTGGAATCAGCTTAGGCAGCCTTAGGCAGCTAGCAGTAACCTTATATGGCCCCCACTATGTATTTCGGCTATTCTGGACAGTAGCAACTAGAGCCAAGTCAGCCGGCTACTTTGTCAAGGCTTTGTTGCCTCCTGTTAGAGTGTAATCGCGATATGCCTACGAATTTGACACGACTATGTCGTGGAAGTTTACGCGGATGTGGGGGAGAAAACCTAGTCCTTTCCACCGTCAAGGAAATACTTAGAGGAAGGGGGTAATTGAACTGAACAAGAAGGTAGGCACTCTAACAGATTGAAGCACTCATTCCCGATCTGGATCCTCTCCATAATCTCTACACAAGGATTCTATGTGCGCTGTCTGTCTAAATTGGATCATTGTACGCATAACAGAGTCCTGCCTTCCTGTTGCACCTTTCGCATGTCTTTTGGGAGGGGAAAGAGTGCTGGGGTTACGATGGACTCGCCACACCTTTCCCGGTTCCTGGTGGCTCTGAGTGATCCAGACCGGCCGCTGCTGCGTGGGTAACGAGTGGCTCTGCACACTTTGCCGCTTCCCGAGCCTCTGCCACCAACCCATAACGTCATATCCAGAGAACGACGTCGTTCCCTCCGGTTTTCTCACCAGCCCATTCGCTCTTCCACGCAGCCTTTCTCGGTTGCTGGCCCCCAATCCCCCTACGTGCTTAAATGATGGCTGTGGATCAGTGATATCAGCCATATCCCTCTGTCCCCCACTTTCCTCTTCTCAAGTCTTCCATTGGCTTAGAATTCTGCTCTGCTGGAAGTACGAGCTTTGGGCCCCTTCAGTGAGACGTGGAATTCCTGCGACTGCAGCTTTGGTCAAGAGAACACGACTCCTCATGCCTTTCGGTATATCGGTCACTTAGGATCTTCATCACTGAGTGCTTTCTTCGCTGAAATTATTACATTCCTTTAGTAGGACACTGCTATCTCATCGGAACCACCCGAGAATTTGCTGTTCGCCAGGCCGATTACGCAGTGTGACTACCATCGCCTCCAGCTATTTCTGTATTTGCCCCTCCGCATTTACCCGTTTAGACCGTCTTCTCAGCCCGACCCCTCGAAGACAGGTTGGCGACGGGTCACTTCACAAGCCTACGCTCTCATTCAGGCCTAGTATCTACGCTTTCGATGAGTAGCTACTGGATTTCTGTTGACAGACTGAGACGGACCAGCGTGCATATTTCATGGGAAAGCAGTGTGCTTTTTCCACCAGTTGTCGGAGAAAATAATATTGCTCACGGTTGCTGAGCTGGGTCTTCAACTCCAGAGATCATATCCATCGCGCTATGGCAATGAATGTTTAAATGTTGACGTGTCAATTTAATAAGCTGGCAAGCAGAAGGAAGACACTGATAGTCTTTTCGAGGATTTGAAAGCCATGTCGGCCATGACAGGTACAAGATCACCTACGTCTCCTTGGCCTCCGGAGTGTCAAAACCTGCAGCTCGAGGGGTCCTCCACACCATCGGCTCTTTTTGCATTGCGTGAATCTCAAATGTCCCCGTTGGGACATGGTATCAACCCTCACAACTCAGTATCAGACCGCTCGGGTCCCAATTACTTCTCTATTAGCGTGGAAAGCCCCGGTAATCCAAGAAGAAGCCGGGAAGCGATATCATACACCCAGCCCCCGGTTTCTAGTCCCAAAGCACAGCTCTTATCCAAAAATAAAGCATTCGACGATTATGTGGGCCTGCCGAAGACAGGGACAGTGGCCGATGACGAACACAGAGAATCTCCGGTATTTCGGCTCTCCTGGAATCCTAGTTTACAGAGACGGAGTCCGATGCCTTCCCGACAGGATGCATCTCCTCTGAAGCAGACGTCTGCTCACGGATGTGGCGTTTCGGTTGAGCGCTGCGCAGAGCTTCTCGAATCCTCTCGTCGGGATGTCATGCTGTTGGATGTGAGGCCTTATGCGCATTTCGCGAAAGGGTCCATCAAAGGATCGCTAAACCTTTGTATTCCGACAACCCTTCTCAAGCGACCCTCCTTCGACACGCAAAAATTGACAAATACGTTCACGAACGAATCTGAAAAGCAGATCTTTGCGGGGTGGAGGAGATGCCGTTATATAATAGTCTATGATGCTGCCACATCAGACATGAAAGACGCCAGTCCGCTGATGAATGTTCTCAAAAAGTTCACTGCAGAAGGGTGGAGTGGTGAGGGTCTAATACTGCTTGGAGGCTTCAGAGCCTTTTCATCACGCTTTCCCACTTTTGTTCAAGGACAGCAAGTTCCGGTATCCGACACACCCGCAGGAAGACCGTCCCGAATGCATATTGATCTTCCAAGTGTCGCTCCTGTCGCAGGTGGCTGTGCCCTTCCTGAGTCCTCCCATGCCGCGATCCCTTTCTTTGGGAACATTCGGCAACATATGGATCTCATCGGCGGTGTCGGTCAGATCCCTCTTCAAGTACCTCACAGTTTTTCGGAATCCAAAAAACGTTTACTCCCTCCTTGGCTGCGCGAAGTGTCAGAGTCCACAGACAAAGGCCGCAAAGTCTCAGAAAAGTTTCTGAGTCTGGAGAAAAAGGAGCTGGAACGTATGAAGAAGGCATTGTCTTACGAGAAGTCTGCCGATGCCTCTACGATAGGTGGCTCTTCGGAAACCTTTCGCGTGGCGGGAATTGAGAAAGGTACAAAGAATAGATATAACGACATTTACCCATTCGATCATTCCAGAGTGAGGTTGCAGAATGTGTCACCCGGAGGCTGCGACTATGTGAACGCGAATCACATGAAAGCAGCTTATAGTGGTAAACATTACATAGCTACCCAAGCACCCGTACCTGATACGTTCAATGTAAGTTTGGGTCCCTTTCTCATGAGCTTTACTACCACTCATAAGCGCACATTTTCACGTGTCGATTACTCATTCGTCTCACAGGACTTCTGGCGCGTTGTTTGGGAACAAGATGTTCGACTGGTGGTTTCTTTGACTGCGGAAGTTGAACGGGGACATGTTAAATGCCATCCTTACTGGGAATCTGGCAATTATGGGCCTTGTCAGGTCAACAACTTTTCTCAGAAATTCATCTATTTGGATGCTCAAGATCCGCAGCCAACTGATATGGAGCTCGACAAGCCGGAAGATTCGGGTAGTCCCTATATCATCGTCAGGCATTTTGGCTTGTCGCACTCATCATTTCCATTTCAACCCTTGCGCGAGGTTACGCAGCTACAATATCCCCATTGGCCTGATTTCGGAACCACATCTCAACCAACACATCTCCTTAAACTTATCGAGCAGTGTGATAAAGTCATAGCAGCAACAACTGGGCCACATCCTGGTTCTCGCGATGGACACGCGAACTCAAGGCCGGTATTGGTGCACTGCAGCGCTGGATGTGGCCGTACTGGGACATTCTGCACAGTGGATAGCGTGCTGGACATATTGAAACGACAACGCAGTGCAGCGCATGCCTCGGGTGGGAATCCGAACCAATGGACCCATACCGACAATGTGGATCTCATCGAAAAAACGGTAGACGACTTTCGAACGCAGAGGCCAAGCATGGTGCAAAATTTGAGCCAGTTTGTTCTGTGTTATGAGAGCGTCTTAGAATGGACAGTTGCCCAGATGGGGAAAGAGCAAGATATAGGAGGTTGCTGAGGGGTCTTTCATTATGATTAGAAGCTTAGATACTGGAGATGTTCATGATAGTGGGCGGCTTGGATATATTTGTTGTTCTATATATCGTCTGCGTACGGGGTTTAGCAATTTAGTTTTGGCCCTCTGTACATCCGTCATTTCCCCCGTCACAATCGTCCCCTTCGAATGAACAGGCACATGTCAGCACAGCGAAGACACTGAAGATTCCCTATCACTGGTCACAATCTTTCAAATTTCCTTCTTCTAGTTAAGCCCTTTGAGTATTTTCCCTGAGAGGCTGCGTATAATATATTGGTTGGCCAAAACGGGTGGAGCCGGAACGCACGGTGGGTGTGCTCTCTACTAGTACATCAAGTATCTAGACGCTTTTATCCTTACGTTTAGTAAGTGCCCTGCCATCTCAAAGCCACATCAGATTCCACCGTCTTGGTTAAACTACAAGAAGATAAATAATCGTAGAAGCCAGAAGGTTGAATGCAAGGTTATGAGACTCTCGATGGGCAGGCAACAGCAGGTAACGATAGCGGCGGCAGCGGCTGCCTTAGATCCAGTTCACTTAAGAGAAGCGAGCAACCCCAAAGCAAACACCGAGCAAAGCTCATCCTGGACTATCCACAAGTCTTTTTGGTTCTATTTAAGGACTATGATATGAGTTATTACTACGTACTAGGTTGTACGAACTCGTTTCAATCCCCTTGAGTGAAATACTTGGCAACCTTTCCGACTCCTCATTTATCAATCAGCCTTAAACAACAGTGTGAATTCAAGTGCCATGATCCTGAACCTTCCGCCAGAACTTATTCAGCTGGTTCTTCAAAAATGCAGCACACCTGCTTTCTTAGAGGCAGCTTTCTCCTGCCGCACTGTTTATGAGATCGCCTCCACTTGCCGGGAGGTTCTTGTGCATCACCTACGGCGAACACCCGGGCTTGTCAATCGAGATCTAAGCTCCCTCAGCTCAAAAGGACTCTTTCGCTTGTTGACAAAGAATGCCTTCCAGCAGTTATATGGTGCGCAATATCATGCAAATCGTGTGACTTATGAATTTGGGAACGATGTTCTTGATGTCAAAGCATCCACCTTTGCAAGTTTCGATCACCAAACTCTTGCTCTTGTCGCGCGCGGCTGGGAGAAGGTCTATCTTTTTCACATTGACCATGGTCATCTCCGACCCTTAAGCGAGGTTAATCTCCCATGCAATCACCCTGGAAAAGGCGAAGTCCTCAAAACTGCGTTTGATGGAAGTGGCGGACTCTATGTCCTTCAGCGCTTTGTACCTGCCATGGATGCAACTGATACAAATGCAAATCATCCATTCATCAAGCAAGCAATGCAGTCCAACATCAACGGAATGCACTACCTCTCATACCATTCCCTCGACTCGCCAGGCGAGCCCGTCCGGGTGTGTACTTTCCCAGATCATGTAAATTACAAGCCACTGGCACTTGCAGCTATGCAAGGCGGTAGCTTTGTAATTTCGTGGCAGCACAATCACGATTATAGCGAGAACGAAGTCGTGCTATACACGACTTCCGTTGATCCGCACAGCAGTGCAAAGTCGGATGTCATCGGTTCGTTTCTCTGTTTCACTTACAGCATGAGTCTTTCGCTAGACCTTCCTGATACTGACGCAACTCTAGATGTTACCTACGATTCTTGCGTCCTTCTGGAAGGTACGAGACAGGGATTCGAAGGAGATAGATTCACCCAGTCTAGAAACACTCAGGGCCGTCTTCTCCCCGGAAAAGGGCCCGTGGTGGGACTTGCATTTAATGACAGATCTAGCCAATTGCTGTATCGCTACCGTGCACAAGCCTTGTACGGATCATTCCAAAAAATCGATATTTTGCCTTTCCCAACTCAGTCTGTACTGTATGAGAACTCATGCCCTGTGCAGTTTTCAGATTCTTTGACTCTGTTATTCAGCATTGGAATACCGTTTTCCGGCACACATGAAACCCGGGTGCAGAATGGTCTCCTAAGATGCCACTGGAAATATCTTTCTTTTGGAATAGCCACCCATCGTGAAGAGGACTGGACTGTTGCATGCCTTCTGAGGTCTGAGGCTGTGTGTCGAGCCAGTAATTGCGAGCATATATTGCATCTTGAGCGCGGACGCCGGTTACCGGATTGGACGATCGTGGCCCGTCTTCGTGGCTTTGAGAATTCGAATACCTCACTCGGTTGCATAGTTGCAGCTTCCAGATTGGGGACACGTATAGCTGTTGCGAACTGGAAAACTGTTTATATCTGGGCGCTGGAGCCAGGCGCGGTGATTGAACAGAATGCAACCGGATTTTACCCAGATTCTTCTTGGCCACCAGGTGTTGAGGTGGTTGATTTGGAGCCTGTATCCATCTCCCTTGGGGCTGTCTGTTTTCAGCTACGCTTTGGTTTAGGTGAAAACGACCTGGTAGCCATTACAGACAGAGGTCTGGTATATTGTGATCTTAACCCGTCCGGAAGTAGCCACAGAACAACATATCAGTTGCGCATGGGAATTGAACCTGGTTCTTGAGGGCTTTTGAGGAAAGTCATACTTATGATCATAATTTGCAGTATTTTGCTAACACTCCTATCCAATCATCTGTCATTGCATGCATCGATATTGAATCGTGACAATTAAGGATCAGAATTAACAATATGTATTATATCAACTGTGAAGTACATGTATAGAACGATAGTTCATAAAACATATTCCACACTTTGTTTCGCCCAATTAATTGTAGCACAATTCCCATTGCACTTCATCATGATATAGACGTACAATGTCAGGAGGCACACCTGGATCGTCTTTCAGATTGCCTATCTCTTTTGATCCTCCTCTCTGGGAGGCGAGTAATAGCAGTGCTAGTCCCCATAATCAAAGGCAAATGCATGATACCACCACAACATTTATTTGCGGCTAGCTGATGCCGGACACGTTCGTACGTTTTAGCATGCCTTTTTCTTTTGTTTAGTTTTCTTTCCCCTTCCTTTCATGCCGGAGCTGCAGAGCGACAGGCGAATCTGGAATCCGAATGTGGCATATGAATTGAGTTTTATGGTGTTCTGGAGGAAATGCATAGCGTCTGGGACGACGACCACATTGATTTGCTAAAAATTAAGACAAGTCTTGGGAATCTGCTCCCAGCAACAAATCTAGCCAAGTAGCACTAGTATACCATGCCTTAGGGAGAACAGTTGATCTACGCAACGGTTTTGTAAAAAATCTACTGGTTTTCCCCGCCGCCAGACATAGCCAGGAATGTGATAATGAGGAAAACCCACCAGTATCTAGATACGTGTTAGACTATACAACTTGCGCGACTCAGAAGGTGGGGGTAAGACGACGGTCAGTGGGACGACCTACTTTTGGAATATAGTTTTCTCGACGACCTCCTCTGTATTTTTGCCATCCGGACCAAGCACGATAGGCTGATTGAGATGTGGGCGTGGACCGGCTTGATTAGACAACAGCTCCAACTTTGGGCTTACAGGCGTAGAAGAAGAAATCGATGAGGTAGACGACAGCAAGTCAACGTAGTAGATTTTGTTGGACGGGCCGACATGAAGCCGGAGCGTTGGCCTGTCGGTCTCGCCCCCTATGAGGGAGGACCTTGAGACGAGTGTCCCTACCCATTGTTTGGTGTTTGTAGACGTAGAGGTGTACAGGCCCAGACGAATCAAGTCATTGGACTCATCCTGCGGTTCGTGATCACCGCACGCGGCGACAATATTCGTTGAAGGGAAGGTGAGTTCTGGTTGCAAGGTGGCCGAATCGTACGAGACGTGAGCAAGGACGGACGGCTCGGGTGACGCTACAGGCCAGCATAGGATCTCGGCTGACAGTGGCTGAGAGGAGGTGGTGGTGGCCGCGGATAGGGAGAATAGGGAGAGCGCAGGAAGGAGATTGAAGTAGAAAGGCCGCATGGTTCCTGAGCTGCAGATGAATAGTAGCTTGATCCGAGGCGAGTTGATGGGGACGCAATTAGAGACAAGGCGAAAACTAGATGTCGAAATAGTAATATTGGAACAGGTATCGGACAATAATTGACACAAGAGGTGATATATTCGGAGATCGAATTCTCGTTGCGCCCTTGCTTTGAGTTTGCTCTGCTGAGGGCAGAGACACCTGGATAAGCGGGAAGTTTCCAGCTTACTTTACTGCATCTATTCAAACTCCGGAGAGCAGCGAGCGGTGGAATCTCAACTAGCGCGGAGAGTTACCCGCTAAACTACTGGATGGATCTGATTCAAGTTCCCCGCATAAGCTCATTATAAACAGATTGAACGCACTGTAGACTAACTTATACTCTCATTTTTTTTTTCGGTCTCCCTTTCGATGCGACTACGTATTGTCCAGGGGAGTTCGAAACATCATGTATGGGTCACTACCAAATCTATGTCATACTGCACAGTAGAATCCAGATGGAAATCATTCGTTGTCAATATTTTGAAAAACCATAATTAGTACCAATTACTACATGTTGCTCTGCTTTCATTTTCCAAGACTTACTGTAGATATATCCACAGTTATTCACAAAAATATTGTCCCATCCCCTGCAGGAAGAAGAAGAAAGTGGGTCAGCCATAAGTACATAGTTCAATCATACTCCTCAAGTACTTTTAACTGGTAGTCGGTTTTAATGAAGGTGGGGGGAGCTCCCAGAATAATAATATATAACTAGTATGCTATCAATTCTGTGTATGTTCTTCCTTCCCCACCACCAGATGATAAATTGGAGCCTGAATCGGTGCGTCCCATCGATCATTTAACCTCTCCTGATTACCCCCTTTGTCCCTCCCTGTTCTCCAATTGCACGTCTATCATTTTTGTCAACCCATCAATCATTTCTTTCGTCCCGCAGGCGCCTCACAAAGTCAGTCAGCTGCAAGTCCACGTCTGAGTCGTAAGCAATCAATTGGCTGCAATACCCATCATTCGCACAAATCATCCCCCCCGCCTCTCCTTCTTTTCTTTCGCCCACCTCTTTACAATTGCCGTGCTTAGATTCGTGCCCCATTATCGTACAGAAATAGACCTTTTCGGTTCGATCATAGTGTCTCTTGCCTTCCCTATTCCAACTCCATGGCTTCTATACCCCAGATGCCTTATCGACGACCCTCTCGGCAGGGTTCTAGGCAGGCGTCGATAGATACGCGGGATGAGATACAGGTCCGCGTAGACCACTACATTGGAATTGATGTTGGGACTGGCAGTGCCCGCGCTTGTATAATCGATAGCAAAGGCGATATTGTCGGCCTAGCCTCTGAGAACATTGGTCTTTGGCAACCTCAACAAGGATATTATGTACGTGTTCATGCTCAAGTTTTCTTGCCCTGTCACTATCGTAAGGCTTTGTGTGGCCTCCGATTGACTCCCTGTCATCCAGGAACAATCTACGAACGATATCTGGCGATGCATCTGTGTAGCTGTTCAGCGCGCAATCAGCCAACACAACATTGATCCAGAGACCGTGAGGGGCATTGGGTTCGATGCGACATGCTCGTTGTCGGTTTTTTCTAACGTTACGAACGAACCGATATCCGTGACGGGTCCCAACTTCAACTCGGACCGCAATGTGATCCTCTGGCTCGATCATCGCCCAGTGGACGAAACCGAAAGAATTAATGCTACGAACCACAATCTGCTCCGCTATGTAGGCGGAAAGATGTCCATCGAGATGGAGATTCCCAAAGTCCTGTGGCTGAAAAACAATATGCCAAAGGAGCTCTTTGATCAGTGCAAATTCTTCGACCTGGCTGACGCCCTGACTTACATTGCCACTGGCGCCGAGCAGAGGAGCTTCTGTAGTGTAGTCTGCAAGCAGGGATATGTTCCTGTAGGTGTTGACGGCAGTGTAAAAGGTTGGCAGGAAGACTTTCTGAACGAAATTGGTCTGGAGGACCTGTCGGAGGATAACTTCAAGCGAATGGGCGGTGTCGACGGGGTGGTGAGCCTTTTTCTTTGATGATCCTATCAATCACACGTGTTACCCCTTTTCCACACCCTACCTGACAATGAGTTTGACGTCTAACTGATGCTCCAGAATGGCGATTATCTTAGCGCTGGTGAACTGGTCGGCACATTGTGTGAGAAGGCTGCCTCTGAGCTGGGTCTGCCCCCGGGGATTGCAATCGGCAGCGGCGTCATCGATGCCTATGCAGGCTGGATTGGCACAGTCGGCGCTAAGGTCGATCTCGAGTCGGAACAGCTGAGCTCTGACATCGCCAAGAACGATAAGGCACAGGCATTCTCTCGCTTGGCCGCTGTCGCTGGAACATCAACCTGCCATCTTGCGATGTCCCCAGATCCTATATTTGTCCCTGGTGTCTGGGGGCCTTACCGCGATACTATCCAGCCGGGATATTGGATGGCCGAGGGCGGCCAATCCGCAACCGGGGAGCTGCTCAAGCATGTTATCGAGACTCACCCCGCGTTCAATCAGGCACTCTCGATCGCTGAGTCGTACAACGCCAATATATATGAATATCTAAACGAGCATCTGAAGGAACTGGCTCATGACCAGAAGGCTCCTAGTATCTCTTATCTGGGCCGACATGTTTTCTTCTACGGTGATCTTTGGGGCAACCGTTCCCCCATTGCAGATCCTGGAATGACAGGTTCTATGATTGGGATCACGAGTGACAAGTCTGTGGATGGGCTCGCTGTTCATTACTATGCCACCCTCGAATTTATCGCGCTACAAACCAGGCAAATTGTGGAGACAATGAACAAAGCAGGTCATCGCATCACCTCCATTTTCATGTCGGGCTCTCAGTGCCAAAATGACATTCTGGTAAAGCTAATAGCATCTGCTTGTGACATGCCCGTGCTTATCCCTCGTTATATTCATGCTGCTGTCTGCCATGGTGCAGCCATGCTGGGTGCCAAAGCCGCTAGTGCTGACGCAGAAGGCAAGACAGAAGATCTGTGGTCTATTATGGACCGCATGAGCAAGCCGGGAAAAAAGGTCGTCCCAACTACGGATGAGACGGAGAAGGCCTTGCTTAACGCCAAATACAAGGTCTTCTTAGAGCAATGTTACAAGCAGCAGGAGTACCGAGCCCTCGTAGATCAAGCCGTGGCCTCGTGGACGTCTTAACTCTCTTTCTCCACTCAAAATTTTCCTTCGCGTTGCGGCAATTATGTTCACTCTCTCCTTTTTACTGAAGGAGGACAGGGGGATTATGACAGGACTTTCGGACAATGTTACTAGCTAGCGTGCATAAGTAGCCGTACAACTTACACGCATCTACCACAAGATATTACGCAGGATATGGGAACAGACTATGAGTAACAGGTAATGGAGGTCTAATTATACAACTTCAATAATGTGGCAGATATACATGTTCGAAAAGCCCCAATCAGCACGCAAATGTTAAACAATCTTGGGCAATCTTGTCAGAGTCTAAAACGCGGGACCAGTAATGCACGCATATCCCTCAGCGAAATTGTCTGCTTCAACCTTCGGGTGGACAGATTTCGAGCCCTCACCTAGAAGTTGACAGGCAGACACACGAATTGAGCTATACTCAAAAAGCCCTCCCACTCCTGGACCTACCGATAGTGTAATACTTCTCGACTGGACTCGAGCCAAGGGCCAGCGTATCGAAACGATCGACACCCATAGTCTCCAAGTTGCTGTAACCAGAGAGATAGAATCCGATCACAACCACGAGGTACGTAAGGACGAGGATAGAGCCCTTGAAATAGTTGCTTTTTCCTTCGCCGTGCACGTAGGAGAGCAAGAAGACACAAAGGATCACGGATACCATGTCCCACTGAGGGAAGATAAGGCTGTAAGGAAAAGGTTTGTTAGCAAGGTTTCTTGCGTTACAGATTGGCTTTAAGGAACAAAAAGTAGGGCAGGATCAAACATACTTGAATGTGTGGCTTAGCAGCTCAGAAGGATCGATGACGCGGGCATAGAGAGCGCTAAATAGAACTAAAGCAGGGATCTGCAAAAGGCAAACCTGAAGAGCGTAGGCTGAACCGATCTCCATGGACAGCGCGATATTGCCGTTCATAGCAAACGAAATAGCGTTCTGTGAGCCAAGATAATGAGTTAATTCGATCATGCTGACAGCGATTATTCAGGACTACATACCAGAAACTCTGTTGTGTTGGGGACCAAGGCAAAGAGCGTGATTCCAAGGAACTTTTCATCGATATCGACACTTTCCAAGACCACATCGACCGTATTCACGAGGATTTCTGCGATGACAGCATAAAGAATAGTAGCTCCCAGAAGTATTATGGAACTTCTCGTTTTACTCCAGTTAGGTGCGTCATGACCGCCGCTAGTATGGCCAGGCTCCAATCCGATATCCTCGCTTTCCTCAAGTAAGGTTTTCACTTGATCGGCGGGGCTTTTAGTCGCTTGACGCGTGCTTGCTTGCTGGGCCACGGGCTTCCTTGTTCGGGCCGCATCTCGAGCGGCAACAGCAGCAGCCGTTGCAGCAACCTCTGTCACCTGACGCACAAGATCCTCATTGTCTTCATTGGACAGACCAGTGAATTTTCTCAGCCTGGGATTGCTATCGTCGCCTTCCGTCCGAGGGGGGACAAGGTATGGCGTTGTGCTCTTTCCTTGCAAAGAGGAGGTAGAATCGGATTGAGCGTTATGATCATTGGGATTATCAGACAGACCGACCTGCTTCAGAGACTGCCCCAGTATGCGCTTGTACAATTGAGAATCCCGAACAGAGCCCTTGGTGATAGAGCCACCAGTGCTCCCAGCCGGAATGTGAGGGAAATCACCGTGTCTAGCTTCGTAGGCAGCTTGCTCGTTCGCGAGAGCTACAGCCTTCTTCTCCTCTACTTCCGTGGCCCAGATGAGAGCAGCGTGGGTTCTCAGCGTGAACCATAATCCAATGACATAGGACAGGAACAAGAATATTGCAGCAAACCACGAATATGGCTGGACTGCCTTTCGGAAAAAACTGTCATTCACCGCCGGTGTTTGAGAGAAGTAACAGCGACGACAATCACTGTCCTCGGTTCCTACAGTGGTAACGCACAAGCGGCAGTTGAGCTCATGCTAAATTCCAGGCTGTCAGCAAAAGTGCTAGATGAACAATCACGCAGAAGACGGTGTCACTTACGCTACCATATATCTGGTAAAAGAGTGTAGGCCCGAATGCAGCAATAACTGCAAACATCAGCATTGTCGACGTGACACCCGCAGACTTCACATTGAACCGCTGGGTCTTGCGCTTGATAGCGCCAAAGCACATGGAAAGCCCCGGAAGAAATAGGATTCCTGCAAAGATGCTACCGATAATGCTGCCCTCAACAAGTTGCCCCTTTCCTTCGGTTAAAGCAACACAGTAAAGATAGACTTCAACTACGGTCGAGAAGAAGGCATTCACAGCTGCACCCATGCCCATGGAGGATTGAGCGGAAATCGATGCAACGGCTTGTCCAATGAAATAGGCCAAAGGAATGATGGAGACAAGCGCAAGCGTGAATATAAGACCTGGGTGCGTGATGGCAGATTGGAGGCCCAGTGTCTCACTGAGAAGAAAGTAGTCAAAAATGACAAATAATACGACACCAAGAAGGTTGATCAAGAAAATATTCGTCCCGCCGACAGTATACTTCCAGTACCTCAATCCCGCTGCGCGATAAGTGCATAGCAGGACGGATGAGGAGGATCCGGGACTGAGTCTGGTGTAGGTGGTGTCGGAATGGTACGACAGAGCCAAGGGGTGACGACGAAGGTGATCAAAAAGGATAATGGTCACACGTCCCATGGGGATCCAGAAGACCAATAGCCAACAAAGCAGCGAGACTAGAAGCATTAGAGGCCCTACGAGAAAGTAGAAAAAGACGAAGAATACGACGCGGCCAAGCGTCCATTCGCCACGACCGAATAGACGCCGCTTAGGATGGCTGAGGGGACTCTCTCGAGGGCTGCCCCTTTGCGTTCGCCCTAGAAGACTATCTTGTTCGCTGGCCGAGTCGATACTGTTTCGTCTTCTCCCGACCAGTGACCGGTTGCGTCGAGGTCCGAAGAACAGCCGGCCATGCTCTAAGTCGCCATTCTGCCACTGTTCGTACTCACTAATGCTGCGGCCTTCACCCTCATCTTCTTCTGCGTAATTTTCGTCCGTGTCCAGACGGACGAAGGAGCCAAACGGATAAATCAAGTACCAAGAAAGCCCCGAGAAGACCCTCCCATATTCTAGTGCACTGGGTGAATATGCGAAGACGAAACAAGCGATAGCACCTGTAAGCGCAGCCAGGGCTAACCACCAGCCAAAAAAAACTGTCCACAAAAGGTTAGTTAAGAACAACAAGTTGCCCACGCGACCACCGGGCGACGAATGAATATCGCCTTCGGCGGTCTTTTCTACCGAGCGGCTCTTTTTGTACAATGCAGGTTTCCAGAGCCTTATTCCAAAAGGGTGAGTTTCGTTGATGGCCTGCTGGCGATCCTTCAGCGTGAAGCTTTCGGCATCACTAGTCTCTGCTTCATCTTCTTCATTGTTATCGTTACTATCAGGGCTCCCACTCTCCGACTGTTCAGCAGAAGGCTCTATTTCCGCGCCCGGATCGGGCAGGCCGATCCCTTCTTCGCTTTCATTTTCGGTTTCCGGTTGAATTAATGGGCTGTTCATGCGGGCATTAATTCTTCGTCGCAGAGTCGAGCTCTGTTTCCTCAAGGGACGTATCCTAGGCGATGACTGGGGATTGGACGCGTGTTGCAGAGCTATATCCTCCTCTACTTCCTGTACATCATCCTCCGTAGAAAATTCCTGCCCCTTGTGAGGTACCTGTCGCTTGGAAGACATACGCCGTGTTACAGATGGTTTCCTCGGTCTGTCCGACTGCAGCGGTGGGGTGGAAGTCGACTGAGAGGTAGGCATGCGACTCGAGCTTTCTGGCTGGCTTTCTTCCAGACGGGGATCAAGGTCCATCCTTGCGGGAGAATCTAGAGTACCTACAGAAGGAGTCAGTCATATTGATCAAGAGGAGTCAAGAAGCAAGCAAGCGTACCATAGTTCCGTCTGGATTGTGTCGCATTCCTCTGACGGCGAGCGGCAGACGACATATCCTCGTTATCGACGTTTGACGATTCGACGGGATCGATGGGATGAGAAGGACCCTGATCCTCCCTTTCCTCGTTGTTTGACATGGTTGGTCAGTTTGTTTCGGGCTCAAATTTCTTAGCAATTTTTTTTTTTTTTCCAGCCCCTTTGACCGTCTTTGTGATGATCTTGGGAAAACAGGGAGGCTGGGGGATGCCAGGAAAAGGATAGTTCGAGAAGCACTAGTAAAAGAGAGTGGCCTGCACTTGAAACAGAAACGGAGATATCTTTCTTTTTACAACATGAACCAAAAACAACTAAGTTACATGTTGAAGTAAGCTCAAGAAAAACAATCCGGGGCGGACAGAAAGCGAGAGGGTAGAGAAGCAGGCGCGAAATGAGAAAAGCAGCTAGCTAGTTAGTTAGATCATGAGATAAGGTCTCACTCGCATCCCCGCAGTCAGCTGAGACCGTGGACATGCAGGTCACAGACGCGACCAAGAAGGATTGCACAATTTCAAAGACGAGTCGAGCAATACTATTCGAAGATGGATGCCGAGAGATTGGCCTGGGTAGGCTGAGGGCTGAAGCTGATTAGCATTTGACTGGAGAACATGTGGATGTGTATCTACTGCGTACCACAGCGCTGACCAGCTACGTAATGCGTGTACCCCCCCGTTACGTACAATACATTTTTCATACGAGATATGGTTTTCCCATAGTATCTGCCTAAGCGACACACTCTCTATCGCTTGCTTCACACTGTTGTGCCGCTGTTCTTTACTATCGGATGAGCTAACTTTAGCGTTAATGTTGTCAACATGGGTATTGGGAGTGGTTGCAGTGTGATCTTTTTAACAGTTCTGGTGGAGTGGCTTACCCACCCTACTAGGTAACCAGATAGTATTACATCACATGACTTGCGGAGCTAGCCACAGGCCTTGTGGCTGGTGTCTCTTCGAAGCGCTCTGCTGATATCAGCTAGTAACCTAGTTAGTTACTTCGGGTTACCTCACCTACCTACCTAAACTAACAGCTAACTGCGGTACCTATCCCGCAAGAGCTCTCTCGACCCAACTGCCATCACCACTCCTCTCATCACCTTCCCTGTTCCTCACTCTTCGACTATCTTCTTTCTCTTTCTCTGATTCGATAAAAAGGACCCTATCTGCTCCTGGGATCGCTCCATACTAAATACATCGCCGACGTCCAGTCTTTCGTGTTTCACGTCTCGCTGTGGCCGTATCAAGGAGCGTCATTCCTGGCTGTCCATCATGGCGCTCGACAACTATTATCGCAATAAGATTGAGAGCATGAAGCTCGAAATCATCCAGGGTCAGGCTGTCTTACGGAGACTGGAAGCACAGCGCAATGACTATAATTCGAGGGTGCGGTTACTTCGGGAAGAACTCGGCTTGCTTCAACAGCCTGGTTCCTATGTCGGGGAGGTAGTCAAAGTGATGAGCACCAAGAAAGTCCTCGTCAAAGTGCATCCCGAGGGCAAATATGGTAAACCCCCTCTGCAGATTTGCTTAGCTCGAGTCTTTGCTTGCTCAACTCCGTGCGTCCCTTACTAACTTCTCTTGCGACGCTACAGTGGTGGACATTGCGGATGGCGTTGATATCAGCAAGCTCACTGTAGGAAAGCGAGTCGCTTTACTCTCGGATTCCTATAAGTTGGAGAAGATGCTACCCTCGTCGGTTGACCCGCTGGTGTCGCTAATGATGGTCGAGAAAGTGCCTGACAGCACGTATGACATGATCGGTGGACTTGACCAGCAGATCAAGGAGATCAAGGAAGTCATCGAGCTTGGTTTAAAACATCCGGAGTTGTTCGAGTCGCTTGGTATCGCACAACCGAAGGGAGTACTCCTCTACGGACCGCCAGGAACCGGCAAAACCCTGCTTGCCCGAGCGGTAGCCCATCACACCGATTGTCGGTTCATCAGAGTGAGCGGATCGGAATTGGTGCAAAAATACATCGGTGAAGGTAGCCGCATGGTTCGCGAGCTATTCGTAATGGCTCGAGAACATGCTCCGAGTATCATATTCATGGATGAGATTGATAGCATTGGATCCAGCCGCATAGACTCGGCGGGTTCGGGTGATTCAGAGGTACAACGGACGATGCTTGAGCTCCTCAATCAACTGGACGGATTTGAACCTACCAAGAACATCAAGATCATCATGGCCACCAACCGGCTTGACATCCTGGACCCGGCCTTGTTACGTCCTGGCCGGATTGACCGGAAGATTGAGTTCCCTCCGCCGTCGTGAGTATCCCTTGTGACTTGGCTCTTATCGGGTGAAGCTTATGTTACGTTTTACTGATCAATTTCCTTCTTTCAGGGTGGAGGCTCGTGCCGATATTCTGCGAATCCACTCGCGGTCAATGAACTTGACGCGAGGCATCAACCTAACGAAGATTGCGGAGAAGATGAACGGATGTTCTGGAGCTGAGCTGAAGGGTGTGTGCACGGAAGCAGGCATGTACGCTCTGCGAGAGCGGCGAGTACACGTTACGCAAGAGGATTTCGACCTAGCCACCGCCAAGATCCTCAACAAGCACGACGACAAAGAAGTCGCGGTCTCTAAGCTTTTCAAGTAAAGATGAGTTTGCGTGTGAATAGTACCAGGTTACTACAGCAAGAACTATGGCGTTTAGTTTCGATGTCCTCTGATGGCCGCCTCGGCGACGTCGCCACATATGTTTGCCGATCATGACACCCATACTTAATCTTTCTCAGTATCCCTGTTGAAGGACAGGTCTGTTTGTGTGTGACGTTGAGGTCTAAGATGAGCCTTCCTGTTCGCATACAGTATCGTAATCGAGGGTTTGTTGGCAGTTGGGTGGACGCAAAGGATAACTCCCAGATTCGGCTATACTAGGCATAGGATTTTGCGAATTGTGTATCTACACCCTGAGACTGAATAGTTGGTTGGATTGGGCCCTCGGCTTGCGAGGACAATCATCAAGACTCCGGAAGGGTAAGGCGTAGCAAACAATTGAAGTGTATCTTCCATTGGATTCTTAAGGGATGATCATCTCGTCATCCCCTTCCAATAGAGACTGGCATGGCCTACTTTGTAGTACTCAGACGATACTTTGCTACGTGATTACAGTATCTAGTTGGTCTTAAGTCTGACATTGCCTATTGGCAGATGAAAGGACGAACTACATGGTGCACCAATCATCATATCATGGATCTCATTCATGCCCAATACCTTGCCTAACCCGGTGAGATGTGCTACACTCGCCTCCCTTATGCCCGGATGCTTGTATGACGTATGCCGTGTGGAAAGGGAACTTCTATTAGGATAAATGCCTAGCCGTGCTTCTTCAAAGCAGATCAAAGGGGAGGAGGGTGAGGTTTTAGTGGTATGTCATCAAGATACGTGCAGTATGGCTGTTTACCTACCTCTTTTGTGATAGCAAGAGTTTCTTTGGGCTTGTGAGGGAAGTACAGATCAGCTAGTGAGTACTAGTACTGTGCGCTGCAGTGACCGACTAGATGGGGCAGGAAGTGAGCTCAACTAACCGCCAAGAATCCACTACGTACTCGTAGTTTACTTATGTACTATTATGTACCATGCCGAAGTCTACTCTGTCTGTCCATCGCCAGGAATTCTGTGCAACATCAGGCTTGGCAGAGGGATGGGCAACATGGATTCGGCGACAGCCAAGCCGCCAAGAGGGACCTGGAATAAGTAGGGTCCGCAGGGGAGGAAGTTTGACTGCGAGGGGATAGGCGGATATAGTAAAAGTCGTAAAAGACACGTATAATCAAATTACCCTGTACATGAAATAGGCCCTCATAAACTTAACTCGGCATGTACGGTGTGCAGCTGCAAAGGCTAGGAAGGTTTCGCCAGTTTACCACATCTCACCTCCAAGCTCCGCGTGACTAATTAGTATGAAAGGCAAAATTGCCCCTTTCTGTGACTCTGGGGCCTACAGGATGACGTCTGGGGTAGTTTGGGTCAGGCCATACTACTGGATAGATAAGATGGCATGACATGCCCTTTTTGTTGCTTGTGCTGGCAGTGGATAGATAGCAGCATCCATGCGGAGAAAGCAAATGAGCCTGAGCAAGTCACCGCCTATCCAACATTTAGGACATGCTTTTTTTTAAGGAACCTCGCCATACCATATACTTGGGGGGGTGACTGCGGATGATGTAAATAGATATGTCCCATGTATAGGCTCGCTCGGCGTTGAAGCAGTGCCCATCATAGTACCCGATACTCATACTATTCCATCCCTAGCATCGTTTGGAAGTCCGGAGCACAAAGTCCGAAAACTCAGGTACGGAGTATTGATAGGCTTCATAGCGGCTTTCCAGAATCCCGACTGGCCGGTTGATCTCCGGTTGACGCGTCGAGAGGAAGAACTTTGACGTGCGCGTGACCAGCGGGTCATTGTCTTAGTAATCGACTTTTGCGTTGAATTCTTACTACTTCGTACAGTAAAATAACCCCTGTTAAGTTGGGAGTACTCCGTAACTAGAAGATAGTATTGTTTTGTTGAATGGGAAATGCTCAGGGTCTCGGCTCAAGTGGGGCAGCCCAGATCTGATGACCTGCCCAGAAGGTGGATCACCTTCTTTTTCCTTTTTGTTTCCCCTTTCCTTTTTGAATGCTTATGGACAACTTTGTAACAGTTGATCTCCAATTTTCTGAATTTTAGTTTTAGTTTTAGTTTTATTTTATTTTCCCCCGATTTTTCTCTAAAACCTCCATAGTAGACAGTCTCGTACGAGAAACGGGGAGATGCAATGGGAAATGGAACTCCTGGGGGAAAGCGGGGAGGATTTCTACTATTGGATGAGAGAGAAGACACAGGTCGCTGTACTTTCCCAAATTCTTCTACACAGTATGTAATATGTATACCTTTAGTACTAGTTCATGATACTCTTTCTTCCCCCCGGTTCTTCTTTTCACTATAGTGCTTCTACTTGGTAGTAAAATAATACCAAGCGGTCAAAGTAAAATAACTAGTTACTTTGACCTCTATGGTGATTCAGATAAGACAAGACTTCAGGAGAAATTAATTTCCATCTGCCCCAAAATTCCTACCCCGTCTCCCCACGGAGTTCAACCCAGCTGGGAAAGGCAGCTCAAACATTCTCCCAGGACGGCCTCGGCATCCATGCATTTGCAGGTTCTTTTATTCTTTGCCAGATCATCATCTAGCCTAAAATTTAGAGCCCTGTCTTAGCTATTCTATTTCTGATCTAATATTATTATTCATTACCTTACTTAATTTCTCTGTTATCTCTTCCAATAAGAAGAGCGATCCGTTTTATGCCATTCGCCTTGTTATTGTATGCTTTTCGGCTTTCATTTTCCGTTGCCTTCGAAGAGAACTGGTCTACTATGCGTTAGTAGAGTATCTATCTAGTTGTACATTATCCGACTTGGACTTCCTCCTCCCTAGTCCTCTTTTTCTTAATCAAACTGATATTCGGAGGAAAAGAGGGCTTGGCTGGACAGGAGGCAAGATGCATTCTCCATCCGGATAAGATGGTCCTTTCAAAACCCCCAATCACACCGATGCTACACCCCCCTTCTTAGATAGTAGATAGTAGTACTAGTAGTACTACAGAGTGGTACAGTAGTAACTTGATGACTGGCTAATGCATAATCTAGCTGTTCCCATTCTCTCCCAATTTCCCAACTTTTCTTTCCCCCCCCCCCCCCCTTCCCTCCGGGGGGAGAACAGGTGTGGGCCTATCCTTTCGGTCCGTCTGGAGTCATGCATGGTCTGGCTAATGGCTAAGTGTTCTCTGGCTGCTTCTTCTTCTTCTTCTTCTTTGCCTTTGCCTTCCGCCTCCCCCCCCCTTCTCACCCCCAACCTGCGACCCACCCTGGCGGATTGGATGAATGCTTGGCCCGTCTGATGATCTGTCCGGAGTACCGAGTACAACCTGCAGCTCCCATCTATCTATCCATTCTTCCAGGCCCATCCGAAGTAGATCACTGGCTCGGCTCGCATGGTAACCCCCAGGTAGGTCATTGCTGAGGTGAGGATCTTGCCATCCTCTCGCCTTTTTGCTCGTTGTCCGTTTCAAGTGGTTGCATGAATTTAGTCTGCCCTATCCTCTTGGGTTTCCACACCGGCTTCCTTCTTTTGGCTCTCTCTCCATTGCCGTCTGTGTTGTTCCCTTTACTTTTCTTTTTTCTTTTTCCTGCTATATAAAAATATTATTTAACTGCCTCATCCCCAGCTACTATTGTTGTCGAGGTTTCCTTTTATCTCCAAACCTTCTTGCCACCAGGCTCGTATGCCCCCATCTACGGCTCTTTATCTTCCCACCCTCCCTCGTATTTGAAAATAAGCTCAAAAAGGCACCCACCTCCCCAATTCCATCGACATTCTAGAAGCCATCTCTCCTCCCCTGGAAGCCCTCCTGTCTGCTGGTCCTTCCACCCAATAGGGGGTCCCACGGACACGATCTTTCAGTCAACTTCCGTGGTTTACTGGGTAGGTAATGATTCGTTGTTCGTGCTTGTTTCAATATCCGCGAGCTAGTAACGGAGACACTCATACTTCAACCTGTCGTGATGCAGCACACAGCTTGACATTCCTGCGCAAAATCGGCCCGACCAGCCCGTCAAAGGAGAGCGAAGTACTATATACATCCAGACATTATATAGCACTTCTAGATCCTATTATTAGCCACCCTGCCCAACTACCCAACCAGCTGGCCTGAGTGGTTCAGGTTGCGCTCGAACTACTTCCTGATCGTCGTCTGCTAGTCCGGTGATCTCATACTTGTCGCATTGCCACTCTTCCTTTCGCTGGCCCCCGTGACGCTTCTTTTAACGCCCAGAGCCTCTGTATAACCCCCTAGTATGTCCAGCGGTGAGTTATGGTCCACTTTAGTCACCGCAATCGATCCCGGTAGTACCAAAGCCATGCCCATTATCCTTCAATCGACCATCGATCTTCTGGAGACAGAACTAGCCAAGGCTAGAGCGGCGCTCCATGAGATCCAGCCCACGGCATCATCTTTATTTACGAAGCGGGATGAGCTCGCTTTGGGCGCTGTGGCAGCATATCGTCAAAATCTCATTGACCGTGCGCCGGACTTCTTCTATGGCGCGAGCCGATTGACCCCCAAGGAGCTGGGGCTTGTCCCGGCAGTCCGCGAAGTACAAGCGGACGATGAGGATGATGATCATGTAAAGACCGCGTCTAAGCAACACCTTCAGCCTGTCCAGCCTGTTGCGCCGAAGCGCGCTACTTTGGCAGATGTCTTATCCAACAGTCTAATCCTCGACCATATGGCCCCATATCTGTCAACCCCCTCATTGTTGGCTCTAGCATCCACTTCCCGCCAGGTTCGGTCATCGATAGTGGACACCCCCTACATTTTCCGCCACCTTGATCTGACTCAATGCCGTGGCGCGAAACCAGGCAGCACATCTGACTCAGTTGAACAAGCATGGAGTGGTGAGCGAGCGGAAGACTCCGTGGTCGAGGATGAGTTTTATTCTGCGCCTTTGAGGAGCATCTTCGCTAGTCTCCAAAGGCAGTCGCTCCTGCAGGACGTGCGCACATTGGTTCTAGATGGACTGTCCGTTCCAGCGGGATTGGTTGCGGAAATCATCCTCACAGATCGCTTCAACGTTAATATTCTATCCATAAGGGAGTGCCGCCATCTCAATGAGCGAAAACTAATGCAGGTGCTGACCCATGCGGTGCGGCCTTCGCGCCCCAAGGGCACACCCCGTGTCAAAGGCATCTATCACTTTACTCCTCTTCATCAGTCTCGTGCGGTAGTCCGCAGCAGATACCGCGACTGGTGGAGCTCGAGATGCGGCAGCCAATCGTCTTGCATTACTCCAGGTTCGGAAAACGAGTCTGCAACTACTGAACTTGCTGAAATTGCCACACAACAACAGGATGCATGGTATCATCCGTCCGGGCAGCTCTTCAAGCAGAGCATTGAGGATGGCTGGGCAGAGACAATCAAGCAGTGTGAAGGTATCATTGCCTTTGACGCTGTTCTGTGCCGTGGTCCTCGTCATGACGTTGATCTTTCCCCTCCCATGCCGGAAGGCCAGGGTGTATCTCAGCCGGAGGGCCGGCCACCGCTTGAACCAAAACTGGCAACTGTTGCACTAGGGCCCCGGGGGTGCGATGGCTGCCACACCTCACCCGAAGGCCCAACCTTCTGGGGTCAGTCTCCGGATGAAAACCTTCCCCTGCTCACGCCGCCACCGCTCCACTCTTCCTCGGCAGTCAAGGCAAAACGGCCGGTGCTGATTCCGGACGAACAGCCCAGTCTAATCGCTCGCTGCACGGATTGCTTGACAGACCGGTGGTGCCATCGTTGCAATAAATGGTTCTGTGAGGATTGCCTGCCTCATCCAGAACGTGTACGGAACAATCTTTCACCGCATCAGACAGCGTTCAGAAATCCGCAGAGCAGTCCTAGTAGTACTGAACAGTCCGAAGATCGTGAGGTTCGTATCTGAGAGGCACCGTATGATGTAGAGAATATGTCTGACTGAATCGAACAGCAATTCAGCCGTGGTGTAAGCAAAGACTGCTGGGAATGCGGTCCCACGGTAAGTCAATTAGACTACAGTTATGTTTGCCGCCACATTCTGACAGTTCGTGCAGTGTGCTCAGTGCAAGACGGAATGCCAGCGAACGTGCCAAAGCTGCCGTGGTGAATATTGTGTTGAGCATAATGAGGGCTGTTCGTCGACGATGGTATGTTTTTTGAGTCATCCGAACCCCTTTTGCACTCATATTGACCTTGGTGGCATTCTCACAGTGCGATTGGTGCAATGCCAGTACCCGGAATCGGGTGAGAGAACTGTATTGACATCCTGTGCGAGTCGAGGCTCCCATGAGCTAGTCTGGAGAAGACACGTAATAATGGACTCCATCAAACATCTAAGGGAAGTATATTCGGCCTCTCTCGGCCTGCTCGCATCTTGCTATATTGAGATTTTCTTCGTTACGGTTCACAATCTCGTCTCTATCTTTTTCTGGTACTATATTAGCAGGCGTGCTTTTCTCGCCACTCAGAATACCACTGCAGCGCGTATGATTCAGCCATAGTTCGAGTGTACCTAGCATGAAAGAGCTGTAGGCCGGCCCTAAAAGGCAATAGGAGGGGAAAATAATAATCTTAAAATGCTAAAAGACAGTAGTAGTAGAGAACGTGGTCAGTAACGTTAGACCGACTGAAGTTAGATGACAAATCGGCGGCTGGGATTCCAGAAGGCACGCGGTGTTTCGCAACCTCAGATGAGCCGCAATGGATGGATGGATGCATGCATTCTTTCCATCATCCATCGCCCCCCACCCACCATCATTCTTAATCTCTGATTCTTGTCCCATGATGGTCTCCGCTACTGCCCTCGTCTCCACTCTCCCCTCCACACTCTCTCCCCCTTTGCTTCCTCACATACCTCTTTCCCTCCCGCTTCGGATATCATGACGGGGAACCAAGGTTCCTTGCGCTGGTCATCGCAGTTGACCGTTGCTCCAGCCCAGCAAATCCCCAAGCTTTCCGGCGATAAGATCATACTGCCACCATCCGCGCTCGAGCAGCTTCTCGCGGCTGCCCCGCTTCAAGAGGTAACTTCGTCAGGCCCAGCACGCCCATACACCAACACTTTCGATCCCTTTAATCCGCACACCTTCGCCGCCGAGTCCCAAGCGCGCGAACGGGCGGTGGATCGCCAGCAGCAATTGCCCCATCCGCTTACGTTCCGCATCGTGAACCCTCAGAACGACCGGGTGGTATATGCTGGTGTCCGCGAGTTTTCTGCGCCAGAGAACGAGATCGGCCTTAGCACATTTTTACGTGGGGCCCTTGGCATTGATGGTACGCGACAACCGTCACCACACGGCGGTGATGGTAATGATGGTGATGTGACAGACAATGCGCCAGCCGCGCCGACCACGGTCACGGTCCATGCGCAACAGTTACCGAAAGGTACTTATGTCCGCCTGCGCCCTCTAGAAGCCGGGTACGACCCGGGAAATTGGAAAGCTTTGCTCGAACAACAGCTGCGGGACAATTACACCACCTTAACCTCTGGAGAGGTCCTCACCGTTGCAGGGGGCCGCAATCAGTCGTTTCAGTTCTTGGTTGACAAAGTTGAGCCCCATGGCAATGGCATCTGCGTTGTGGATACGGATCTGGAAGTTGATATTGTCGCCTTGACAGAGGACCAAGCCAGAGAGACGTTAGAGAAACGGTTGGAGAAATCTTCCCGTGTCTCTGCGAATAGGGCAGGCACATCCGTGGGAGGTGAGCTGCGACTCGGTCAGGTAGTAAGTGGTCAGGTTGCGCTTGGGGACTATGTCGACTACGAGGTCCTTAAATGGGATCCTTCGAATGCACTGGAACTGTCTGTCAAGGGTGCCGACGATGTAGATCTGTGTCTTTTTGCCAGTCCCCTTTCTGCTCGCCAGAGGAACCGACCGCGGGAGGATGAGCATGTTTTCGGTGACCTCTCAAATCGACCGACTAAACGGATTAGGATCCAACCGACGAATGTGGATATGGAAGGCGCTGAGTTGCTGTATATATCGGTCCATGCCCCCACTTCCACCGACAGTTCAGGAAATGGACTTTCGGCGCTGCCGTATAGCCTACAGGTCCATGTGGGCTCGTCACCCGCACAAGCTGAGAACGCTGCAGACAGCGAGCCAGAAAGTCGTGAACCGGGTGATGTGCAGTGTAAGAATTGTCGTCAATGGGTACCTGAGCGGACATTGATGCTACATGAGAACTTTTGCCTTCGAAACAACATTCTCTGCCCCCAGTGCCAGAACGTGTTCCAGAAACGGTCTCCGGAATGGCAGACACATTGGCATTGTCCTCATGACTCGGCTTATGGCACCGGTGACGCCGAAAAGAATCGACATAATCACTTTTTCCACAGCAAGCGCTCCTGTAGTGGCTGTGGATTCGAGGCGGAGGACCTCTCACGTCTCGCTCAACACCGCACAACTGTCTGTCCGGCAAAACCCATTCTGTGCCAATTTTGTCATCTTGTGGTCCCTCAAAAGAGTGAATCAGACCCCGAAATGGACGATCCGGACGTTTTAGTCTCCGGCCTCACACCACATGAATTGGTGGACGGTGGCCGGACAACTGAATGCCACCTCTGTGACAAAATCATCCGTCTCCGCGACATGAAAATGCACCTTCGCCATCATGATCTAGAACGTCTGTCTCGACCCACTCCTCGCATATGCTTAAATCAAAATTGCGGACGGACGCTTGATGGACGCGGTACTCAAACTGCAGTCAACCTCGGTCTATGCAGCATCTGCTTTGGACCACTGTACGTAGACACCTACGATCCCGAAGGCAAAGCACTCCGGCGGCGCATCGAGCGCCGCTACCTCTCTCAGATGATGAGCGGCTGCGGCAAACCATGGTGTCAAAACGAATATTGCAAAACGGGCAAACAAGCTAGACCATCTTCCACATCTGGTGCGTCTGCCCCGTTGGGCGCGGCAGCTATTCTAGCCGCAGTGCGGCCTTTGCTTGACGCCGTCAATCTTCGAGGAAATGCACCGAACACCGCTCCGTTTTACCTTTGCACGGATCAGACAGGCCAGCAACGCCGCATCGCTGCAGAAATGCTTTCAACTGAAGGCGCAGTAGCTGACGGCAAGACCTATGCATTGCCATGGTGCGTTTCCGCCGTTGAAACCACGGCGGGAAATTTAGACAAGGCGCGAGAGTGGTTGGAAAATTGGGCGCCTGCGCAAGGGGAAGGCACGGAATCTTTTCAACGGTAGATAGATAATCGTTAATATTGTCAAATACCATGCATATTGTCAGCCAGCTAGGCAACGATACTGTTTATGCACTGTGTAGTTTCTCACGTGTTGAAGGCGAATTGCTAGTAATGTCAGGATAAGTCTAGTGAGGCCTGCTACACACTTGTGGCTGAAGATATTACACACGGAACGGCAGTCAAAAAGTCCGCGAGATTTAGTATTATATCGAGACTCCTTCCATGGATATCTGAATATAGAGTTATATATCTACGCAGTTAAGGAACAGTCCGTGTCTCGTGATTAAGTATATGTATAGAAGAAAGAGAGAGCTTAATGATTCGTTGTCATGATTTCAATCAGATATCGTCTGAGCATGCTTGCATGTATAATCTGTATCACGCCGCGCCCGTCTTAGCAGCCAAAGTCCCACTACCCCGAGACGAAAAGATACCCATGATCCCAAAGACCACATAAAACAATGCCAGCGGATATGCGACCAGACCCCTCATTCCACGCATGCGCGCCACAGCACAGAACATTCCCGAGGAGCTGTACGTGCACCACCCCACGGCGGCGGTAGTCAACAAGTATCCGAACAGAGTGTCCATGGGGATCAGAATCCCCACTAAGCTGGTCAGCACTAGCGGGAGGAAACAGTATCCCAGCACGCTAGCGGAACGAGGGAAGGTCAAGGTAGCGGAGAAGTGGCCGGCAGCGGAGGCGTCCGACATCGTGGGTTTGTGATGGGGAGAGTAATTGGCGGGATCTGCGGCGTTGGGGACGGGGGCCGTATCGAGGGCGGGAGACATCAGACTGAGAATGAGATGTAAAGCTACGGTTCCGAAAACTGCGACGCCGTAAATGTAGCCGTAGAAAACCTTTCCGGAGAGCAGCAGGAAAGTTCCATAGAGAACGATGTAGAGAAGGGCTCCGTAGAGGTCGCTGTCATCCATGAGGTGTTGGTCGATACGTGCAAAAGGGTTGAGCACAGTTAGGGTCTATAAGGTAGGAGCAATGGTAAGCTTGGGTTTCACTAGAGCTCCTGCTATACAGCTGGTTGATTAGACCGCGGATGGGGGGCTTGCAATATGTACACACCTTCGTGCGGATATGCTCGAAGTTGACGCCAAGCTCTTCTAGAAGTGGTGGCTCCCCATCGTAGCCCTCCGTGCCAAATGCAGCGAGCCATCCAGTCCTCAGTCCTCCTTGCTCACCCATCCTTCCACTGACACCTGCAGAAGGGGACCCGAAGCCGCCATATCCGCCACCAACCCCTCCGACGGGGTATGCCTGAGATGCTGAATTAGGCGCACCACCAAACCCGCCGTAGGATGCCTGTGACGGGGTCGTATGGCCCGAGACGGAGGTATAGGATGAAGGGTAGAATTGGAGGTTTTGCGCCGATGATTGCACGCCGTAAGGCTGCTGCTGGGGGTAATACTGGGCCATTGCGGCCAGGCTTCCGGGTCGATGTCGGATTAAAGAGACGAGTGGGAACTGTAAAACTTAGTGAGTGTGTCCGAATGTCGTGCTATTAGCTAGAAGAGTGAGTAGAGGGAGGAGACAGTGATTTGGGAAGTTGAGGATGGAGTTGGAGACGAGGAGTTGCAGGCAGAGAGAACAGCTGGCGGGCGGTGAGATTAGTTGCCTGAGTCCCCAAGGCTACCAGCCACACCGGGATATAGTTATCAGTTGTATATTTAACGAACTAATGATCATTGAATATCAACGCTTAATTGATTCATGCTTCTAACAGGAATGGGAACTCCCTTTGAGAAAATAAAAGAATATGAGCGACTCTCCCCAGTCTCCCTCCCCCCTCCTCTATCTAGTTTGTTACAGTGTCGAATATTTTCTACAGGAAATTGATGCCGATTCCAAACTGCAGCCCCTTCCGGCCTTCCTCACCCTTGCGAAGGACCAGAGGTAGGGAGAAGTTGAGCTCGAACCTGGCCACCGGATGGGCGTAGACAAGTCCGACACCCGCCGCGATGCTAGGCAGACCGTTGGTTAGCTCGGAAACCGTGGAAGCCATGGCATTTTGGACCTCCGCACTCGAAGTAGGTGCATTCTTGTCAGCCGTGCGGAGGGACAACAACCGTCCGCCGTTGACAAAAGCTTGCAGGCGGAGAGGCTTCTCCGCGCCTACCCTGGGGAGTGGGAACAGAAGATTGGCGCTTCCTGCAGCATACAAATCACCACCGACAGCATCTGCTCCGTCATGGGGACCAAGACCGCAGAGACGGAATCCACGGACGTCTGTAGGGCCTCCAAGTAGGAATCGGTCGTTCGTGCGAGAGAGCTGGGGTCTGGAATCACTATCAAGTCCAAGAGGGTAAAGAAGACCGGCGCGGAAGCCAGTAGTCAGACTGATACCACTGTCTCCTTTGATGCCAGGGATCGGAATAGGAACTGCGGCTTGCGTTTCAATCTCCGACTTCCAGAAGGAGACATCACCCTTGAGAGGACCCCAACCAGCCAGCTCGTTGAACATCTTTGCGTAGTAACCACGAGAGGGAAGAAGCGGGCTATCTCTTCGGTCCTTGCTCCAGCTGTGGAACACGCTGCTCTTGACACTGTCGCCTGCATCAGCTCGAACAGTAGGGGATGCGTTCTCGGTAAGTCCAGTCATTTGTCTCCAGAAACCGTTGTAGCCGATTTCATGTTGCTGACCGGAAGAATTTGCCCAACGGAATTTGGACCATCCTCCTCTGAGCACTTCCTCGTGGCTTGCCCAGGATTTCTGCGTGGCACTGGCAATTCCACCAAGCTCCAGACGGAGATCTGGGTTACTGAGGACTGGGGTGTCAAAAGTAGCTTGATAGGCAGACCGTGTTCGGGTGCCCAGAGACGCATTTAGGTTGAGATTCTCTGCACCTCCAAATACATTACGCCACAGGAGGTTGCCATAAGCCGAACCTTCGGCGTTTCCAAGATCAGTACCTGTCTTCAACAGCACGCGGGACCTTTCTTTGCCCGAGAGATGAACTTTGATGCTCGGGATACCCGATCCGTCTACTTCGGACTGATCCAGGTATACCGAAACGGGTTGTTGGAAGATGTCTGAACATGGAATTAGAGTCGAGTCTTTAGCTAGCTATCATCGGGGAGGGGACGAACCGAATCTGTTGAGCTTATCCGCACGTGCCGAAACTTCCCGCAAGGCCTCGGAGAGCGTATAGGGTCTGTCTTGGTTACTGCTTAGGAGGGGGTTGAAGATACGCTCCAGAAAGGCTCGGCGGGTGTTGCGAGCGCCGTGAACCTCTACCGAAGAGATAGTGCATGGCAACGTCGAGTTCTGGTCGAGCTGATGTTATATAAGCTCATAGGTCAGCTATCATGACGCACGATGTATAGTAATGATCATGTCCATGGCCCACAGCCAATTATGAGGGGAGCCAGCTTACCAATTCACCAAGACGAGTCTGCGCCTTTTGATAAATAGCACGAACGCGCTCATCGACTGCCTGTTGCTGCTCATTCAGCACTTTCGGATCGGCACGCTGTTGCAGGCGCGCGAAGATCTAGAAGAGGGAGAACGCCGTTTGTGGTCAGCACAGAGTGCTCGGGGGAATTCCTCAGGGTTAAACAAGAGGGGACGCATCACGAACATCTTCGTCATCAGCAGAAAGTGGAGAGGACATTGCTGCGGCGGCAATGGCCAGATGAGACCTGCTTTTGCCTTTCCTGCTTTCCCTTCCGCAGCGGCGAAGATGAAGCCATCCGCCCTCGCACGTGACCGTTCCTTGAGGTGCCTCCGGGGAGTTCCTTACAAGCCAGGCCGCAACGCAACTAAACCAACTATAGACCCAGATCTTCCACTTCTCCCCTCCCTCCCATTCCGCCATCGCCTTGGTGTCAGATAGCATTCGCCTTGCGATCTGCCCCTGTCCACCCCTTTCAACTTCGGGCCAGCTCCCAACAGATCAGTCTTTGTTACTAATTCTACCCTTATCGCCCCTGACCTTCGCTACTTTCGTTCTTTTGACCTCCCGTACTTAGCCCCCCTCTCCGATTTACTGCAAACAGGCCAGAACAAACTACTAAAAGATGGCGACAAAAGCGGCTTTCAAGCGCGTGCGTTGCGCCCTTTCAAAATGCGGTCATTTTATTGCATTGTATAACTAACAGATGAACAGCTTACTCGCGAGTATCAGAACATTCAGAAGAATCCCCCGCCTTACATTGTGGCACATCCGTCAGAGTCCAACATACTCGAGTACGTCATTTACAACAGACTATCACCACCTGCGTCGCTTGTTTGCGACTAAAGTTGACCTTTCATTCAGATGGCACTACATCCTTACGGGACCTCCGGGCACGCCGTATGAAAATGGCCAGTATTGGGGTACCCTAATGTTCCCTCCCGAGTACCCGTTTGCTCCTCCGGCTATTCGCATGCACACTCCTAGCGGTCGTTTTCAACCATCAACTCGGCTATGCCTCAGCATCAGCGACTTTCATCCGAAGTCATTTAATCCCGCATGGGAGGTTTCTACCATCCTCATTGGCTTGCTTTCCTTCATGACGAGCGAGGAGATGACCACCGGAAGCGTGAGTGCATCGGAGGCAGAGCGACGAGTGCTGGCGGCACGGTCTAGGTGGTGGAATTCCACTGGTGGCGGTTCCCATGTCAGTGCCACCCCAGGAGTGACCCCTACTGCCAAGGGTATCAACAATGTGAAAGCTGGAGACGGCGGTCTGAAGTTTCGCTCGGAGTGGCCAGAGCTCGACCAAGAGAATTGGAGGTGGATGAAGGATAGTCGCATCGACACCAACACTGGCCAGCTCATGCCTGATCCCAGTGCGACCAGATGCTCTCCAGAGACAAGTGCGCTTCGCCGACGACCGAACGGTAGCGCCCCGGGACTCGGTGCGGTGATGGAAGGCGGCCATGTCGCCCGAGAAGCAGGCCAAAGCTGGGTCCGCCGCAACAAGATCTGGCTTGGGTTTGCAATCCTATTCGGATATGCACTTCTGACCAGGCTAGTGAAAGATGTTCAAGGCTAATGGCTGACAAGGTCGAGCTGGCTCGGCTTTCCGCTCCTTTTGTATATTTCAGATTGCCCAATTAAGCGTTTGATCGGACCTGCAGACACCCCCGAACGATTTTCCTTTCTTGTTCTGTCTTTTTTTTTTTTTTTTTTTTTTTTTTTTTTTTTTTTTTTTTTTTTGTGTTTATCCCCTATTTTCTTTCCTTCAATCAGTGCTATTTCTCATCGACCTATTTTTTTTTTTAAAGACCCCAGTTTCAGTTTCCTTGTGGCAGTACCGGGAGAGTTTGTGCAGATATTTATGGGCTTATTTGATTTTCCAGCTACTGGGGGGCGTCGGGGGATTTTCATGTGGCGTTTGAGACATTCATCAGATCATCATCACTTTCCCTTACCTTTTTGTTGTTGCTCTCTCCCCTTGTCTGTTCTTTCCCGGCCTTTTGTGTCTTGGGACATGCGGCTGTTCTTATTTAATAGGCCGCCCGAGCATGATGGTAACAATGGTTTGGATCCGGATGGTGCGAATACTTGTACATAGGCAAGTCTGCTTGATATTTAGAAAGAATCGCTCTGCCAGGCGTGATGGCCTCCACAGTACCAACTGAAGTACTCCGTACTACTTTCTGCTCTAACTGCTGCTAGTGCCTCAGGCCTGCAGAGGGATGTCAATCAGCTCACGCCTGATTGGCTACGGACGTTGGCGGAGATAGTCGGGAATCACGTGGGCGGCGCGCGGCAATTTTCCGGCTTGCAAATAAAATCATTTCGTATCGCCGAAATTACTTACTGTCGATACCGTCGCTATACATCATCACTTTCGCCCTCGCCGTTTGCTGGAGATTCTCTGACGGCCTCCACATTCTCTCTAGCATATTCCGTCCGACGGTCTTTCGTCAACTTGCTCGTCCTCTTGTCTAATATTCCTTTGTATTCCATCGCGCATCAATAATGGGTTGGTTCTGGGCAGACTCTCAAGCAAAGCCCGCGCCCGCGGCTCCGCACCCCGTGCCATCTTCAGACGCCTCTCCTCCCGTGAGTAAAGATGCTACTTAGACGCAATTTCGAGCGAGGAATCTGACGGATGCTTATAGCCAGGATGTCCCATGCACGCATCTAACACCACGCCGGCAATGCCAGCCCCATCACCCACCTCCGAGCCTCCCAGTGCCTGTCCGGTCCGGTCTACAGATTCCCCGTTCTATGTGCCTCCGAAGTCCAAGTCTCCGGAGTCGCAGCCTCCCTCCAACCCTACTACCAGCTCTGACACGCGATCTACTCTTTCAAAGCTAAACCCTCTCAACTACATGTTCGCCTCGATCTCCCAGGAAAGGGCGCCCAACCAGACCGTGGATCTTCCCGTGGAGCGAGAAGTTTCGTCTATCCCGAGATCCGATATGAATGAGAACTGGGAATATCCTTCCCCTCAGCAGATGTACAACGCCATGCTGCGCAAGGGTTATACCGATACCCCGCAGGATGCCGTTGAGGCCATGGTTGCTGTTCACAACTTCTTGAATGAGGGCGCTTGGGAGGAGATTGTTCGGTGGGAGCGTATATTTTCCAAGGGTCTGGCAGATGGCTGGGAAAAGTGCCGTCGCGGAGAGGAGAACATCATGATGGACGAGTTTAAAGAGCAGATGTCCAGCGCTCCCAAGCAGGATGTTCCTCCGCCGCGACTCATCCGGTTCCAGGGTCGCCCGCAAGAGCTTACGCCCAAGGCACGGATCCTTCAGGCATTGGGCTGGGTGTATCCTGCCAAGTTCGAGTCAGTACTCCCATTAGCTCCTGTTTCTTCTCTTCCGTTCGAAAATTTTAAACTAACATTCGCCTGTTACTGTAGGTCAAACCCACCCTTCGATCGCCACGATTGGTTCGTAATGCGACAGACGCCTTCCGGCCCTAAGGAAGTCCGTTATGTTATTGACTACTATTCTGGTCCCCCCGAACCCACCGGAGAGCCTGTTTTCTACTTGGATATCCGACCGGCCCTGGACACCCCAACTGCCGCCGTTGAGCGACTAATGAGATGGGGAGGAGATGTCTGGTGGCGTGCCAGTGGCGCCTCTGTTCGGGAAAATTAAGTGACTGACTGATTGATCTATCAATCGGTTGATTGTCCTTAGCACCGCATGCCCGCGATCTTGGTCGACAGCCGTTCAGCAGGATACTCTTGACACTCTGGGAAGGCGCAGGCGTCTGGTTTCGGTTCTTCGTTCATTCTGTGGAACCGCCCTGCTATAGTATTCATGTTCTTGTTCGTTCGGATCTCCTGGATTGCGCGCCCCTTTCTCTTCATTTCGGCTATGTCTTTATTATAACGTCATGTGGATGCTGGAGTATCAAGGAAGTTCGTCATCGTATTGGACGCCTGGGGTTATTTCTTTCTATCGGTTGCATGCTTTGTCTGGGCTTAAACGCCCCCCCTCTCTGCTCCACTCTCTTTCCTTTTTGTGGAATCTGTCTTGATATCAATTATCTTGATCTGTAATATATATGAAACTACGCTGCCATCAAATCGTGGACGGTGATATGAAAGGTACAATTCGTGTTTGTAATCTATCGTAATGCTGTGCATAAATGACTGGGTACTGTATGAAATTAATATACTGTACAGAATGTCTTTGCCTTGCAGTTATTTCAGCTCAAACCGTCATTTGCGTTCGTTATTCCGGACCCATCCCTCGAAACACGGCTGACAAAGAAGGTCTGTGCTGACCATGCCAATTGTGGGGAGTAGTGAAACGCTCGACCACCCGTGCTGTTGTCGGCATCTGTCGCTCAGTGCCTGACGGCGAGATACGTATCAACGTCGGGTTGGAAGCCATGGCGGATCTCTGTGCGTATAGAACGGAGGGTATACATCGCACCCCGATTTCTGTTACGTCTCGCAACAATCACTGGGCTGAATACGTGCTCTGGCCCTGGACCGCTTGGAGAAGTATGCGAGTGCTGGCTATGTTGTTCAATCCTTGCCTTTGCATTTTAAATCATATGTTAGGCGATAAGAGATCGTATTTGACACATTGCTCGACGGTTTCGAAGCTGCTTTGGAGCAATCCGCGCGCCTCGAGCCCTACCCAGACGCGAAGCATGGACATGTCGCCGGACCGGACGGATTTGAGAGCGGTAGTGTTGGATCCCAGTTTTCGTAGAATGGGGAGGGAGCTAGATAACAAAACGAGTCAGTCAGTGGGCCGTGTGAAATAACAGGGCGAGAGGATCTATGTACCTCTTGAAAAGATCGAGATTGGGATCTAGATTACGTCCAATGCCCTCAAGGAGAAGACACGAGATAACGACGTTGACGAAATCTCCCTCGAGTCGAACGTGATGTTTACGGACCATGGATAGGACATCACTCAGTACATCTCCAATTTTGACGCTACCGAGGGCAAACGTGCGAGACTTGATATTTAGCACCAGATGTTCCATGCCCAGGGCGAAGTAATATGGGTCGATCACTGCATCCGGTTGACGACATCGTTCGACCATGAGTTCACCGGCTCGATACCCATCGAACTCGGCAATGGCGCGAAACAGGTCAATGAAATTGCGCCGGTTGAGGTCGTTTAGTTGAGTCACTAGTCCAGTGTCGATGAATATGAGCTGGGGCCGATAGCCCTCAGCGTTCAGATCATCGAGCGCTTTCACCCAGTCGCGCCGATTATCGATGTGTGGGCGCAACCGTGCGAGCACAGATTCTGTAACATCAACCTCTTCCGCAGATGGTGCCTCCGATGCGCGAGACTTATTTCCTAGTGACAAATCCAATTCACTTGGCCGGTAGAATCGAACCATGATATTCCCGGGGTGCAGATCCGCATGGACGAAGTTGTCGATCAACAGCATATGGAGGAAGGCATCTAAGCCTTCGTTCGCGATCTCTTCCTGGTAGACGCCTCCTCCTACCTCGAGGAAGGTCGACAGTGGAATACCCTGTGCAAACTCCTCCACGAGCACCTCGCGAGTAGAGTAGTCCAGATACGGATATGGGAACCAGGCTGTAGTGCGTGACCTGAACTTCTCACGGAACATGACGAGGTTCGTGGCTTCAATTCGTAAATCCAATTGTAATTTCATCATTTCACCAAACTGATGAACTTCATCCGGCAAAGATAGCCAATTCATGGTAGGTATGGCATTAATTAAGGATGCGAAGAACGACATGATCTTCAGATCTCTGTGAATCACGCGTTCTACCCTCGGATGAAGCACCTTGACAGCTACATAAGACGATGGCACGCGTTGAGGAGAGCTTTTGACTAACGCTCCAACGTTCTTTCGGACCTTGTCTCGTAGACCATGTGGATGAAGGTCGATGTCGTCATCGGTCCCCGCAAGATTGGGCTTCAGCTTCGCCTTGTATACCTGCGCGATAGCGCCCACGCCCAATGGTTCTTCTTGGAATTCCTCGAAAATGTCTTCGAATGGCAGCCAATTGAATGCCTTCCTTATCGTTCTCTTCGTTTGATGCAAGGAGTGTGCAGGTGCATTTGAATGCAGTGATGACATGATGTCGCAAAGTTCCGGTGGGAAGATGTCTGTACGTGAGGCCGCCCATTGTCCAAGCTAGATGAAGACCGCGAATGAGTAGAGTACGGATTGAAAGAGTTCGACGACCAAATATTTACCTTGATAAAAGCTGGGCCTGCGCGTTCCATAGATCGGACCAGAAACCTATACCACCATAGAGTCCCCGTGCGTATACCCTCACGATCCTTCAACTGCTTACCAAAACATATCGTCGGAGCTGTAAGAATGACAGGCAGGAAGATTATTACCAGATGGACAAACCGGAAGCCCGTCGCAATCGGGTCATATATGTAACAGTATGTAAAGACGTAGAGCGATTGCCAGAGTCGCTTCAAGCCTCGCGCATCGTCATCGACGGTCTTTCGTACCTCCTCGCGCGAGACTTCCAGCATCTGCATCTCGCCAGTCTTTCCATTGTCGTCATCTCCATCCTCGGCCAGCTGGAGGAATGCTCCTGGTGTCATCGCAGCAATGAGAACAGTTCTGATCGAAGGCCCCCCCCTCGGGGGTCTTCGCAAAGGCTGCTGCGTCCATAATGGCCTGCGCGCGAAAGGCAATCGAGGCTGCGGAAGAAGGCGGGACAGTAGCAGTGGATTTCTACCACGGCTTAAACAGAAACGGCTCGCGAGGACGGCCGTCCTCATGTTCTCGTAAAGACACCGGCTCGAGAGCAGGTGGATCAGTCATCGAAAGCAGAATAGCTGGCCTGAGCGGTCATAATAAAGGCGGGAGAGGGAGCGAGAGGAGATGCGCTTTCTTTGCTTGCTTCTGGTTGTTTGTTGGAGATTCGGGATGGACAGGAAGCCCAGCCGGCGGGCCAAGCACGTGGGCCGACGTCATCGAGTAGTACCTCTCTCCTACTGCTACTCGTTATGGTTAGTTACGAATTTCTACGCATTCATGCAGGCGCCCGTTCTGCAACCATCATATATTCTATGGAGACTTTTACTCTACTGTTTTGATCCATCTAATCAGGATAGCTCGTCCAGAGCTTACAAAACCTCCACTGCCAACACCGGCCGACAGGCACTGTCTAAAAAGAACTCTTGTCAGACCACGGGTGACATGACAATATGGTATACGATGCTTGTGAGGGACTGATGAAAGACATGATGCTTTCTTAACCGTTCAATGTCGACTTAGAGTCTTGCAGATGCCTTGAAACATGACTATGCATCAACTGCTGCATGGTAGATTTATCGGTTTCGGCAAGCGTGTCGGGCTGGTAGGGAGGCGTCAATATCAATCATAGTTGGGATTTCAAATTTTGAGAATAGACTTACATCGCTCTTCAACAACTCCTGCACCAGGACAGAAATATTGTCACGATCTTTCTTTGCCTGCATTTGTTCGGTCTCCTCCGTAGATTCGGAGGTTTCTGCACTCAACGTCTCCTCAAGTAGTGGAAGAATTTGCATCTTTTGCAGGGATCTTGAAACTGCCATGGCGCCCGCTTTAGTGGACGCCATAAGGGCCATGGCAAACCAGCCTTCACTCCGGACGACGGGCCATTGTGATTGGGCAATCATAGCCCCAACCGGCAGCGCGATGTCCTCATGTAAGTCAAAGAATCTGGACAGCAGGGCAGCAGCAGTGGGATCCCCTTCCCGAGATTTTGGCACCAAAGTACGGCATATGGAGGCCACGGTGCGTCCAATCTCTGTTTTGATGGGAGTAGAGTCTGTTTTCTGGAAGAGAGCAAGTAGCAAAGACAAATACGTCCGTTCGTCGTTAGAATCAGTGCCGTCCCTTGCAAGTCCCTCTAGGAGACGAGAAATATTATCGATCGCTGCCACAGTCACCTGCCTTGCGATGCTTGTGGCGGCAAACTGAACCTGAGGGACAGACTCATATTGCCATAGACGTGAAACCGCTGGGAGTATGCCAGCCTCTCCAAGTACCAGCCTGTTATTCCCAGCGATCGCAAGGTTCTTCACGAATCCGAGTGCCGAGTGTAAGACCGCGCCTCTAACATCACTCTTAAGGACAGATATCAATTCTTCATGTATTCTCAGATCTTGAACCATCCTTTCGCACGTCGCGTCTGAGCGAGCCAAGTTGCCCAGGATAACGCAGGAGCATATCTGCAGCTGGTCCTCCGTCGATGTTAGCCACGTCTTGAGAGACTGAGCCAGAGGGGAGTCTAGCGGATAGTACTGCGCGAATGAGGTCGATCCGGAGATCTCCGCGAGGATTTGGTTGATCTTCAACCGTGACTGTGCTAATGCCTGGGTATCCTCGCCAGAGGACTCAGTATTGAAGGTCAGTGACCGGCTGAGCACCGCCAAAATGTTGGGCACTATGTAATTGGATATGCAAATTTCTTGGAAGCGCGTATTGTTTAGATATGTCGCCAGGCCACTGACAAGACCGGAGAAACGCGCTGGGGTGGAAGCCACATCTTTGTCAAGAGCAAGTTCTACAAGAAGCGAGATGGTCCCATCGGGAGATGAGGATATTCCTTGTTCTGAGCGTTCCTACAGTTAGCATTGAATTGCAAAAGGGGAGGTGAAGTCATGCCTTGTTCTCCGACCAACTCGACAAGCTCAAAGACATAATCAAGCAGAGCATCGTTGTCTTTGAATGCACCGTCTTTCACTAGTTTCAAGAGGATATAGACTATCTTATCAGCAGCTAACTGTGTCTGAGCAGGCCCTGTGGATCGTCAGTATCATAGCCAGCTTTAAGGATCCGAGCAGGAGCACCAATTACCGAAGTCGATGCAAATGTTATACAGGACAGGGATCACCACTTGAATCAGTTCGGGATTGCTTGAGTGCTGTAGAATGGCAGCCGTGTAATTGTGTTCCACTACAATCTCTCGATTGTCATCTGAAGGCGATCAGAAATGAGCTGTCTTCGACTTCCCTAGGGGACAAAGGCACTCACTAGTGTCAGCACAGGAGTTGCCGACGAGCCGTAACGCATGGAGGATGACTCTGTTATCAATGGTCTCCTTCGACGCTATAAGCTGAAGGAAAAAGTTGAAGACTCCAATCTTGCCGTAGGAGACCCGCCATAATGCTACCACGTATATTAGCTAGGTGACAAGACAGAACGCGCCTGGTTGGCGGTGATGATGGTACCACCGAGCTGGTTGATGACTTACGGGCTCTGCTGCCATTCGCCATAGCCTCTGCCGCTGGCACTAGGTAGGGCGATCTGCACTTCCACAACTTCTGGAGAATATCTGGAGTATCTTTCAGAGCGTCCAAAATGTTTGCATTTTCTGCAGCTTTCAGGGATTTCTGCAGTGACTCGAACAAGTTCTTTTGTTCTTCAGATGGCAACGGCTCAATTGCCGCAAGTGTGGACGCCGGTGGCAGTGAAGCCAATTCGGAAAGGACTTGACTGAGAGAGGGGCATTGTACTCTATGAGCACTCCCAGCTGTTCCTGGGGTCAGCTCGGATTGCTGGTCGCTGCCCTGCATGCTCCCTGGGACATCAGTCCTGTCACTAGGGGGTTCCATTTCTCGAAGCCCGCTTTTCGCCGGTAGAGTAAGTCCAGCTAGGTGGATATTGTGAGACAATAAACAAGCACTGTGCTTTAAGATTCGAGGCTATGTTATAGTTATGAACTGCTCGATCATGAGGTTGTAAATGGTTGCCAGGATGGAATCTATAGAGTATCGAGCGACAATGGTGTTCTTCACCTGATCGGAGTTAGCGCGAGAAACTATTGCACCCGAAGAATCCAAGGTGCAGGCAGAGCAAATAAAATGCAGGTGGTGTATCTCAAAGGTAGTATTAGTAGTACTAGTACTGACTCTCTGCTACTTGCGGGGAGAGACGAACAAGCGAACTAAGTAATTCCTGGATGCTTTTACCTGTTTCTTTATTCAACTTGCCAGACCTAACATTGCAATGATAATCCGTACTTTACATTCTATACTACACAGCACACAACACTCGCAACATATCAACTACCGCAGGACAAACGCAGGTCTCTAGTTTCCAGAACTTTCCCCCCCAACGTCATGAGAGGGGAAAAATATCTACCCCTCCTTGACCCTTACTTACCTTGTCAGGTACCCTGTAGTCTAACTAACTGGTAGTAACTAGTAACCCAGTTAATAAGAATTGATTAATCAATTCTGTCCATAACGAGGAGTAACAGAAACTAAACCAGGATTGGGATGGCGTACGGCGACCCGATTAGCCCCAAGCCGCAAGTCCAGACCCGCCCCGATATGGCAACTTGGCCAGGCGCTCCGTACAGACAGACAGCAGCTCAACTTCCCGCAGTCCCTCATTCTAAACCCGGGCAACCTTGTAACATCACATTGTCCTTTTCTACTTTTACTCTCTTTTACTTAATTCTACCAGACCTTCCCTGCAACTTTACACCAACATCACCATGACTCGTGCCCAGCAGACTCTCTCCGTTCTCCTACTTGTCTCCTCGGTATGCTACTAGCTCCGTCTAACACGCTGTACAATTGTCGCAACCAATATCACTAACCAGCATAACTTCCAAAACTCCAGCTCTACTTAGTCCTCTACCTTGGCCTCGTCCCTCTCAACGAAACAGTCCAGACTGAAGTCATCCCTGTTGTACGTTCCTCATCGCTCACCTCCGCGACCAACAATCCCCCTCCTCCTCCCATCTACAATATCTCCGATTCACAATTCCACACTTACAGCTTGCTAATCATCGCACCTTGTCACTCACAGCTCCCATTCTACGCGCTAATATGTTTTGGCTGTTATCTTCTCGGCCGGCTGGGTCTGGCCATCCTGACATTCAATGACGTGCCCGAGGCGCATGACGAGCTACAGAAGGAGATCGAACAGGCCAAGGCCGAACTGCGCAGAGCGAATGTCGACGTCGATTAAATAACAGTGAACCCCCTTCACTTCCCAATACCATATCAGTTTTTTCTTGTTGATTCGGCTGGTTTGTGCAATATGGTGGTCTGGTTTTCCTGGATGGGGGCGGGTTATTACTACTAGCTCCTTGCAATGTTAGGTTTTCCTGGGGCAAAAAGGGCCCTTGGAGCCTTGTTTATTTTCTGATCTGTATGTGGAAGTGTGTTTTACCCCATTGAACTACTGAAGTAAACTGTTATCTTAGTCTGAGTAATTGGGTTTCCAGCGGTCGAGTTCGATTTGGTATGTTTGTATGTCTATGCATGGCACGTGTATTATTATGGAATTACTGTTGTTGCAGCTGTGGGTGTTGGTTTGTCGTGGTAGGAATTCTCCCCCAGGGCTGGGAATTCTCTGAGTTATGACATATTACCATCTAGGTACTATGTTGAGCGCCAGGAAAGAAACGGGTTGTTTCGAATTCTGCGTAAGCGAACCTGAATTGCAACTATCCTTAATTGCAATACCGGTCCCTGTCAAAGATATGCAGGCGCTGTTCCATGAGCATCATATAGGCTAATATCTTCATCATTCATGGTACCAAAACTGCTTTTGTTCTATCAAATAAACCCATCAAAACACCTTTCCGTAGCAAACCCGAAACATGCAAAACTCTTCTTCAAATGTCTAAGGGGGGGACGCAACATATATGCAACCAAAGAGAGCCGGTATCTATGCGTGGGCGGCATAACCAGGACGAAGAGACGAGGTAAAAATGTGGCTAAGCGAGAGCAAAATCGCGCTGAGTAGAAGAAGCTCAGACGAGAGGGTTCTCCTCAGCTAGTCTGTCGTGCTCGTCAATGTCCCTGTGAAATGTATATGTTAGCATTGGGAGTTCCAAGCCTGGTACTGTATCGGATGACGTACTTAGCTTCCCAAGGATAGCAGATCCAAACATCAGCGGTGGTCACGGATGCGTGGTAACGGCCAGAGGTCATCATATCCTCCGGCAAGACACCCTTCTTCGGCTTGTCCTTATTCTGAAGAGATTGTTAGTCATGTGGAGACGATAGGTTCGGCGAAATTGATATATCGTAATGATAAACGTACGTGAACAACGTAGACGAAGAAGTTTGTCTTCTCGCCTTCACGGCCGAGCTGCTTCTGCGCAATCTCGACATCCTTCTGGAGCTCGCGGACGGCATATTCGAGGGTCGTACGGGTATCGTCGACTTCGTCAACAATGAGAATGTTCTTGCCAATGAGGTTGGCCATTTCCAGAGAGCTAAGGTCCAGCCATTGTGTGCGGGTAACCTTGGTTCCGGGGACTTCTTCGGCGTCACCGCGGCCCAGGTCCTCGTAAAGCGAAAGACCGATGGCCTGAATGGGAATGTTAGGCTCGCCGGGGCGCTTCAGGAAAGAGCTGTGTGAAGGATATGCGTCAGAAACGGGTTCCAAAATCAAGTTGTGGTTTTGATCCGACGAACCGGAGAATGCGGGCAGGGATGTAGCCACCACCGCCGATAGCAATCATAAGATTGGGCTGGAAGGTGTCCAGGATCTTGTCAGCGGAGGCCTGGCATAGTTTGTGAACCTGCCAAGGACATTCGGATGTTAGCGGATTGTTTTTCAAGTGAACGGACGAGTGTGCGACGGCCAAGCTAGGCTGCGACGTGGGCATGTGGCCAAATGAACCAGAGAAGTATGTGCATGCAAGGCCGTTAATGGCAGACAAGCCCTCACACAAGCACGAAACCCCACGATCATCTACATGTGGCTGCAAGGGATTGAAAGGGAAATGTAGAGATTTCAAAGGCAACTGCATACCTGGTTGTACGTGACATAAACCTTCTGCGGCATTTTGACGGCGGGTGCGAGGGGTTCGCAGGAATTGACCGATTGAGGATATATGATAAGTAGTAGAGTTGGAGATGATCAAGAGGCTTGACCCGAGGTGAGGGGGGTGTACAAGTGAGATGGATAGGTGAAGATACTAATGAGTACGGAGATGGCAAGATCACATATGAGGGGTAGATTGGATCCCAGAAATTTTTTTTTCTTTTCGGTTTTTTTTACCCCTCGTTTTTTTTTACTCAAATTTTTAAAATTAGGATTAAAGGAACACCTGCGTCACAAGCTGGATAACTGGATAAGGTTCCCTGCCGAGTACTTTTGCCCGCCGGCGCTGCCACACGACAGAGACAGATCGAATCATGGGCCCATGGGGGACTTTACCATATTCAGGTTGCGGGGACTGTATCGTGGCCAATCAGGGTGTATCTTTATGCGCTAGTATGGTTTTCGATTCCAGTTTGGGTATGGTCTGTTCCAGCCATCAGTAATGGAAATCAGTTGGAGAGGCGGAGGACGGAGGTCTCCGTCTCTAGGCGGTATCCAAAACAGGATGTTCCTGATAGATAGTATGACCTAGATAAGTATGTTGCGTTTTGTGCGGCTAGAGATTCTTGCATCCTGCTGTACGAAGCTTCTTACTAGTTACGTAGATCCTATGCTTATTACAGGAAATCCATACTGCAATTTCAACATATTCACCCCACTTAGGCTAGTTTATAATCTTAGGAGTAGTGTTGTTTTTTCCTATTTGGTTCTATGGCGGGGTATTTGGACCCTTACACTAGGAGTCTCCATTCTTACGAGAAACGCCCCTCAGATACTGAATACTCAAGAAACTGCTAGTCATTCCGGCTCTCATAGATAAGTGATTTGTTCTACCAAAAAGAATTTTAGTCGTCTTTTGGTAACCGACTATATGCATCTTAGGGTATATATGCTGCGCTAAATGACCCAAACAAAGGAACCCCCGAAAAGTTCGTCCCCATCCTAACAACCATTCGCCTGCAAGAGTGAAGCGTTGACACTCCGTCATACAGGTGTAATTTCACCTGGTGACTCAGGCTTGATTCGGTTGACCTCAAAGCCTCCTTCGTCTTTATCTTCGCCCTTCTGAGGCCAGAGTATTTGGCGATGCACGATGGCACGCACCATCATATAGAAGACGAAGATATACATCAAGATAAGCGGAAATACCATAGCGCAGCCGATGATGGATATTGCCTTGCACGAGAAAGCCTTTCCAATTGCAAAGGTCGCCGTTATCAGTGCTGTATTTGGGAACACAAATGAGAACCATGCCATGGAAAAGACCATCCGGCCCGGTCCAATGGCAGACCAATGTGCGAAGCTTGCAATGAAGAAGAAAAATATTGCTAGCCTGAGTCATGCATTAGTACGGACCTCGTAGAATTTATCAATGTAGGTGGGCCGGTCATCCTTACCCCCATAGCCATAAGCAGGAAAAGTTAGCAACAACTTTCACAATGTCTGCAGCTAATGCACCATTGCCCATGAAATCCTCCGGGAAGCTTCTTTTGGCATGGGCGGCCATATTGACAATCCCAGACACAGTAAAGGCACTGGGACCAACCGACACGAACATACCTGGTCGGACATTTTCTCGGGGCAGCTTTTGCGACATCAGCCGGTAAATAAACGCCGAGTACACCATCAGGGATACCAAGAAGCCAACGCCTTGGATAGTGGTACCACCGATTATGATTCGCAAAGAGCGAGCAGGCTCAAGTTTGGAGCTCAGGATCCCAGCATGAGGGCCAATTATAAGCATTGGGTACGCAGGAAAGATCCAAATAGGTGTCATTTGTGCAATTGTAAATGTCTGGGTCGACCATCTACAGCGCATTAGTTGTCCTGCTTAAATTTTAGGCTCACAAGATTAATGTCAGGAGTCTTTGTACTCACAGAATGAGGTAGATAGCGGCAGAAGAGATGACTGCCAGGGCTGCGTCAATCCAAAAGAGGATTCCAACCGCATATGTGAGCCAGGGCCCTGTATGGTCGGGTCCATACTGTGAGATATTGATCAGGATCGTCCCGAAAGAGACCAGCGAAGCTGGAACAAATAAGGATTCTGTCGGGTGTAGAAAAGATGCTTTGAAAGTGTAAGGGTATAGGTAGAATCGTGTGATCAAAAGACACCAGATTAAGAGGTAGAGGAATAAGTTGGCTAGAAAGAAGATGATTCCAATGGTTTCCAAGCCGCGAAATCTATAGGGTACTATTTCATACCGGTAATCAGTACATTCACCCTATACCTATCGTAGGACAAGAACGCACTCACCAAAGTACAAAACATTTGCGATGCCTCCCGTTGCCATAGTCAGGGTGAAAAATGCCCAGGTAATGTGACGAATACGCTTCTTCCACCCAAGACCAGATGGTCTGGTTTCAGCTTCACTCTGGGGATAAGCCATGCCATCCACACCCTCGTCCCCATCTCCTTCTGACTTGCGATATGAAGAGCTGTGAATGGCGTCTAATGCCGAGGTATGGGCTTGGCTTATTATAGATCCTCTTGGGTGGAAATAAGAATCCCCGCCAGAATTTTCTGCAAGGTCATTTTGCGTATCTTCAATGGTTGGAGTTCGGTAGCCATCATCCCCTGGGCTTCTCAAGTGTCTAGGAAACAAGCGATCCGGAGTCATTGCGGGTTCTCTTCGGGTAACAATGCAGTCATGTTTGTAATTTTTGGACAAAGTCTCAGATCAGATCCTCTGCTGATCTCTATTGGGAACAGGTTCCTCGAATTGCAATTACCCTTGCTGGGTAAAGTTCTCTCAACTCAGGAATGTCGGTCTCCAGCTATATGCTTCACAACTTGATCTGAGACACATACACAAGGAGTCGGCCTGCTAGGGGCAAAAAGGTGATGACGACCACACAGATTCGCTTCCGTCTTAAAAGGAATAATTGCTTGAAAACAGGGATACAAACGTCAAAGGGAAAGGAGATAGAAAATGACGTAGAGAAAAGATCGGCCCCAGATCGACAAAGCCAGGAAAGCCCGCGCGTAAGACTGGTTTTAAACACGGTTGGAACTGAAACACATAGGGCTGGAAGACGTATATAGTAGTAGTTTGAAGTACAGCAAGGGAAACTACTAGCCACCACAGTGAGAGTTAAAAGACGAAAATAAAAGGTTTAAAAAAAAAAACAAAGGCGATTCCAGTGCGGCAGCGATCAAGATTAGACGGGGCAACTAGTTAGTAGTTATAGCTCCTCGCATGTCATCATCGCGGCACTGTTTTTCTCTGCTAACAGGAGGCCGCCGTCCACTTTGCCGGGTGTTGGCACCAATCACACAAGTGGGATCTTCCCGGTCTATGAGGAGGGAGTTTGGGGCCAAGCGGGTGAGCGCAAAGACCGTCAATAGTCAAGGCGCTTCGACACAGCTGATTCGGGGCAGATGAGTGCAACTGATTGTCTAGAATAGCCTTCTGGCACTTGGCCTGCAACCTGTGGAGAGCGCGATATCACTGCCGTAAGTCCGAGGGCGACGCATTGGGCAGGCAATGAATCTGTTGCCTCTCGGATATCGGCACGCCTCCATTTTCGTGGTGGGGAAGGCGGGAAGCGTACGTAGTGGTGTCTATCGCCGAGGTGGAAAAGCAATTTTTACTCTCTATTTAGATACAAGACGGGGCCGGGAAAGCTTGGTACCAACTATGTACCACTAAATCATAACATCGAGTCTTTGTCGCCCAATTATTGCCTGCATAGCACTGACAAATATTCTCATCTTCATCAATCTTGGGGCGGATAAGAGTAATGCCATTCGTTGCGTTGCGTTGCAAGAGTGCCGACTCCCTAAACCCTCTGCAAGTGAGTATATGAACAGTTAGTGACTGCGCAGCTACATAGCCCAGCCTTTTTTTGTTTTTCTAATGCCTTAAGTCTATCATATTTTTTCGTTCTCAGTTTTTTCCTATCTGTATCCTGGCATGGGATAGGATGGATAGTTATAAACTCAAGCCTGCAGGTACACCTCACCTTGCATATGCCACTTACTACGTGGATATACCTGCGCGAGGCTGAATCTCAGATCCAGATCTAGTATGGACACATAATTCTAGAAGCCCATCACTATTTTTTCCACGGTCAAGTGCATAGTACATCTTCGCAAGTACTATATTTCCCTACTCAGGAGCCTGCCGGAACATTTTATGCCCAAGTCAACATCTTCAATAGCGGCGCTTCTAGGATACATTTGATTATCAGTAAGTACACATAACCAGCTTGAGCTCCCAAGTGTTGTCGTGTATGCCATACGAGGCATGAGTGAGAAACTGTGGATGTCTGGGTATACAGTAAGTGCCGTGCCAAATGTAAGTATTCAGTTTTGGAATTTATGTCTTATGCATGAACGGGAAGCTACAGCATCTCCTCTGTAGGGAGTAAATACCATCAAAAATGCTAACATATACTAGTACGGTACAGACTGCTCTTATCCTATAATTGTAGCAGCAGCCACGTATTATATACACTGCTTCATATCGGTTGGTTCTAGCTCCTAGTGCTTGCCTGGTTCCCTGCAGGCCAACTGGGAGTTTGATAACAGGGGCCTGGGCCACCATTACTGTACTATCCGGATCAATTGCGTGCATTTGGAAAAGGCCACAGATTCATATGGGGAGGCCATGAAGGCTTTCCCACTGGCATATTGATACTCTCTATTGTGTTTAGACTTGCGTTGTTAGCTGCAACTAAGTAAAATACCAAGGGAAGGTTAGACAAGCGGGCTTCGGCAGGACTGAAACACCGATCGTCGTTGATATCACCTACCGGTTGTATTAGTCACATAAATGTGTTCAATTATCCATCCCTCGAATAATCTTAGTAAAACGGCCAAATATACAACATGCTAATTAAAATAGAATGATGCTGGAAGGCTGAGCAGCTGGCAGCATGTGTCGGGAGTAAGGTAAATGTAATGTATGTTTCCTTTTGCATGTGGTAACTTTACCGAGGTTCTGCATCTGAACTAGTGTGATCGGCAGGGTAGGTACATAGATAGCAGAAAGCCTCGGAGAAGGACCTCCAACTTTAGCCTGATTTTGTGACAGATCATTAGGATACATCAGATCCCGCACCTTCTACAGCCATTCTCCATCGGCCCCGCTTTAAAGCACAATGGGAGGAACCGAAGACGGACGGAAGTCTGTGCTGATTACAGGGTAGGTGTTTTACGTGATCATCATCATAATCATCCTTCCCTTGATTACCCGTTGACATGTTACTTATGCTGCCTAATTATGCAGATGCTCTCCTGGCGGTATTGGGAACTCTATGGCCCGTGAGTTCCATCGGAATGGCCTGCGTGTGTTCGCTACCGCCCGTGATGCAAAGACAATCGAGGATCTAGCGTCTATCGGAATTGAGACTTTGAGTCTTACTGTGGACGACGAGGAAAGCGTCCGACGATGCTTCGCAGAAGTGAAAGGGAAGCTTGGGGAGAAAGGGCTGGATTATCTTGTCAACAATGCGTAAGTAGTTATCTTTCAGTCGGTAACGTATCATGAGCTGATATAGTCGCCAGTGGCCGGAGTACGTCTTATTTTTTGATGTTTTCGTCGACCCTTTCTTATGCATTACAGATTATACTGTGCCGGCTATGGAGGCAGAGCTCTCCGAAATCCGTGACACGTTCGAAACGAACTTTGTCGCGGTTGTACACATTTGCCAGACATTCCTACCGCTACTCATGAAGGCTAAGGGAACTATTGTACAGATTGGTTCTGTTGCTGGGGTGGGTGTGCTCAGAGGAAAGCTTGAGGGGAAGCTACTTGTGCTGATATTGGTCCAGGTTGTTCCTTACGTATTCGGGTCCGTATACAACGCCTCAAAGGCTGCTGTGCACTCGTTTAGCGATGCCTTGCGCGTGGAACTAGCTCCGTTCGGGTATGTTACTTCAATAGCCCCCTCCGCCTGAAACCAATTGATTGACATGGGAATATCTAGTGTGCACGTCACTACCGTCATTACCGGGGGTGTGCAATCTCGCATCGCCCGTGTCAAGCGTACTCTGGTTCCCGGCTCAATCTATGCACCAATTGAGGACGAATATAACCGACGGGTGGTACATAGCCAGGCTGGGGCCATGCCAAACGAAGCGTACGCTCGCAGCGTGGTCACACAGGTCCTCTATGGATCTGCACCATGGCGCTGGATTTGGCCCTGGGCGCAAGGTCGGAAGAGCTGGATCTGGGAAGGTAACAGAAGCTGGTTGATCTGGCTGCTTATGGGGGGATGGGCTTGGAATGGCCTGTCTGGGAAGATTGTGACAAGGATGTTCAAACTCAACAGACTCAGAAGAGCGGCTGGAAAATGAAACAGGAGAGGACGGCATGATGGCCGGTAAATCTGGTTTACTGGACGGGGCTCTCGTCGATCCTTCGGGTCTTTCGTTCCAAATGTAATATTAGCTTTCCAAAACACAGCGTTCTTTGGTTAAGATGTTATCTTCTCTGCTTGAGCCGGTTGTGTGACAATAGTAGATCGGTTTCTCCGACATTGCAGGCAATAAGTGGTGCACGCCGACACTGTAAGACCGTTTAAACCATTTGCCGTATGCCCCCGGGCTGGGAGGAGAAGCCGGCGGATTCAGGGTTCGGGTTCGGGGCGAGGCGCCAGTAGAAGAACTAACTGCCCGAGAGCATAGTAACTGGGCCAAGATATCATGGTTTTAGCTGCATATATATTCCTCACTGATATTGCCTAACGGGTTCAAATCCATGCTGACCGGCCCAGATAGGCCATCGACGAGCTTCAGACCCGAAAGGGTCAAGCCTAGGATCAACCAGGCGAGAGATGGCTCCGTTCCGTGATATTCGCGTCGGGAACTGTGCTACTTAATCATCCCGAGGCGCACGCTGGTTGGCCCGTCAGGTGACTGCCGATGGCTACTCCCAAGGCAATTATCATCCCGAGAAGCGCAGCCGCGAAAAAGAAAGCTGTTCTCCCATCAACACCCCAAATACCTCCCCCATCTTCTCCCGCATAACCTCACGTCGGAGGATTCTCTTGTTCTTGTCACTCCCCTCTCCCCGACAAGACTTTTTTGATACCTCTCCTCTCCTTTCATCTAAATATCTCAGTCACCATGTTTAAGCTTGCCCGCAGCAAACCGGTTACGGCAGCTTTGAGGGCTGCGACGGTAAGCATCCCTGGGCCCCGTTGCCCTTCACTCCTGTTAAATCTCCTAAAGGCGGATCGGCGTGCTAACATCACCGTTGTTGACAGGAGTCTTCCGTTCAGTCCCGTGTTGCTCAGCAACAGAGAAACCTGTCGATTCACGAATACCTGTCTGCGAACCTGCTCAAGTCGGTGCGTCGGGCATCCAAAAATCTCTTGTAAAACTTCGCCTTGCAACCTTCACTAATACGATACTACAGTATGGCATCGGCATGCCCAAGGGTGAAGTCGCCCGCTCCGCGGAGGAGGCTGAGGCCGTTGCCAAGTCCCTCGGTACGTTTTTGTGATCCGCCATCCAACCCCAAAGTTCGCGACGGCTACTAAGACGAGGACGTTTAGGTAATGACGACATGGTCATCAAGGCCCAGGTTCTTGCTGGTGGTCGTGGTAAGGGTACTTTCGACAATGGCCTTAAGGGTGGTGTGCGCGTGATCTACTCGTGAGTGTGACCCGCGTTATTCCGAGTCTTCGCTTGCGCTGACATGTATAAAATTTTAGGCCTACCGAGGCCAAGATGTTCGCTAGCCAGATGATCGGACAGAAGCTCATCACCAAGCAGACTGGCGCTGCTGGTCGTCTTTGCAATTCTGTCTACATCTGTGAGCGCAAGTTTGCTCGCCGCGAGTTCTACCTTGCTGTCCTCATGGACCGCGCCTCTCAGAGCCCCGTCATTGTCGCCTCGTCGCAAGGTGGTATGGACATTGAGGCCGTCGCTAAGGAGAACCCTGAGGCCATCATCACCACTCCCATTGACATCAAGGTCGGTGTGACCGATGCCATTGCTCACAAGATCGTCACCGAGCTCGGCTTCTCCGAGCAGTGCGTCGAGGAGGCCAAGGACACCATCCAGAAGCTCTACAAGGTCTTCATGGAGAAGGATGCTACCCAGATTGAGATCAACCCTCTGTCTGAGACCTCCGACCACAAGGTCATGGCCATGGATGCCAAGCTTGGCTTCGATGACAACGCCGAATTCCGCCAGAAGGAGGTCTTCTCCTGGAGAGACACCACTCAGGAAGATGCCGATGAGGTCAAGGCCGCTGAGTAAGATCCTCCTGGTCCTTGCATCTATACAACGCTCGAAAGCATTCTAATCTACGGCATAGGCACGGTCTGAACTTCATCAAGCTTGACGGTGACATTGGATGCCTGGGTATGGATCCATCGAAATCGACTGATATGGTTTATGCTAACGGTCACCATAGTTAACGGTGCTGGTCTTGCCATGGCCACCATGGATATCATCAAGCTTAACGGCGGTGCCCCCGCCAACTTCCTCGATGTCGGTGGTGGTGCCACCCCTGCCGCCATCAAGTCCGCTTTCGAGCTCATCACCAGCGACCCCAAGGTGACTGCTATCTTCGTCAACATCTTCGGTGGTATCGTTCGCTGCGATGCTATCGCCCAGGGTTTGATCAACGTCGTGCAGGAGATGGGTCTGCGCACTCCCATCGTTGCCCGTCTGCAGGGTACCAACATGGAGCAGGCTCACAAGCTGGTATGTTCTTACCGTCTATGCGAACCAGCATAATGAAATCCACGCGAACACAAGTTAACTGACGTGAATTGCAGATCAACGAGTCTGGCCTCAAGATCTTCTCCATTGAGGATCTCCAGAGCGCTGCTGAGAAGTCTGTTCAGTTCTCCAAGGTCGTCAAGATGGCCCGCGAGATCGACGTTGGCGTTGAGTTCACTCTTGGTATCTAATCTCCGAGTCGGATTTGGATTTATAGATGCGTCACCTTGTCTACTGCTCCACTGTCTCTTGTACTCTTTCTATTTTCCTTTTTTTTTCTTCTCTTACTTCCCTCTTGCTTTCCCCCACTCCCATGGCCAGGGATTCAGAAGGTTCACGTGTGTTCGATAGTGCGGCGAGATGCGGAGCAATAGGCCGACGGTTGGTGACCATAGGCTTCGTTGACGATGCTAACGCACTCCTGCTGCTTAGAACATGATCGGTCATAGGGGTTATCACAAACGAGTTGCTATAATGGTGAAATGAGACGGATTCAGGCGAAGAGAGCACGAGGGGTATCCTTATAGAGAGCATTTGATGGTCCTGTATATCGTCCATTTCTAGGTTCATTTTCTTATGTTAAATGTATTTTCCCTTTTCATGCCCACTTTTTGGTGTTGCCGGGTGATATTACCCTTCATGCTGCTAGAAGCGCCAGATTGACAGACTCTGGAGGTTGTGTGTCTTTAAACCGCCACACTTTCACATCGGTCTCGTGGACCAGGAGAACAAAGTCGCGATCGCCGTAGAGAGTGAACATGTTCGCATACGTATAGATGGCATTCGAGGCTTCTCGAGGCAACCCGAGACTCATGGATTCAGCCGGGCGATGAGGGATGCGGGAGGCTGGACTGGAGATCCAAATGGCCGGTTTCCCCCTATCACTCTTTACGTAGTAGAGAAGATCACTATCCAGCGCGGTCTTGCAAAAGGGAAAATAAGGTGTGCCTTCTTCCTGGGGCAGTGTGTGCACGTGAATCTGGTCCCGCTGCGGGTCATAGGAGACTACAAGAACATAGTGAAGGGTGGTCGTTGTCGTCGTCGCCGACAGCGCACTGGGTTGAGGCGGCGGGGTGCAGTTAAAGACGGCTAAGTTGTTTGTAGAGCTGTCTGATATGTCGGCAATAGTCCAGCCAGGCTGAATAGGGAACGGTAAATGTAATGTATAGGAGGGTAGTGGACTGGTGGTGCGTCCGTGATCATCGAAGGTGTGTTTTACGACACGTAGTCTGTCCCAGGGCGAATGGTGGGGGTTCGTGGGATCATCTCCTCTTTCGAGGAGGAGAGTGGTCACACTGTTGGTGGTGGGTTGCAGGCCTATCAATGCCAGATGGGGTGCTATTTGGATGGTACGAGCAGTTCGCGAGCTCATGTCCCAGTAATAGATCTTGGACTCCTCGTCACCAGCTGCAGAATGGTTGATGAAACTCAGAGCAACCTTGAGACCAGTAACAACGAAGGCCCGAAAGCTGAAAGCGGGGATGCGAAACGAGGCGTGTTCTTCCGTTTCAAGGTTCCAGGCGTGGCAGTATCTAGACTCGGGATGAGCTGGGTGTCTAATATGTTCCTTTCTCGACGCAGCCGTGACAAGTTGTGGTGGTGTGAGTATTATGTGTACTTACGCACGCGCGCTGATCGCAACCACCATGGAATCGGAGAGACGCAAATCCCAGAACGAATCTCGATTCTCCGTGCAAAAACGCTGGGTGGAGCGCTTGCAGAGATCGTGCACGACGACATGGGTGCCGTTATCTAGCCAAGCACACCTTCCACTGGCGTAATCCAAGCATTCAAGCTTCGAGCCATCTGTTGGGAAGAGGTTGGGGGCCTGGAGATTGCAAATGGGTAGGCCACGCTCCAGACGGATTCTATACTTGGCATACTGGGTGAAGTGATTAGTTAGGACATGTGCTGCTGCGCCCACATGCCCTGTGTATTGTTGGTATACAGCACCCTGGATCAGTTCCGAGGACAGTAGCTGGAGCCACTTTCTAGAGACCTGGTGGAATGTGGCTTGAACTCAGTCTCACGGGTTATAAGGGTGGCAGGTCATTTTTTTTCCCCAAGACCACGAAGGATGGGAACATACCCTTTGAAGGATAAAGAGGTCAGAAAGGTCAAGATACTGAGCGATTTGGACTGCGATTTCTGGAGGCGATTCCGCTAGAATATCTTTTTGAAAGGAGCGCTGGTTGATGCGCTTTTGTACATCGCGCCATTCATGGGGGTTCAGTAGGTCTAAAATGCGATGATACCTGTCGGGGGACTGCATGAGCTAAAAGCTAGCATCGGGGTTTTATCTGGGAGGGGGGGGAGAAGGAAGGAGGGGAAAAGGAAGATCATCGATGGATGGATGGATGGATGGATGGATGGATGGTCATACGCATCGTGTCGAGCTGAGTTCGTATTCAGATGGGTGAAGAGGGTGATGATTTGCTGTATAGGAGCGGCATCGGCGGCCATGGCTGACAGCCAGTCGACGCTATTATAAGACGAGGTCTCAAATTCTCAGCTACGAGGGGGGAAAGAAAGAAAGGTCGATAGGTGGATAGTAGTATTTAGGATGGTTTGGATGGCCTGGTGGATGGTACTAAAAGGAAGGGGAAAAGCGATAAGTAGTAAAGGCGAGCCGTCCTGCAGGGTCTAGAGCTGCTCAGGCAGGCAGACACTCTTCCCATCTTCACTCTGCACGAAGACTTTGTAGCTACTTACTGAGATACTGTATACTTTTTTAGTGTATCGAGTATTAAGAGAAGAGGAAGGAATTTCCTGTCTGATCTGCTCACAGCTCTCCACTTTCTCGCATACTCATTACTTATTTCTTGAGAATTTGACAAAAGTACCCAGCTACAAGCACCAACAACCATTAGTGAGCGCGGTCACTGCATTCTTGATCCATCCACTAATAAATACTATGCAACTATGCGAAGACGACCTTAGATATTTTAGCCTCGTTCCCTTATTTTATTTTATTTTATTTTTATTTTTTACTTTTTATTTGTTTTCCTCTCCTTCTCCCCCTCCTCCTCCTTCTTCTTCTTACAGACTTTGGGAAGGCTTACGTCGATCGGAAAGTGACGAGGGGGGAAGAAGTTAAGCAAGCAGCAAGCGAGAAACAGGAAAAGCTGGGTCATCGATCTACGGCGCAGCCCCAGCAGGCTGATCGGAAGGCGAAAACCCAAAAGCAACTGAAGAAGGGAACAGAGGTTAGATTTTGGGGGTGGATGGACCAATGGAGAGCACGGCGATGCTTCGGGAAGCGGAGACACTTTTTATTTTTTTTGACTGGCGATGATCCTCAAGTTCAGTCTGGCCCAGACTCTTGGGGGCTCGTCGTTCGAGAATCATCAGCAGCCAGAATTGAATCCATTCCATCCCATCCCATCCTGCAATTTTACTACTACTACTACTACTACTACTACTACTTCTCCTATTACTACTAACTTGACAGAACTAGACTGGACTATTCAGTTACTCATTCATTCTTTCCTTTCTTCTTGTTATTCCTGCTCCTTTTCCCCCTCTCCACCTCCAGTATCTTCTTCTCCCAATCCATTCCCATTTCTTATCTTCCAACACATCCACTTCTACTCCTACTACCACTTACTCACTTTTTGGGGGTGCTGCTGGTTGCTTGTTCTTGCGGGAATAAGAAAATCATAAAAAGAAAACTGGCAGCTTCCCTCATCTATTGATTCTTATACTTATTATCCTTCAATATTCTGTTTCTTTCGACTTCCCTATTATTATTCAACAATTTCCCCATCATTAATCTAACTATTATATTATTTTTCTACGTTATTTTTGATTAATTGCATTATTCCTCTTCATAAATTTCTCTCACCCTGAAGAAACTCGGTCTTGGCCTACTTCTTTAAGACTTAAAAAAGTAAAGGGCAGAAAAGGAATTAAGTACTTTTTTTTTACTTTACGCGAATCCCGTCGTCTACTCTTTTCGTCTGTCTGTCTCTGCCTCGCCTTCTTTTCTCTCTCTTCTCTCCGTCTGCTGCGGCTCCCTCCTCGGCCGCCCCGTTCTTCATTCCTTTTCTTTTCCCTCCTCCTCCTCTTCTTTCTTTCCCCCCCTCCCTCACTCCCTCCCTCCTCCTCCTCTTGCTCCTGCTCCTCCTTCCCTCCCCTCCCCCCCCTGGTTCCGCCGCGCGAGATGAGCGGTCTCGCCGATCCCCCGTCCAGAAGTCCGCTTATCCTCACTGCTATCGATGCGCCCGGCAAAACCCGCAAGATTCCTGTCCTTGCCTCCTCTGTTCCTCCCTCCAGCCAGTCCACCGGTGACCCCATGGAGGTTACTCCTCCTGCCTCGGGTGCCGCGCCCCCCATTCATAGCAGTCCCGATAGCGATCGGGCGGGCGCAAACAACACCACCGCCACCTCCAATGGCTCTACTGAACCTTCCAATGTGAATCACCATGCCGCTCCCACTCAAGCCATCGGTGCGGCTGCTGCTGCTCAGCAGCCCAAGGTCGTTCAGACGGCCTTTATCCACAAGCTCTACAAGTACGTCAGAGGCTGTTTGTCGTCCATTCTTGCGTCTCGTTACCTTTTTTTTTTTTCGAATTTCTCCCCGTTCCCCTTACCCTTCTCGGTAACGGACTCAAGCTGACAACCCTGATTAGTATGCTAGAAGATCCCAGTATTCAACACCTCATCTCATGGTCGAGTACGAATGACAGCTTCGTCATGTCCCCGACTTCCGAATTCTCCAAAGTCCTGGCGTTAGTCTTCCCCTATCGCAGCCTATCGCGCGCTCTGCGGGAGCTAGCTGCTAACGAACAGCCTAGTCAATACTTCAAACACACCAACATTTCGTCCTTCGTCAGGCAGCTGAATATGTACGGATTTCATAAAGGTATGCGGGCTGAGACAGCAAATGCATTGCCCCGACCGTTATTGATATACATGGATCCCAGTGAGCGATGTATTCCACACCGGTTCGCCAGACTCCGCTCTGTGGGAGTTTAAACATGGGAATGGCAACTTCAAGCGCGGAGATCTCGTGGGTTTGCGAGAGATCAAGCGGCGCGCATCCCGTCATGCATTGATTCATCGCGACTCGTTTCCTGGTCACAAGGCCGCCGCCTCCCAGCCCGGCACCCCCGCTGAGCCAGTTCCCGATGTCACCGAGTCCCGCTTGATGAACCTGGAGCACTCCATGTATGACTTGCATGCTCGTTTAAGGAACGCCGAAGAAGGAAATGCGACCCTCAATGCGAGATGTCAATCCATGGCCGAGAGCTTAACCAGGTGTTATCACGTAAGTTGACAGCCCTCCAATGCGTTTGCGACGTTCTAGTGATTTCGTTTGCTGATTCTTCCCGTAAATCCAGTGGACTCACTCCATCTCACGGTTCCTCCAAGGCATGATCCCCGATCGCGAGAGCCTTCTGTATCGAGACGGTGAGGACCATCCATCCTCTATTGATGGCCCTAAATACATGATAAACTAACTTGGAGTAGTGGCAACCATGCAGGCGGAATTGGAGAAGCATCTTGAGGCTGTGCGGGCCCTGGAGCATCCTCCAGACCCGTACTTGGCTGTCCGACAACCTTACGTCACCGGCATTTCTGGCGATGCAGGTCCGCCGCTGTCGCCGCGCCAAATGCCCCCAGAAGAGAGTCGCCGCCCATCGATGCTGGACCCCTCGAGGGCCGGTATGATTCGACCCCCTGTTCCGCCTCATCTGGCCGTCTCTCCACGGCGATACGGGTCAATCGGCACCGGAAATTCTTCCCCTAGCTACAATCGTTCGCAAGTGCCAACGGTCGTCACTCCGCAGCAACCAATGCCTCATCCTCTTTCCTCCGTTTCCTCCCCGCCTGGGCCTAATCTTGCGCGTCGGCACACTTCGGCGGACATCAGACAGCATGGCTGGCCGCCAACGGGAGTGTCGCCGTTCCCTACCGCCCATCCACCGCCTCAGCCGGCGAACCCCTGGTCTCCGTCTCGACACCGCACTCCGACGTCAAGTGAACAGTCAGTCCGAGATGTGTTGGCCCAGTATGAAATGGGGGCGCCGCGGCGTCTGCAGGAAACTCGACACCCCACCCCCCCGTTGCACCCCGATCAGAACCCCCCGACCGACAACGGCTGGTCCTTAGGACCTAGATTTCCTCGACATGAATCGTCCTTGCCAGCAACTCGACGTTCTAGCATGGCCAGCAATGTTCATTCGCTCCTAAACCCGGCTGACACTGCGGAACGGCCGGACGAAGACCAACACGCCATGGCTGACGATCGAAAACGGAAGCGATTGGAATAAATCCAACTTCGTCATTTTTACTTGCTGCATTCATATCCTTGATCCGGGGATTCTCGCAGGAGCATTGCTTGGTGCTGATATTCGGGACCCTACCGGAATCGGAGCTGTAGATTTCTTGTTCTTCGGGGCGCACGTTTTTTTTATATTTGGAAAGGGGTAAAGGAAAAGCATATCACCAGGAGAAACTCACGCTCAGCCCTTCATTTCTGGACTGGTACTGCATCTTGTGGAGTATTGCCCATCTGTACTTTCTGTGTTTATCTTCTTTTTGGGTGGGAACATCTACTGTACAATTGATACAACATACATGGATTCCAGCATGTTGGAACCCATGCTTACCGGGCATGGTTTGGATGGCACTAATTTGTTTTTCTATATTTCTTGGACAGCATTGCTTCTTGATGGTGGGGGCCTTGCACAGACGACCGTTCTTGGGCTGCGCCGCCTTCCTGTTGTTATATTATATACCCTGGGTTTGGGGTGGTGGTGCACGATATTGTGTGGGTATAGTAATTTAGATTTGCAGTGGACATAGTGATATTCGGCTGCAGGCGCACAATCATTTGACTCTTTTGGATTTGATAACATTATCAGACGTATTCACGAACAACTAAACACAGAGAACTAAATGGGTATATTCATTTCCGGGAGGTTATAGACATCTGATTATATCGTAGACTGAGCTCCGTTCAGGTGAGGCGAGAGGATGTAAAACGCTTGTTCACCTCTTCTTTCTCTTCTTCGATCGCTCGGCCAGGATCTCATCCAAGAAGCTCGTCGCCTTCTTTCTCCGACTAGCGGGCCGTGATGAAGCTCCCGGTTGCTTATCTGACTGATCGGCTTTGGCTTCACTGCCATCACCGACATCACTCGTCTGCTTTGACTCGCCAGATTCGCCTCCAATCGTCTCAGACTCCGACTGGGCTTGCGGTTCAGCCGCCTTGCGCTTTTTCGCAGGCATAGCTTTCTTCCTCCCTATCAGCGCCGTCCGTCCTTCTTCCTCGTCCTCGTCATCCTCTTCTCCTTTCGCCACCCCATTCTTAGCGGGATTTGTTGACGCAGCCGCATCACTACCGCCTCCCTTCGCAGTGGAGGCCTTCTTCGCAGCCATAACCTTCTGATAATTTCTCCCCAGGAGCTGTTTTCGTAACTTGTCATTCGAATCCAATTCGCTTCGATTCCAACTCCCGTCCGCAGCTTTAGTAGGGAGCGGTGCACCGACTCCTAATCTATACATTGAACCGATTGTTAGCTATATTCATCAATTGTTGTATTTCTCTTCGAGACCCTCCCCTCCTCCCCCCGGGAGGATATTCTAGAAGATAGCGCAGACAGAAAAGAAAAACAAAGAAAAGAAAGAGTGTATCATACGTCTCCGGAACCGCCGTGAAAATCTCATCCTCTTCTCGCTGTAATTCCTCTTCGGTTTTCTTGCTGTTCGCTTGATCGTCTGCTGTCGGTGCAGGTAGCCATGAGGCAACGAGACGCTGGCTCCGGGCTAGCGCTACGTTGGCCTTATTGAGAATTATGTCTGTTTGTGATTTTGACGCCGACATTGTGTCTGCTTTGTATGTTTTATTGTTGCGGTGGTGGTTTGATGGCTCGATATGGATGGAACTTTTTGCGATAGCAAGGCGGGATTCGTTGGCAGAATTCTGGGCGGTGGAGTGCGGGACCGCTTGCTTGTGAGGGTTAGAGTAAGTTTTTGGTAGTATTGATTGAGACTGTTGTGAGGGGGAGATTTTGGTTGTCTGCTTGGAAGAATGATACGATTGGGTGTATATGATGATAGGAATCTCTCAATTGGGTTATTATAGTTCTGTGGTGTGAATGTTAACTCGCTTTAGGAGCATCACGATTCCCCATCACTTCAAACATATATAATCACTGAGCAATGCTATGACAGTGCAACTTATATACAGTCTACATCTAAGAAAGTAATAGTATGATCTATGTACAAACGTAGTCCAAACACCAAATAATCGACATCAATCATCACACAAGGGTATTCGAATTCCAGAAGAGAAAGGGTCACCAAGCAAGAAGAAATAGTGTGGACATCAATTCACGCCGATTCCTGTTGATGCCGTTGCTTCAGTTTCTTCTCCGTCTTCATAAACTCTCGAATCCCCACAGGGATGCTCGCAAACAAGTCATCGTCCGAAGTAGGCGCCGACCAATTGGTCTCACTGCCACCACCATCGTCATCCATGCTCATGCTGGCTGAGTTGACTTCCGCTCGTGGAGTATGTCGCATATCCGAGGCATTACTTTTGGTCGCACCCTTCGCCTTGGCTTGTTCAAGCCTGAAGGCCCAGTCCTCCAGCTCGTCTCGAAAATCGTCCCATACGCAGTGGACGCAGCCACTCATGCAGCAATTGTCGGGCTCTTCCGGTCGAGGAGGGATAGCCACCCCGTTTATGGTTTTCCACGTTGTATCCGGTGCGGAACCGGGATCGTAGCGTGAGGACCGGCCGGGACCAGCTAACCGAGTGCCGAAGACAATGGCCATCTTTTCCTGTGGTGTTTGCGCCTCCGGCTTGGGCTCTTCCGTCTTGGAATCGGTTGTTGCGTGGTGTCGGTAGGGCGAGCGGGTGGACAAAATATCATAATAATAGCCTGATAGTGGATGCGCCTGACGAGATTTCGAGTCACTCACATTACCCGCCTGTGTGTCTTGGACGGTGGCATATCTGCGGGTGCTGGAGCGGCGAATGAATGGAGTGACGGCACGTGGTCGGGTCAATCGAGATGCATCGGGTATGCGCGAGCCGGAAAGACAGACATGGCAACGTCTGAGGAGGGACGAGCGAATCGCCAGACAAGGAGCGTCCATGGTGAAGCTGGAGTCGCAACAGGAAGAAGAGGAAGATCGGAAAGAGATGGCAGAAGAAGATGAGAAAGCGGCGGTTATGTCATAACCCCGGGTCTGCAAACAGTGCAAACCGGCAACGCAGTGGATGTTGTTGATGTTTGGAGATGCGCTGCCCACGGACGCTTCTCTTATCCCCTCTGCGGAGGTTAACTGTTTTTCCGCATGGACGGCTGATCCGGTGCTTTGCCTTCACATCTTCACCAACCGCTACCTAAGCGACCCCGACCGCCCCATCATTGTCTCACCGCGTCGCAAATGAACGACCCCGCGCCGTCTCAGGATGACCCCCAGCAGCGCACCATTCAGCGAACGTCCTACCAAGCTCCCACTAGAGCGAGCTTAGCCAGATCGCATCCCACCCTCTTGGAGACCGATAATAATAAATCTCCGGCAAGAAGTATGCAGAAACCGAACCAAGCCAGATCGAGAGCGCTCGGTCTACGAGACCGCAAGGCTCTGAGACCGTCCTTGACCTCGACTGCCAGTCCTCTGGGCTCCCTCAAGGGCAGCAAACAGTCGCCTGTATCGTCCCTTTCTGGCCGTCGCTCTAGCGGTCTGGCCGCTTTTGCTGCGCCTCCAAGGCGAGTCTCAACGAGGATCACGGCCTCCGATCTAATGTTCCGCTCTCCGTCTGCATCCCAACAGAGTACAGAAAAAGTACCACCACCTACCGATACCCCCGAAAATCAATTGGCGTCGGAACTGGACAGTGCAACCGGCGATATAGATGCGAATGAGGCGTTACAACAACCGTCGTTCCAGGACATCCTTGACGAGCCGGATCTTCCACCGACGCCGACCCAGTTGGGCCTGGAACGGCCTCCCGGGCGACCAAAAGGACTCCTAAGCAGTAGCCCAAGCTCACAACCGGGAAAGTGGGGCAGACGAAGGAATACAGATGGTAGAGAACAAAGCCCGTCAAAACTAAGGAAAGTCGATTATGGCGAGGCAGGAGAATCCGCGGAATCCGGCTTGTTGTTGGATCGGACTTCCTTACCGGAGGAGATCTTGATGAAGCGAAAATTGAAGAACAAGCTCGCCTCAGAACTGCAGCAATTGAAGAAGGATATCTTGGAATTGGAGACATGGTCGAAGGACCTGGCCCAAGACGATGCCAGTGAAGAGCGAGATTTAACTGGGTTGATGTGAGTTTCACGCTTGTTGCGCCATGAGCGACTTTTTACTAACCAGACAGCAGTACTTTGTTAGCAACATCATACCCTCCTCAATCGACCCCAACGGCCTCAGGCGAAACCTCCATATCGACTCTTATCTCTTCATTACTCCCCTTTGCCACCAAGGGACCCCCGAGGCCCCCACCCGAGGCCCCTCCAGTGAACCCATTTGCGCTTGGAGAGCATGCGCAAACAGAAGCATATCTAACAGCTCTTGCGCCATTACAGCTTACGGCGTACTCCGAATCCATACCTAGCACCCCTGACCTTGTCTTGGAGAGGCACACTCTCCAGTTTTCCGCCCCGTCACCCTTTCCCTCCAACCGCTATAAAGTATTTGTAACCTGCGATGTCAACCCAGAAACGCAATCCCTGGTCTCCATATCATCTGCTTCACAGATGACCGAAGAAGATGCAAGGACGCCAGAAGATCTGCGGCGTTGGATAGACGCCAGGCTGGCCAATCCGTTGCTTAAGCTAGATGTCACAGGTCTGTGCTGGGGCATTAACCGATACTGGGAGGCTATGGTATCGCGTGCTGAGTTATGGTTACACATGGAGGAACAACATGCTGAACTAATCAGTGGTAATGCGAAAGAGAACCATGAGACTAAAACAAAGAGCGCAAGCTCGCAACCCCTCGGCTTGTCGGAATTGCGTCAGATTCTACCGCACCTCGAGCGCACGTCTATGCTCTTCGAATCCAAGAACGGCTCACCCAAAGTCCTGGTATCATGCCAATTGACATTGGATGAGTGGACAAGTGAGCCACAACTAGCGCCAGGACTCAGCGTTTCTCTGTTATCCGAGTCTGATAGCGGCTCCAGACGCAAGGTGGACCAAGAATCCAAACGTCTGTTCCAATCAATCCTAAATCCAAACGAGAACAACCAAGCTGGAAGCAGCGGCAGCGGAGTCCCTGCTAGCGCAATTCTAAGAGCTACAGACTGCGTCTTGCGCGCTTTGCTCGGTACAAACTCGAAGAAATGAACACTCACTTCATTCATGATATCATCAAGTGTTAATTTATTTGGACTAAACGGATGTCAATGGCGTTTTCTTCGATTTGGATGGGCTGGGAAGCAATAAGGGTTTGTCGACGTCGGCGTCATCGGCGAATTTGTTCATCGGTCTTGGTCTGTTTCATATAATCCCGCAGGTTTATTTTCTTCTCATGTAATTTACACGCCCCTGACTTGGCATCCGATGCCCGGTCAAATCATTGGATATGGATTTTGTATGGCATTACCTATGTGTACCTGGGTGACTTTAGTTATAGAGGAAGTGTGCGAGATCTAAGCTATGGCAGCTGGCTGATCGTATAAGCCGTGATAATAAGTCCTCCCAAGAATATGTAACCGTAGGATTATATGCAAAGATCTTATCAGACAAGCTAAGCTGCATGACAGTTATGCGCATATACCGTCCAAAAGGAAGTCAGAATTACGGACTAACATCTACAAAATATCGACGGGATCACATAATTATAACCCGTATATCATCGCGTTTGTACACTAGCTTGCTCCGTGCCTCTGCGTGCTTCAAGTTTACCGTATTCAAGTGGGTATTGTGATGTGAACCCGAAGGCTGAGGCTCGGTTCCCGCGTCCTTCGGTAGATAGATCGAATGGGCAAAATCGTCCCGGAAGGAACATAAAGAAAAGACGACAAATAGGGTGGAGGGTCTTCACTTCATTCGCGTTAGGGGAGAGCTAGTAGCTTTCTCAGGACATGAAAATTTGGGACATTTGCATTTCGAGGGGGTTTCGGAGCTTTTTATGTTAAGGACAAAGGTGAAAACGGAAAATAGAGGAGCGACGCCATGCCACACAAGGTACTAATCCCCGACTTGAAAATTGACCCGATCATCATTAGCTGTGATTCAAGAAATCTATTTCTTAGCGGCAGACTCCTCCTCAGCCTTGGCCTTAGCACGCTTCTCCCGGATACCCTTGTAGCGGGCCTCGCTGCGGGCCTCACGCAGCCGGCGGTAAGCAGCCTCCTCGCCCTTGGGAAGGTCGTCACGCTTGACCTCGGTGACAGCCTCCTCGAGAGTGGCGTTCTTGATGGGGAGGGCACCACCGACACGGGTGGCGAAGCCCTCGGTCTTGCCCTCGGCGAAAGCAGCCTTGGCAGCGTTGACCTCCTCAGCGGAAGAGTCAAGCTTCTTGAACTGACCGCTCTTGCGGGGGAAGAGGATCAGGCGGGCCTTGTAGTCCTGGAGGCGAGCAACATTGGCGACGAGCGACTCCTTGGAGTAGTTGACACGGCGGTGGTCAACGGCGATACCGACGGTGCGAGCGAGCTTCTTGGGGATACCAGCTTCCTATAGTGCGAAAAAAAAAATAATCGTGTAAGCCTCCGTCCGTTTATTTGCATCCTGCCCAGTCGCCAGGGCTTTCTTTTCCAATCGCCATCACCCTTTCTTGTTTCTGGTGACATCGAATTGCACACAAGGGACGAAATTTACCTTCAGCTCAGCAAGGGTGAAACCACGGCCAGCACGGACACGGCGGTTGTACTTGACGGTAGGGCAGCGCACAACGGGGCGCAGCTGGTCAACCGGACGAGGAGCAACAGCGGCGGCCTTAGCGAGACGGGCCTCACGACGGCGGTGCTTGCGGCCAGGCTATTGAAGCAGAAAAAAACACATGTCAGTCCACCACGCACATAGGAAAAAATTTTCCCCTCCCGTATTCTTTTCCAAAAGGCGAGTCGCTCGTTGTAGATAGGAATCGGTTGGGTAAAGGTTTTACTTTCGAAAGCGTACCTGGTCGAAGTGCACGCGCACACGACGCTGCCAGTCCTTGTGGAAGTCTGAAATCGAAACCCATCAGCCCATATTATTCCAGCCGGCCAGTTGTAACCCGATATATTAAACAATCCACCATCGCATCCTTCCTCGAGCAGGTTCACTCACGCTGGTTGAGAATCTGGTTGTTGTGCTTGATCGCCTATATCCACCACGAGGTCCCAGGTCAGCATATTGGGTCTTTTGTGAAAAAATAGCGTCCGATCATCAAAATGACCATCTAGCGACGCCATTTGAGCAATATTGGATAGAATAACGCACCATTGTGACGGATGGGGATCAAGGCCGGGAGATTGTCGTCGTCGTCGTGGGTGGTTGCTGGTCGTATCTCAAAACTCCTCGTCTCACTATTAGGTGGAACTTTTTTTGGTGTGGCCAACCGCGCAGAGCCGCATCGCCTCGCTTAGCGAGCCCTACCCTGCTTACCCGTTTCGGAAGGTCACCCCCAGACTTTCTCCGTGGCAGAACGGCTTTAGGGATCTGGGACTGCCATCCAGAGTCGACTAGAATGATTGGAGACTTATATTACATGTGTATATTCTTGGGGTTTTATTCTCATTGCCTTGTGGCAGGCTTACTGGCTGCTGGAGTGTTGCGACTCAGGCTGTGCTTGTACTCTTTGCGACCGACCGACCGCCTGTATTGTATTGTTCTTCCCTCGTACCTAGTTACTTCTAGGTAAGCTGGGTGCGGTACACCCTCGTTACATCGTTACACGCTGAGTAAGGTCCATGTGACTTGGCGGTTCAACGAGGGAGTCCCTCTGCAAACTATCTACTTAGTATGTATGTGGATATCCAGAATATGCTGTTACTCGACCCATGGCAGAGCGCTTTGGCTCCTGTAATATGTCAGTCAACAAATATCTTATTATTCAATCCTTGCAAATGTATGTCATTATGTCCAAAGCCGCCAACTATTCGTATCGAAGCCATCATCATAATGATAAAACCTAGAAAGAAATACTCCTGTGGTAAGTCCCAGAACCAGTTGCCAATAAGTCGTAGTACCCTTAGAAGAAAAACACCCAGTGGCCCCCATCGGATTTTACAGTTCATCATGATTCGTCATAGATCCCCAGGAAGGAAAGTAGTACATAAGAAACAACCCCAAGATCCAAGCAGCATCCCCTCTGTATAGCAAACATAGCATATCCAGCCACAACTAGCTTTGACCCGCAATAGTGATAGGCGACTAGGAGTCCTGGCGGTGAGGAAGCAGATACTAGTAGATAGCTAGAAGCCCGTTATACGTGATACACACGCTCCATGGTTGTGCACGGGTCATGCTTAATTATTCCAGGTGTCAATGCCGAGACCCACCCTTTCCTCCGCTTTCATTTTCTTCGAAGTCGCACCATCAAAACTCGCCTTACGTTTAAGACCAAATGATGGGCGCTCAACACCTGACTTCCTCACTTGACCGAACAATTTGGTTTGCAGAAGTGTGCTGGACTTGGGTGCATTCGTTATGCCTCGGCTCTCACGGCGGTTGCTGAAAGCGTGGGAACGAAGCATGTTACTGGCAAGAGCACCAGCCTCTGACGCTGGGATGTCTTCCTCCGTCTCAGCTTCCTCGATGTCGGACGCCGATATCGTGCTGTCTCGATCACGGTGGCTGTCATGAGACTCCTTTCCCGGTGTGCTATATTGGTTCCCTCCAGGGGCCATCCGAGCACGGGACGGTGTCATGGGAACGGAGGGGAGTGTGTGGTTTCCACGCATCTGGCCATCATTATGCTGCTTATAAGTACGGCTCCTGTGTGGTGTGGATATGACACTCGGTGATCCTCGATTGAGAACACGGTCGGCAGCAAGGAGTTGCGCGAACGGGTCATGGCTATCGCTGCCGTTCACCTGGCGGCCATCGTGCTCCACATAGTGAGGTACAGGCCGCCTATGAGAAGCTTGTATTTCTCTCTGGGGGCTGGGCGACATCGGTCCATGTTCAATCATTTGAGAGAAATGCTTCCGATTGTCTCTGATACGCTCTTTCAGCAATTTATTTTCCTCCTCGAGAAGGTCTGACCTCTCCTTCTCTTGCTCAATTAGCTTTTTAGCCCGACGCAGCCGCCGATCGAGTGTGGCATTTACTCTTCCAAGCTCTTGATTGCGCTTGAGGGCAAGCTCTAATTCCACATTGGAAATCTGCTGCACTGCTTTGACCTCAGGTTGGCAATGACGACTGCGATACTCAGAGCTCTGGATGATCTCGACCTCTCTTCTAGCAAGTTGATGCTCTACCTCGGCACGCTTGATAGCTTCGTTACTAGTGAACGATAGCAAACTATTCTGTAGCTTGAAGTGCAGAGCTGACATGCGAGCCTCTTGGGCAACACTCAACAGGTCTTTAGCCATCGCCCGGAGCTTTGACTCATCGGCGGTATCAATATCATCGGCAGTGGGGAGGTTTTCTGAGGCGCCATAGGCAACACAGAGGGTCTTTTGGATATCGGGAGGAGAAGCTAGCAAGGAGCTTGAAGTAGATCTTGACCGTTGGCGCGGGGCCCCGGGAATTTGTGATGATGGCGGCGGCGTCATATCAGATGAAGGTAGCGAGGGTGATACAGATTTACTCTGGTCAGAATGTGATACCGGGATTCCAGCACCTACACTCAGGTCTGGTGATGCAGACAGACTTGCACGTTGCATGGGCGTTGCGGGGCCGGTGATCTCTGCAGGAGGGGCAAGGGGGCCTTGCGAGAGTTGAGAATCAGGATCTTGCGACATGACAGATAACAATATGTAGAAACAGGCAGGTTATACCCGTCGATAGGAAATGTTTAACTAGTAATAGGTCAGCATTGGCTGCATCAATGCGTTGTATTGAACAGTTGTCGTGGGGCGGTCAGACGCATACCAGATCCGAAACACGATCGATCAAAAGTACGGCTAGTTTGATGAGCTCGCCAGGATGAAGTTGAGTGTTTGAGCCCGATTGCTGCTGCGTAGAGCCCCTGAGGAAAGGAGCGGAAATGGGTAGAGATGTGCTAGAACGAGCAAGATCACGATGCAATTGAGCATCGAATGCCACAGCTCAGATGTTCTCGAGTTGCTCTATGATGGATAGCTGGGTCGGTGCGCTTATCACTGATAGGGCCGTTGAGGCACGTTGGTTGGACCGAAGCAAGGCACTTAGTAGGCGATAAGGAGGCGGTAGCAAAGTATCCCGAGCGGAAGACGTAAGATAGGGAAGCGATAGAAGGCTGATGGAAGATGTTCCAGAGTGCAAGGGGAATTGGAGAGGGGTATTGCAGATGATAGAGATAGGTGAACAAGATGAAGGAAGTAAGGAGCGCGCCGGCGGAGGGACGGTTTGATGCCTTAAGGATGTTTGTTGCGGGCGATGCGCATTTCGGGGAGGCTGGGAAGTCGCTTGCGATGCTCAGCCTCGACCAACCACGACCAACCACCCGCTCCCACGTGAGTCCAGCCGCGCGCTAGTCCTTCACCATGCCTGATCCAGCTAGCGTCCAGATCCGCGACGCTCAGCAAAAGGTAAACACAAGCCGAACCCCATGGGCCAGAGCTATCGTCACTCGGGCAACCGATCCTAGGATTCATCTTGATCCTGAATCTGTATCTAGATAGATCTCCTTTTGATAGGTTAATGGTTTACGCTTCATTGGCCGCGGCGAACATACTTTGTCGATAGTTTTATCAAGTGTGTACCATCAACATTCCTCCCATCTCATATACCGTGTACTCAGCAGAGAACATTATCATGGGGCTGTAAATTGTACGCTACGTATTCAGTCTTTGCGTTTTCTAGCTCTCTTGGTTTAAAGTGGAACGTCATGATTTCAAAAACGACCATCTTATCTACTAGAGTAGCCAGGCTCGACATATAAGTATTAGGGATTATTTTTTGAGGGTTCGGATCGGGAAAGGATGGGCAGAAGCCGGGAGAGTGTCACTATTGAAGTTGTATGCCTGAGAGATCGGGAGACGACGCCAGAATATGTCAGTATGACTATCCCTGTTGACGAGGTAAATTGGGCCGGAGATTTGGTTCATCCATAAGATTAATACGAAGCCATTGGAACAGTAGGGTCTAGACTTGCAGACACCAGACATTCCACGTGAGTTACTTTTATGAAGTATGCCTCTAATAAGTGTGAGTTTGAGGTAAATGCCAACGCTGCCACGAGGAAACTTAGTACAGATTGAGAATGCCACTATCTACATTCTACATGGGAGACCCAGACTTTTGGTACTAGGTGAAGGTCTAAACAGAGGTTTATTCGCAACCATAGCGTATGGGACGCGGAGCCACTAGTACTACCGTGTACTAAGGTAAGGCTCCAAGATTGGCCATGACATACTGCTGGTTTCTTGCTAGTGACAGGTTCGTTTGGCGACAGGCTGAAGAAGCAGTGTCCCACTATCTATTTATGGAGACTGTCCTCATGGATGATAATATCAGCGACTTGTCACATCGGAAGGCATCGTACTTACTTGTAGCCCATACAAGCTGCACCATAGAACCGCTATTGTTCGGTACACGACTAGTACATGCAAGCTTTTCTTCAAGCTGAAGGAACCAAGCATAAAAACCCCTCCTGGGTCTCCTCCAGTTCCATCGGGACGATCACGCCGATGTGGGGAGCGGATCAGGTATGTGGCGGCCTCAGGCAGCAGCACATGCGGCGATTCCCCCTCGTGGGAAGTTGTAAACAATAATCCATTCCGACCTCGAATCCCTGAGAGCAGCGCACCAGCAAGAACCATCGCTATTGCGTTCGCGCCTCGCACCGTTCCGGTCCTGTTACTCTTGCGTCCCGCCGCTATTTACAATCATCATGTCTCACTGCCTGTGACCGAATTCCACCAACTATAAATCTCTCTCCATCCGATCCGCATTACCACCCATACCTGGCACTTTCGTCCACAAGTGCTTAACCTCCATTTACAACCGACGGAAAGATGGATAACCCACAGAAGACCCCCAGCCGACCGAGTGGTATTCCTCGCTTGGCCTCCAGATTACCTCTACCGACGTCTGCCGCCAGTAAACCCCTGCGTCCCTCCCCCTCACGCGAGAAGCTACAAACCGACCCGGGTCTCCACGCCAGCCGGTTGAGCAGACCTTCTCAAGAGCCGGTGTTCAAAAAGCCCTTACCGAAGTATACGGTGCCGAAGAAGTCCTTAGGTACCCAGCGTCAAGAAAGAGAGATTTCTCAGACAAGGACAAGCGATACGGGGATAACAGAACCCGAAGGGGCACTGAACAACAAATCCCTGTATCTGGAGGCCGACAATGTACCAGCCCATGATGCAGAGTTTCGAGGTCGCACACGACCATCGCTCTCTGAGCGAACAATTGAGACTCTTTCCCAGATCCCCCCTTCGCCTAGACCTCAGAGCAGACAGTCTAGTAGTTTCTTCGGCGCAACTAGTCCCATGCGCTCGCCGTCTCGTCCGCCGTCTGCAATGACAAGCTATTCAAGGTCGCCGTCAAGATCATCTTCTCGTCAACCCAGTGGAAGCGACTATCTTTCCCGCCCGCCTTCGTCCATGCGCCTTCCATCGAGGAGTGGTCCATCGTTTTCTGCGAACAGTGCAACATCCGATCAAAGCTCCATTCCAAATACAGATAGTCCATCGAAATTGAAACCGCCCTCTACTAGGATCACACCCTACGCCCGGAAAAATGACGTGACATTGTCATCCAATCCTCGTCATGCACCTACCAGGGTGTCTACGAGGCCCACAGAACCGACTGTAGATGCTCCGCAGCAACGCCTCGAAGTGAGGAAAACCCGGAAGGTCCAGCAGGGTCTCTCGGGCCAGAAGCCATCCTTGATGGGTTCACGGTCGCCATCGGCAAAATCCACTTCATCAGATCTTACTCCGGAACAGCAGACTGAGATGGAAACTCGAAAGGTCTCGAAATCGTCTAGCGCTTTGAGGGAAAGTATCGCGAAGGCGAAGGCCGCGCGGAAGGCTGAGGCTCAGAAAACCACGGAGTCAACAACTGCTGCCGGTGGATTCAATTTCGATACGGACGATCCCTTCAACCAAGGTCCTAAGGATCCAAACCATGGACTTCTGCGGAAGCGCATCGATGCAGGTCGAACTTCTGGTCACTTGAATATCGCGGCTATGTCTCTTAAAGAACTGCCCAAAGAAGTCATGACGATGTACGATTTCGATTCCAACTCCACCACCGATTGGTATGAGAGTGTGGATCTTGTTAAACTTATCGCTGCGGATAACGAGTTCACGGAGCTCCCCGATGACGCTTTCCCCGATATCGATGCACACGAGCTAGACCCAGAGGTTGACGAAAGAGGAAATCAATTTGGCGGGCTTGAGCTTCTAGATCTTCATGGCAATATCTTACAATCACTACCAGTAGGCCTCAGAAGGCTGGAGCGGCTGCACACTCTGAATCTATCAAACAACAATCTCAATATGGACGACATAAATGTTGTTATGGAACTAGAAACTCTCAGGGATCTGAGACTCGCCAAGAACAAGCTTCAAGGAGGCCTTACTCCAGATATCGGACGCCTCAGCAACCTGGAAGTACTGGACTTGCACGAGAACTCCTTGACAGAGCTTCCGGGAGAGCTTGCAAAACTGGCCTCCCTCCGAGTCTTAAACGTGGGCAATAACCAATTAAGCGCATTACCATTCGAGCAATTGTACATGCTCCCGCTTAAGGAGCTCCACGCCCCGAGGAACAAGTTGAAGGGAACTCTTTTGCCAGCGTCTGTGCAAAAGTTCGAGACACTACAGATCTTGGACGTAGCCAGCAACGCCTTGGTGAGGCTCTCGGAGAACGAAGACCTCGAACTTCCCAATCTGCAGAGTCTAGCAATCAATACGAACCGCATTCAATCTCTACCCGATGTTTCATCGTGGCAAGCTCTCTTGACCCTGTTAGCGGAAGACAACAGTTTATCGGATCTTCCTCACGGGTTCACTGGCCTGAAGAATATCAGGAATGTTGACTTCACTGGTAACGATATTTCCAAGCTGGACGAGAAGATCGGCCTAATGGAGAGTCTCGTCAACTTCCGCATAGCCAATAATCCCCTGCGGGAACGCAAGTTTCTGAGCATGAACACGGAGGACCTGAAGCGCGATTTGCGTCACCGATGCGAACCGGAACCGCAAGATACAGACGATGAAGGCTCTGTTGCGACTCAGTTTACGTTGGCGCCAGAAACACCGGTCCAAACGGCCTCCTGGCAAATCAAGTCTGGTGGTGTCCTCGACAAGTCATACACTGATCTGCGGGAGATAGAAGTACAGGAGTTGGAACGCATCGATTTCCACGAAGTCCGATGCCTCCAATTACAACACAACGAGCTAGAATGCTTTCCTGTTCCGGCTCTCAGCATGCTCGCATCTAACCTAGCTGATCTGGATCTTTCAAATAACCCGCTCAATAGCGGATCTCTCTTCTCAGGACCCGTTACCCTCCCCAGTCTTCAGAATCTCACCATTACCGCTGCCGGCTTGACTACACTTGAGCCGCTACTAAGTTATCTTACTGCGCCAGGCCTCATCTACCTTGATGTTTCATCCAACCGTCTCTCCGGATCCCTTCCGGTTGTGCGCCGGAGCTACCCGAACCTGACAACATTATTGGCTTCTGATAACCGAATCAGCAATCTCGACTTTGAAGCGGTGCAAGGTCTACAGGTTCTAGACGTAGGGAACAACGATATTGGCGTTCTGCCGCCGAAGCTCGGCCTTTTGAGGACCGAAGGTTCTAG